CGTAATGAAAAAAGTAGAAAAAAAGGCACGCCTGTCAGACGTCCATCGACACCCACCCCGCCCGCGCGCCCAAGGGCAAGACCGCAGACGGGGACGAGATCATCACCGCTCTCTATACAGCCCCCCGACCACGAAGGCCAGGATGACCGCCCTCCTCGCGGAGGGGTCGAGAGCAACCAGGGAGTTCTTCACTCTAGGGTGTCGAGGATATCACTCATCAACCAGGGTGGAATCTGTGGCTCCTTTAGGGAACCTAGAGTAGGTCGAATACTATAGAAATGATTCTCCTGTTGGTGGAAGTGGTTAGCGTTTGTTGGTCGTGGTGGCGGCGCGGGCGCGGAGGCTCGTAGTAGGGGGTAAAACGTACTGAAGTATTGTCGACATGAAGAAGAAAAAGAGAAAAGGAGTGAAAGCTGCGCGCGGCGGACGAGATTTTATACCTGCTTCGAAGGGGTCCCGGCGTTCAGGGCTTGGTGGGGCTTGCGGCTGCTTTTTTTTCGGCGGGACCCACAGGAGCTTTGGGGATGGGAAAGTGAGAAGCAGATTTTTTCGCGATGGGAGGGAAGGTGGGGCTGCTGGTTGTTGAGGCCCAGACTGTGGAAAAGGAAGGCGTGACCTTGAGAGAATGGAGAGTGGTTGAGAAAGCTCGCGCGATTGCGATACTGCGATACTCCGGCGTAAGACTGCCGACTTCGATGCCCGGAGGATGAGATCGGAGCCGGGACTGGAAGCTCACGGGGTAATGCAACGCGGAGCTGATCCGTCGCGCCTCAACCTTTATAAGCGTTGTAAGTGTTCGGCCTGATATGAAGGTTCGGTGGTGTAGTTGGTTATCACGTCAGTCTAACACACTGAAGGTCTCCGGTTCAAGTCCGGGCCGAATCATTTTTTGTATTTTTACCGAATATCTCAGCTGGGCTGCCTTCGTTTAAGAAGGAGAGGGTCCTGGAGGTATTGCGGGACGTATCTCATGCTGCGTGCTGTTTTGGGGATTCCAGAGAGGCTTCTGGTTCTGGGCTTCTCTGAAGGTTATGACAGCACGATGTTGGAGTTGATATTGAACGCCTAGCACTCAGAGGACAACAGAATCTTTTGATGCCGTTGAAGAATCTTGAGGTTAAGCTTGTGAGCTTGGTTTCTTTTGCTTACATGACTTTTCTCTTATGACTTTGTACCCTCCATTGGTTCGTACGTGGCCCCGGCCAACTAACTGCTCGTCGAGCCTGGACGTCTTTATAATACAACTTTCAATACTCCGAAGTATCTCTCTTCTCATCGCGAGCGGTGGCATTCGTTGGTGATTTTGTGGCAGTGGCAATTGCATTGGTAGAGGCTGCCAAGAATAAGACCGCGTAACCAGCACGCCGCCATCTTCTTCTTTTGCGTTATCCTGAGATCTAGGAGGTTGACTGGCAGCTTGCTTACATCCGTCAAGCTGGACCCCTCTTCGATGCGCGAGATTACGTCGTTGACCCCAATCATTCGGGAGGATGGGATGCGTGAAATCGCGTCTTGTACATCCACTTTGGCGCCCTGGTTTCTCGTCGGCATCGTCCCCCGATTATTCCCCGCGAAGTTTCGCTCTTATAATCTCGATCAGGGGCTCAAGTAGAATGAACGATTGTAGACGTTTCTTGACTGCGCGATTCGTGACGCGAGGGAGATATGAATGACGACCAGCTTGGCTTGGGGTCGTAGTCGCCCGTCTTGATGCATGTTGCATCCATGGCTCTCAGTCAAGTTGACGATAAGTCTAACGGGGAAGACTTGTTGAATATATAGATAATGTCCAAGGTTTCGAAAGCTTTGAGAGGAAGTAGAATAAGGCCGGGGTCGATAAGCTCAGATAATAGTCAAAAGACGGATCATCGGTGCAGGTCTTGCCTCAGCTAGTTATATAGCTTGCCTCACGCGAGATTGAGAAGTCAAGCAAGGAGCCAACACCATGCGAGCTGTTGTATGGCGGTCTCTTCAGGGGCTCTGGTTCTCAATCTGCTCATTTCGATCTTATAAAGCCGTTACCGCTTTTTACAATACCCCAACTGCAACATGTGTGTCTGTTTTGCTCATCTCCTACGACATCCTCTCGTTATTCAACGCTGATAATCTACAAGAGACGGGGACAGAAAAAGACGACATCAAGATGCCCTTAGTGAATATCAAACTTCGTCATACGCTTAGGGAGGGATGTACATGGCTACCCATAACTCATCCTGCTGCTGCTGTTGTAGTTCTCAGCCTTGTTCTGCTACCCAAAGAGCTAGGAGGTTTGAGGCTCTGTCAAGTTTCATCTTGGTATAGACTATCTGGGGATGTTTAAATACACATCAGCAATTACTACCTGCGCTGCTGCCACACCTGCCTCTACGTCATGAACTTCTGCAAGACGACTTGGCTTTACGGTGTGATGATTTCCTGCTGTGGATATATAGAATCGGAGGTCAAGCGTTGGAATTTCTGCTCTGAAAGACAGCCCAATGGGTCCTGCTCTCTTCTCTGTGGAGCGAAAGTGATGATTTGGATGCGAGTGATCATTGGCAAGTTGGCAACGCCGTTGAACGCGCGTGACGGCAGTTGAGTCTTAACTTACAGAAATCTGTTTCCGTTTCTGTTTATTCCTTGAGAATAAGCTAGCAAAGATGATGGCTAAGGGAGACGCCAACTACCAACTACATGTTATGAGCAGCATGATCCCAATAGAAACACCAGGAAGTCATGCAGAGGCAGCAAGCTACCCACAATACCCGCTAGCAACATCATGAATCATTGCGCAGTTTCAAAGCGTCAAGGAAGCCAGCATCGACTTTTATATGATACGTAGGTTTCCTGGCCTGGCGGAGGAGCCTTGCATCACACAGAATAAACCTTCAATAAAATCTGCCACAAACTGGGCTGGAGTTCTAGCATTGTGTTGTTTTCAATCATGATGAAGACAGCCGCTGCACTAAGGGCTCGGCCAGACATAACAACCAAGGGATCTGGTGACTTCATGCCCATGACATGTATATCTAAACCTAGAAGAGTATCAACCGATATCTGTAAAAGAGACTTAGTCCAACAGAGCGGTAATACACCAACTCTCCAGCGAGCTCTTCCAAGTCCAAAGTAAGCGTACGGTGTTGACGTATGGCGAGTAACTTGATCACTCCCATGAAAGCCGCGAAGCAGAAGCAGACTTATCTGTCAATGGCGTCCCTCGTCCTCCGCTGATTTGCTGATGATACGTCAACGACTTGAAAGAGCGATAGGGTTGGTGGTTTTACGTCGACAAGAAACGTTGAGTACAACCCCTTGGTCGTATCTTATACCACTTGAATGGAAGAATGAGGATCTGAAAGCCAGGATCGCCCGCGTGCGCGAATTTCAAGGCTGTTGAATATCAGGAGAAGCCCATCGATACTTTCTATTATAATACGAGGCGAAAGCCGTCGCAAAGCTAGGGAGACATTCATCACAAAGCCATCTCGGCCATCGTTCCATTGCTAGACTTATTGTGTCTTATTTAAACATGAAACCTATTCCCATCAACCCAGAAACAACGCCAGAAAGGACTACAGAGCCAACCTTACAGCGGATCCTGGGCGACCTGACCCACTCTCGTGATGTTGTACCCAACTTCAGACTCGACGATGTCCACGTTCTGGCGTCGATGGCTCCTGGGTGTTTCTTGGGGTTCACTTCAATCTCGTATTCCCAAAATATAAGCAAGAAAAGACGACCAGAAGAGACGGAGAGCGCTTCTATCGATATGATGCCAGAACCCGCGAAGAATTTCGAGATGGCGCTTCCCAAGCGGGAACAGTCTGTCAGACATCGACACAAATGTGACCTGAATAGGGGAAGATTGGTGGAAAGGCTCCAAGTTGCATGACACTTATTGTCTGGTCCGGCTTTTGGATGTAGTATATATATGTGCTGATGAACGGAGAAGGGGGGGGGTCCGCCCGGGCCAGGGAAGACACATACGCGATGGCATCATCGAGAACCTCATCTCTGGCTGCTTCTGTATATAGCAGATATGAATATGAAAGAGGCGTGAGAGCCGTACCGTCAGCCGCAAGATCGATGGAGCAGCCGCGACTCCTCATTCCGAAGACGAGCAAATCCATCATCGTTGCAAGACCTAATGTAGAACACCAAGTCCAAAGACGTATCCCCAGATCTTGCCTGGGACTCATGTCCAGGCAGCAATGACCGGGAACGATCTGGTTGGGATGGGTGGACACAAACCAGGGGCTTCCAGACCTCTTCAAAATGGAAGTCCTCCGGTTGCGTGCGAGGCTCGACATGAACATTTCCCAAGCAAATCTCGGCGTGTTTTCGCCATTGAATATCCCACGTCTTTGAGACAGTCTGAACCCTTCAACGTCAAACCAACGCTGTTGACGTCAATAAGAAACGTCTCATGCTGCATGTCACCAGGAGGACACCACAAGATGTTTATGAACTTTCTATTAAGGAGATACCTTCCTGCTCACTCTCCTCATAACCACCGTCTGCCTGATTGCCTGAAGAAACGAGTACCGTTCTGTGTGGGGGTATTGGTGCCATCGCCAGCGAGCGAAGCCAGGCAACTCGCGCGACTCAAACATAAACCGTAAAACGCCTTCCTGGAACCATAGTGCGAGGTTGCAAACGACGCATCCCAACGAGCCCTTCCTGGGGATAAGAGAGCCGGCCTCACACAGGAGAGCCGCCAATCTTCCTGCCCACGATGTGGCAAAGAAGTCTAACCATACATGCCGGCCGCAGGGGACAATGCTTAGACAGATCAAGCAAACATCTGCCGTGGTGACGAAGCATGTCGTAGAAATCCCTTTGGCGTTAAAAATGCAGTCGATAGTGCCGCCTCATTCCAAATAACTTTTCCCAATCCGTGTTGAGCAGTGACTTCGTGAGCGTCGTGTGAAGACTCACTGGTCGAAATGATGCCGGTAACAAGGGTATGTTGACATAAAAAATCATGCTCATGACGTTGCGTGATAGCCGAAGGAACCAATTTAAGCCTTGGTCTCCTCAGCCTTCTTCTCACCCTCCTCGTTACCACCCTGGGCCTTGATGTACTCCTCGTAGACGCCAAGGGCCTCGTCGACCTTGGCCTTGAGAGAGGCCTCGTCCTCAATACTGCAGTATGTTAGTGTCAACTTCACGTACTTTGGCAATTCAGGTACTTACAGGTTAACGAGCTCACCATTCTCCATCTCGAGAAGCATACCAGTGATCTTGCCGGCAAGCTCAGGCTGCATGGCCTGGATCTTGGGGAAGATGACCTCACCGAGGATCTGCTTCTGCTGGCCGGGGTTGCCGGCGGCAGCGCCAAGCTGCTGCTGAAGGAGGCTGGAGCTGTTGAGGTCCTGGGCGGGAGCAGCGCCGCGGCCGCCCTGGGGGAAGGGAGGAGCGTTCTGCTGCTGGTTCTGGTTGTTGTTGCGGGGGCCGTTGGGGTTGGCACCGCGGCCGGCGCCGGGCTGGGAACCGCCCTGGCGGGCGTTGGGAGGGAAGCCGGGCATACCGGGGCCGGGCATGCCAGCCATGGGGGGAGCGGGACCGCGGCCGCCCTGGGGACCACCGCGACCACCAGCGTTCATGGTAGCCTGCTGAACCTGCTGGATGGCAGCGAGGAACTGAGGGTTACCAGCCTGGGGGAAAGGAGCGCCAGGAGGGAACTGGCCGGGCATGCCGTAGACGGGAGGCATCTGCTGGGGAACGCCACGACCGCCCTGCTGAGGGTAACCTCCGGGGAACTGGCCAGGACGACCTCCCTGGACGGGGGGCATGGCCATGCCGGGCTGGGGGTAGGGCATGCCACGGCCACCCTGGGGGAAGACGGGCTGCTGACCAGCGGCGTAGAAGACAGGCTGCTGCATGTACTGTTGGGGCATGCCAGCGGCGGCGGCCGCCTGTTGCATGCGCAATTGGTTTCTAGCCTGGATGCTAGCCTCGAGCTGGCTCTTGCGGACATCCTTGCGCTGTGCGAGGGCGACGTAGAGGGGCTTGCCGTGGACCATGCGCTGGTTCATCTCGGCGACGGCCTTGGTAGCATCGTCGGGGTTGCTGAAGCAGACGAAACCGAAGCCCTTGCTCTTACCGTGGAGCTTCTTGTCCGACTTCTTCTTCTCCTTCTCACCCTCCTTGTCCTCGGACTTCTCCTCCTCCTCCTCCTCCTTCTTAACCTCGGGCTCCTTCTCCTCAGAGGAGCCTTCCTCGTCCTCCTTACCCTCAGTGGGAGTGTCGCGCATGACCTTGGCGGAAGTGATGGGGCCGAAGTCGGCGAAAAGCTGGCGCAGCTTCTCGTCATCGACCTCGTCGTCGAGGTTCTTGATGTACAGGTTGACACCCTGGTACTTGTTGGCCTTCTCCATGCGAGCAGCTTCGTAAGACTTGCGCAATTCCTCCTCGCGCTCGTGCTTCTTCTGGGCTCGGCCAACGTACAAGTCCTGTCCGCGGAAGTCCTTGCCGTTCAGGTCGTCGACGGCCTTGGAGGCAGCCTCGTGTGTGGTGAAGTTGACGAAACCGAAACCACGGCTCTTACCCTCCTGGTCACGGGCGAGAGAAGAAGAGGTAACGTCGCCAAACTTCTCAAAGAGCTCACGGAACTCGTCGTCAGAGACCTCGTTGTTGATGTTCTTGACGTAGACGTTGGTGAAGTTGGCCTTCATCTCCTCGAACTTGCTCTGGCGGTCCTTCTTGGGGATGTGGTGACCGACGTAGACCTTCTTCTCGTTGAGGAGCATGCCGTTAACGTGCTTGATGGCCTGAGAAGCAGCCTCATCGGTCTCGTAGTGAACGAAACCGTAGCCCTTGGAGTTGCCGTTCTCGTCCTGGGCGACCTTGCAGCTCAAGATGTTACCGAAGGCGGCGAAGGTGTCGTGGAGAGCCTTGTTGTCAATGGCGACATCGAGGTTCTTGATGAAGACGTTGCCCTGGCCGGTCTTGCGGAGGGCGGGGTCGCGCTGAGACCACATGATGCGGCAAGGGCGGCCCTTGATGAGGGTGTAGTTGAGCTCCTCGAGAGCCTTCTCGCCGTCGGCGGTGGTGTTGTAGTTCACATAGGCGTATCCAAGCGAGCGGCGAGTAACGGCGTCACGGCAGACACGGATAGAAGCCACAGAGCCGATCTGGGAGAAGAGCTCGAAAAGCATGGCCTCGGTGACGGAGGGGTCGAGTTCGCCAACGTAGAGGGAGGCGGAGGCCTGAGGGTGGGGGGCAGCAGAGCTAGGAGTAGGGCCGGCGTCGGCGCCCTCGGTTTGGGAAGCCTCAACATTGGTGTTGATGGCAGGGGCGTTCTTGGAGTCAGCGCCGTTGAGCGAGGTGTTGCCCAAGTCGTTGGCGAGCTGGTCGACAGCGTTGTTCGTAGCGGCGGCCATTGTGTTGGAATTGGACACGAGGAATGATACTGCGACAGGCCCACGGATTAGACAACAGGCTATGTGACGATCGCAAATAACAACGGGGCGCGAAGGCAAGACAGTAACGGCGCGAGGCGCTCCTGTCGGTGAATGTGGATATGAGGAGGGGAAGGATGAAGAGAAAAGCACCTACCAGGTCAAGAAATCTGACTATCGGTCGTGTGACGGGACCGTGACGGTGTGGAGGATAAGGGTATTGGGAGAGGCGGAGGGGAGCCTTTCTCGTCGAATGAGGTTATTCGGATGTGTGACGTTTGACCGACACACAAGAGGCACACTGGAAGCTTGATTGGCAGGCAGGTGCGCGAATGGCTGAGGCTGAGGTGAAGCAAGAAAAGACGAGAGTCGGGCTGCGTCTCTTGGGATTTCTTGCAAAATGGAGGGGGTGAGAGAGATGGAGGTGGGAGATTTTTGAGGGGGGTTTTTCAAGTTTTTTTTGGAAGTTTTTTTTCTGATGAAAAAAGTGAGCGAGACAGAGAACAAGTACGAAGACGTACTCCTTGTCAGACCCTCTTTAGATGTGAAGGGTTGTTGATAGGGTTTGTGTAGTTGTTGGAAGAGAAAAGAAGAGGAGGAGAGGAGAGAAATTTCAATGAGTGTGGCTTTTGGATATGATTTTTTTTTTTTTACTGGATCTGTCGCCTATCGCCTGCCGTCGAGGTGCGCTTGCCTCTACCTTCCACTCTCTGGACTTCGTTCCTTCCCGGCCACCACCAGCGCAAAGTGTGCCTTCCAGTTTTTCTCTCTGCGCGCGAGAGGAGGGGCGACAGGGCATGTGCTGGTGACGAGGGGGACTTGGCCAATGCGTGGAGGAAGTCACTGTGATGCAACAGTCTCAACTAATTCAGTCAGCACTATCTACTTCTGCAGTGACTGCCGGCGAATGCAGATAAGAATTAGCGGGCACAAGCTAACTCGTGGCCGTGGTACAAACGGTTGAGAGCCCTCAGGTACCGAATCGCATCGCAAGTGGGGCACCCATCATTTTATGAAAATTTTATGCGGTGGGTTTCGACCATTGTGGACTATCCAAACGGCCGTGAACCCTGTAACGAACAAAGCAGGAGGGGAGGATGAGGGGAAATCTGTGAAGAAGAAGATGAAGAACAACAACAAGCCAGTGACACCGGTGACCAGTCGTCAGTCAGTCACGATGATGTCTATTGCCTTCCTCGAGTCTCAGCAGCTGTCCGTGGCCGTTTCCATGCGACAAGCCAACCAACCCCAAGGGGGCTTTGCTCATCTCCAAGTCTGAAGCCCGCGTTGTTGCAATTTCGATACCAACAAATAGGCACTTTGTCTGTGCCGAAATGCCAGCCATGCAGCCCCGGCATCCATCACGCCGTTAGCTGCCGCCCTAGACGCAAGTCTGAGGGCTTGGAAGGACGGACTCACTCCAAGACACGCGAGACGATTTACGATTTGGTTCAAGCAGTTGGAATGAAACCATGCGCAGCTTTTGATCCGTACTCTGTACTCCGTACTCCGCCTACCCATCAACGGCCGACTTTCCCGCTTAACCCAGAAATGCTTGGTCCCGTACCGAGAGAACGGACGGACGGCTCGTGGCCGGACAGGCAGGCGTCTGTGACGATTAAGCGTACCTGAGCATTGAGCATGAACCGGCTCCATGGGCAGTGAGTGGGATCTGGTTTGTTGAGGCTTCTTCTCCCCAGACGCGCATTACAGGCCTCCTGGTGGAAATCCCATACTTCACTTCCGCAGAACCCATCTCTTCATCTTCCTCGACAATTATGGTTCGTTGCGTTTCTACACCGACACTTACATGAGTAGACGAGCAGTATGATTTCGAGTCAGCCAAGCCTTGATGGCGAAACCCCGTCGATATTGACTTTTGTCCTTCGTTTGGGTTGTCAACAAGCACATCATCGCCTTCGTGGGAAAGAAACATGACTTATTGTAAAGCTTGGTCACTACGGTATTAACCAACGTCTTCTCGACCAAAGAAAGGCATCTTTGTGTGATCCCCGTGTGTCTTGCCCTTCAATTTCTCCAGGTGTCTTATCGGATAGCCCCCGTCTCTTATCAGCACCTTGCTGGTCTGTTCCCGCCCTAGACCTCACCCCGGGCAATCAGCATGCGCCGGAACCTTCCACAAGCCCAGGCCAGCTTCAGCACTTAGCGTCCGGCTTACCTCACCAACAAACCCCACCAGCCACTGTCTGAGCTCATGAATTACGGCATTTCCCCTCCACTCACACTGCCTACCAGTCCTGTCCCGCGCCCGCGTTATCACCGATTCTGGACATCGATTACATACTCCCGTCCGAACCTTGAAGCTTCTGGAAGGCAACCGCGTCCGCGACATCCCTCGCCCCAGTATCCTTCTCAGTCGCTTCATGTTCCTGGTCTTTCGACTCTGCTCCAGGATATGAGATAATACCACTCAACTCAACGACATCCCGACGACCGGCATCCCCCCGAGGAAACATGTTCCCAACCTTCACAGGAAACTCGAGGCGTCCTCGGAACGTGAACCTCAGCGGCCAGAACCTCAACCCTTTTGCCGCCACATCATGGACCCCATCCGCAGGATCTGGCGCTTCAAAGACGGTTTCTAATGCCCAGGCCGAACGAGCACAAAGACAACAGGATCGAGACAAGCTCAAAGCTGCCGGCAAGATCCAAAAGACATGGAGAGGTCACAGGGCCAGAAGGCGACTTCGAGATTCCCGCCGGGAAGCATTCGACGCTCTATACTCACCAACGTCAAACTGGAACTCGCAGCAGAGACTATTGACGGCCTTGCCACTTCTGTTGACGACCTTCCAACCCAGCCATACCGACGACACGCAGCGTCTTCTTCGATTTTGTCGAGAGCTGAGCACGACCAGTCTCGAGTGCCTTTCCCCCGATCGATTACCTCCTTCTAGGCTGGCACGGTTCGTCAGGATCCTGGTGGAAGCGCTGGAGGCCCAGACGAAGAGAAAGTGAGTAAATTGCAATTCGAAAAGAGCTTTTGGGATGGGAAAGCATTGCAGAAATTTAACTAACATACTCGGCAGAGGGCAACAAGACGACATCCAACTTCTCCTCAACCTCCTCACCCAGATCATCGTCGCTGCCCCCGAATCGCTGTCTAAATCGCTCCGACAATACTATACTGTTCTTGCAGAATTAAGCAATACATCGAACGCTGATAAGGCAACCCTCGAGGTTGCCTCCAAGGCTGTACTTGTGCCACTCGAAGCCATTTCCGGGAACGGTAATCCTCCCCAGCCGCAATTTCACATGTGCCGGCTCGCTAATAGCCAAGCAGAGCTCCGTCTATCGGCCGCCTACGAAGCCTTTTCGTTGTCATTCTTGACCCGCGGCGACCTGTATTTGGTAGAACAGCACGCTCAAATATGTTCACGCAGCATCGATCTCGAACATCTCGCATCGGCAATCTTAAAAACATACCAGGACGGACGTATAAACGGTGTCAGCCGGGACGATCAATTGTGGCTATTGGCGCATTTTATTGGTCTTCATCAGGGGACTGGAGCCAACTCACAAGGGCGCAACCACTTGAACGCATTGCACCTTCAACTCTCGAGTTTGTCCGCGGACGTCAGTCTGAGGCTTCCTGCAAAACCTGCCGATTCTAGTTCATCAAATGCGGACTCAGACGGCATTGAAGAATCGCTCAAGCCCTTACCCACCTACGTTGCCCAGCGTCTTACCTCCTTGGTAGACAGAGACGGCATCTCAGCTCTGCTTGCTGAACTAACGACGTATGTAACATGTCTAACTTACTTTTTACCTCGCTAACACGATGCAGTAACTTTGGCTCACGTTCCACGAGTTCAGAAATCGAAAGTGCAAGCCTGCTCTCCGGGTACATCCTCACTCTTCTTCGATGCTTTCCGCACCACGGCGACGAGATCCGTATGCGTCTATTCCTGGGAGATATTCCTTCGGGTGCGGGCAATGTGCCGACCATCAAGTTCCTATGGCAGGCTATGAGCCAGACAGGCATTTACAGACAAATCTTGCGGGATTCCGCTTCCGTCATTGGCCTGTTGCGGAGTTACCTTTCGAAATCGAAGCCTGCGGACGCCTCGCAAGAGCAGGAGTGGAGGCTGGTGTTACTTTTCCTCGAACTGTACATTTTTATCCTTCGCCTGAGCGATGATGAAGACTTCTTCAGCAGCATCTTCCCTGCGCTGCTGAAGGGCGACGAGCAACCCTCTCGCCTACGATCTTGCGGACTTTCGCTTGAGGAAGTCAAGGGCCTCACCATTGTTCTTAAGCACCTCGCATTCACGTTGCATTATAACACCCAAGATATTCAACAGGGCATCCAGGACTCCGAGCCGATTTCGATGACCCAGCTCGAGTCTTACTTTGGCAACAGCGCGACCAAGACGCTGAAAGAGGCAAAAACAAATGCTACAAAGTCTAGTTCGTCGGACACACGACTCGACATGGGTAGCCTTAGGAGCATCGTCACTACCGCACTCCGACTTTTGTACGAGCGAGACTCGAGGCGACCGTTCTTACCGCGTGAACATTGGCTCATGACATCGAAGTTTGACATGGAGGGTTTCGTTAGCGCCGTTGTTGCCGAACAGGAGAGGCAAAATGAGATGTCCGACTCTAGTGACGACGAAGACGGCGATGTCGATGAGGACGCGAATATTGGGGGCAGCTTCATCCACACTATCGCTGGGCAGCGGGTGTCGCGTCACGCCCAAATCGAGAAGCTCCGAGCTCAACAGCGAAAGGCGCAGAGAGACCGTCTACTTGCTGTTATTGGGCCGAAGTTGGAAATTTTGAGACACATGCCTTTTGTCATTCCTTTCGATACCCGTGTCCAGATTTTCCGGCAGTTCGTCTATCTCGACAAACACAAGCGTCGGGAGGGCATGGATCCCGACCAATGGAGGATGAACTTTCTTCACAACCCCCTGAGATCTCCTGGCAGAGGCCCTGCTGGACGCCACCACGGCAAGATCAGGAGAGGCCAAGTGTTCCAAGACGCCTTTGAGCAATTCTATGAGCTTGGAGAAGGCCTCAAAGAGCCAATACAAATCCAGTTTGTTGACCAGTTTGATACCGTTGAAGCAGGTATCGATGGAGGCGGAGTTACCAAGGAATTTCTTACAAGCGTTACCTCCGAGGCATTTGCTCAGATGGATGGCATATCGCTGTTCACTGCCAACAACCAAGGCCTGCTGTACCCCAATCCAACCGCCATGGATGAGCTCAAAGAAGCATTGAGACAAGCTGGCGTTCCACCACAGTCTGAAGATTGGAAAGATGCAGTACAAGATCTGTTGCGGCAGTTTGAGTTCTTGGGTCGGATTGTGGGCAAATGCATGTACGAGGGCATCCTCATTGACATTGCATTTGCCGGATTTTTCCTGCTGAAGTGGATCTCGGGCCAGACAGGGGAAAACAGCTACCGAGGAAACGTCAACGACTTAAGAGACCTTGACGAGGAGCTTTACCAGGGCATGTTGCGGTTAAAGAACTTCAGGGGAAATGTGGCAGACCTGTCATTGGACTTCACCATCACAGACCAAGTCTCACTGCCGGGACAGCCGGTGCGAACCGTTTCGAGGAATCTCATCCCCAACGGTGAAAACGTTAATGTCACCAACGACAACCGGCTGTTATACATATCCTACGTTGCCCGCCATCGCCTGGTCGCCCAACCCTCACAGCAGACAGCCGCCTTCCTCCGAGGCCTTCGCTCCATCATCGCCCCCTCGTGGCTCTCTATGTTCAACCAGAACGAGTTGCAGCGCCTCGTCGGCGGCGACAGCTCCGAGATCGACATCGAGGACCTGCGCAGGAACACGATCTACTCGGGCCTGTACGAGATCGGCGACGACGGGCTGGAACACCCGACCATTCAGCTCTTCTGGAGGGTCATGGCCAAGTTCTCCGATGGCGAGCGCCGGGACGTGCTCAAGTACGTCACCAGCACGCCGCGGGCCCCGCTACTGGGCTTCTCGCAGCTGAGTCCGCGGTTCAGCATCCGTGACGGCGGCGAGGATCAGGAAAGACTGCCGTCCACCAGCACGTGTGTGAACTTGTTAAAGCTGCCGCGTTACAAGGATGAGGAGACGTTGAGGAAGAAGCTCCTGTATGCCGTCTCTTCGGGAGCTGGGTTCGACCTCAGTTAAGGCGTTGGCCCCTGGTAGACTGTTCATGATGTTATGACATAAAGGATAGAGAAGCATAGGACTATTGTAAACATATTACCGACAAGACTGCGCGTCCATCGGCGGCCTACTGACTTTTTGATAAGGTTGTACGTGATAAACCATGCCAACGTCTCTGGGATAGCTGTTCGACAGAGCAGCATCATTGTATATGAGGTCATATTCTGATTGTTGCGATGAAGTTGGTCTAAATTACGTGGGAGCGTACCTCCCTTACTTGAATGTACATGCGCTCTCTACTTGAAGAGGTTTGTACGTGTATAATAGATTCACCGAGAACTGAAATAAACCGCTTCGACAGCTGTATATCTTACTGGTAGCTCTTCTCGAGAAGATGTGGCTTTCTCTCCCGAAGATCAAGCATCATCTGTCCAAAGAGCCCGTTCGCCCACGCAAACCTAGGTTTCCAAGTCAGCATTCTGCGCGAAGGCCACGGAGTAAAAACAGATGATCTTAAACTCACCACGACCTAGACCACACCGAAGCGTCATGGCTGTTCACAGACTCGTGGATCAAGCCCAGCCGGTTCGTCGAACTGACGAGCTGCCTCAAACCATTGGAGATTTCGTCGTCGTCGTCGGAGGTCAGGAGCTGCGCGATCAACGCCATGGGCCACGCCATGCCGGGCCCGATGTGCGGACCGCCCGTGGCGTTGAGCACGGGGCCGCGCATCTGGTACGGGTTCGAGGTCGAGAGGATGAACTTGCGGGTGTTCTGGTACACGGGGTCGCGGGCGGAGAGGTAGCCGTAGTGCGGGGCGGAGAGCAGGGAGGGGATGTTGGCGTCGTCCATGACGTTGTGGGAGCCGAAGCCGTCGATCTCGTACGAGTAGATCTCGCCGAACTTCGGGTGGTTCGTCCTGGCGTGGGCCTCGATGCCGTCCCTGATGCGGGCGGAGGCGTCCCGCATGCGCTCGGCCATACCGGCGTCGATGGGGTCCATGATCTCGGCGCAGGAGTTGAGGTAGCGGGAGAACATCATGTTGGCGGGGACGAAGAGCTGGTAGATGCAGCTGTCGTCGCTGGGGCGGAAGAAGCTGCGGACGAGGCCGGTGCCGGCGTTGGTGGGGGCGCCGTTGCCCTTGTTGGAGAGGGTCTCGGAGGCGGAGGTGGTGCGGCGCTCGAAGAGGGCCGGGGAGGGGTTGAGGGTGCCGTCGGCGGCGTAGGTGCCGGTCAGCAGGGCGTCGGTGGTGTTAAGGAGGACGGCGATGGCCTTGGGCCAGTTGAACTTTGCGAAGAAGTCCTTGTCCGCGGTGGCGGCGTGGTAGTCGTGGGAGATCTGGAGGAAGGCGGCCAGGCTGTCGAGTTCGTATTTGCACTCGAAGAAGGAGTAGGACGGGTAGGCCGGGGAGATGTGGTCGTCGCCGCCGGCTTCGTTCGGGGTCGGGGCGATCTTTGACTCTTCTGGGGGCTGGAAGGCGTTGCAGTGGGGGGCGTTGCGGACGTAGCGGGCTTGGAGGTTGATGAGGCCGCGGTAGAGGGAAGCCAGGGAGTTGGTGGAAGAGTTGCGGGTGAGGAGGGAGCGGTAGCTCTGGAGCTGGTTGGAGGAGTCGCGGAGCCACATGGCGTTGATGTCGCCGGTGATGACGAAGGACAGCTCCTCGTCAGCGTTGTCGGATGAGGCGCCTTGCCAGGCGACGGTCGTGTCGAGGGTGTTTGGGAAGGTGTTCTCGAAGAGACGGTAGAGGTCTGGGTCTTTGACGAGAGTCTTCATCTCCGTGATCGTCTTCTCGACCTCGGGGAAGGTCGTCGTGCGACATTCTGGAGGCGGGCGTTGGTAGGCAAGCTTGTGGACACCCTCAGAGAATGGTTCGTGGGGAGTCGCGGCGTAGTCTGTGAAGTGTGGACAATTTGGTTTGAGGGCCGCGGTTGCCAGACCGGCGAAGACAAGGAGAGAAGTGAGAGGAGCCATCTCGTCGGCGGTTGGCTAGGGCCAGTAGATGAGGAGGAAACGAGGTGTGGTCACGACCGCAGGACGTCGTGATGCCTTGCCCTCGGCGGGCAGGGCATGTTTATGAAGGAGCCGGCGAGGAGCTAGCTAGCCAGGAACCGGGCATGCTTGTTGGTCAAGATGAACTGTGGTTCGCGTGACCTTGGATGATGGGCGGGGATGATCGAGATGCGGGGGAACTTAAGGGAACGTTGTATGGTGTATTGTAGTATTGCAGGAGACTATGATGTCGTTGTGCTTGTAAGTGTCCACAAGGCCATAAGCAACGAAGTGGGGGATGAGGAGGTGATGAGGGGACGAGGAGAGTGATAGCAAGATGAGGAGGTGTGACCGACGACCATCAACATTGCTTCGAGACCACGGGCATTCACGACGTTTTAGCATTGGAGGGGCAGTCGAGGCGGCAGGCACGCGCTCCGAAGCTCAGACCAGTAGAGGCGTTTGGAGTGCTTCTCGCAGAACTCGTTGATGAGGACATTACGCATTGTTGCTCGACATGAAGGGGACCCTGAGCAGCTTGACAGGCACTGGCAGGGTGTTTCCCCGACTGATTGAGTTTCCAGAGTTTCCAGAGTTTCCGGTGGGAGAAGGACGAGAAGTTGGCGGTCTTGAGTAATGAGGTGGGATTACCAGCCTCTAGAGGAGGTCGATGGAGGGGGATTCGAGCAGGGTTCTCCGCCTTGATGCAGCTGGATCTCCCGGTGCTAAGAAACGGCAACGGCAGCCACTCGGCTTGGCGCATTATGATGGCAGTTCTCCGAACGAGGCATGCCGTGATTGGGATGGGTGGAGGAGTTCCACTGCCATGTCTGAGTGTGGCCTTCCTGACGTTGAAGGCCTGTGACGAGAAAGACTTTGGAAGACTTCTTCCAGAAGACAGCAAGTTTGAGTGTTTATAAGGCACGGTCCCTCCCGTTAATATAGTGAACAGGTTTCTCTCAACTTGGTCAGAACGGTCCGCTTGGATGTACGTCCATCCCGCTGTGAACTTGTCCTGAGTCGGGGTGATCTATGCCCAAGCCTGGAGGCTCGAAATGAAGATGGAAATTGACAAGAAAGAGAGTTTTCCCATCATTGGATGGTATTGTTACAGCGTATCGGGCCGTGCTCACTGTTGAGGGTTTCGTTGCTGGAGAACTCGTTGATCTAGGACTTGTCGATTTGTGAGGATGGTTCAGTGTGTAGGAGGAAGGGATGAGGGGTTGTTGGTTAGAAATTGGAGAAATTGCGTCGTTGAAGTGAAGGGCTTCCTCGCGTAATTTGCCTTGGATGCCGTGCTGTTAGGAGCGATCAGCAAATCGGCGCAAGTTGCACTAACATTTAACCTTAACTTGGACAGCAAGGGTAGCCGCAGCCACTAGTTCCCGCTGTGCTTCAGGTCATTGTCAGACCTGCTGTGTTGTGTCTGGCATTCCGCCCATGTTGCTGGCTGGTATTGCCTCATGCAATTCTTCAGATGGAGAGTCACATTCAGCTTTAACCGCACCTGGGAGTTGGAGCTGAACACTGCATCCTCCGCATCCGATTAGGCGCATGGCGCGCATGCCCAGGCGAATAGTCGGTTGCAATAGCCAATTTCTCCGTCAAGCTAGCAGACCATCATCCACTCGGCAGAAAGAGAGTCCAAGAATGGCGTCGAGTTGGTTGCCATTTTGGTGCTTGGCTCCAGCGACGAGACAGGAGACAAGACACCCCTTGTAACCAACCCCTACCACCCTTTACCTTCCCATCTCATCGTGCTGGAGATTGCATACCTTCGGCAGGGCCCTCCTGTCTTCATATATACCCGCACATGTGTCCTGTTGCCTCTGTCCGCGGCTTCTTCGCCTCCAGATGCTCCAACTTAACGAAACGGCCCGCACTATCCCCTGTTTCTTGCTAGAGGAGAGACATGGCCCGTATGCCAAGATTGGTGGACAGAGCCCAGCACGAGACGCCGAGACCTGCCTAACCTTCAGCTGAAGTTGTCCATTCCACGGCGATCGACGACATCCTGGCCAGGAAACGACCTCCATCAGAGAGAGAACATCATCCATCCTTGCTTCACTGCGTCCCGCGCATCTAAGAAAAGACGTTCTTCTATTACAACCTACATTTTTCCACTCTTCGCGAAAAAGAAAAAAAAAGTCTTTTCAATTACTGTTCATCAGGTTCCAGCGGAGTCCCATGATAATTGGTGCGTCTCAACCCAAGCTTTCGTATTCCTGCGCTGACAGACCTACAGCAAGCGCTTGCTCGAGGGAGGAGTAAGCATTGCCGCGGGGAAACGGCGTCATCTTGGAAATACATACATGGCTTCTTGATCGTCAACAACGTCAACTATCTTAAGCACAACATCCTTTCTCATCTAGGGGAACAGCCTGCGGTCGCCGAGCGGCACCGTCAACATGGCCGTTCTTGTACCCGCCATCGGCCTATCAAGGCCTATTCGCCTGCTGGTTTTCGCCTTCGTCCTCGTCTGCTTGATATTCTGGTGGCCTTCGTCGGAAGGCGGAGGATTATCGACTCTTTTGTTCTCCAAATCTAGCCAACGGTCCAAACACGCCATCCTCAAGTACATAGATCCATTAATCGGTACCGTCAACGGCGGGCATGTCTTCCCCGGAGCAACATTGCCATACGGTTGGTGGTATTCACCAGACATACAGCCAAGTCACTGACGACAGTATTCAGGCATGGCCAAGGCCTGCGCTGACACCAACTCTCGTGCTGAGAACGCCGCGGGTTGGGTGTCTGACAATTCCAAGATTACCGGCTTTTCCCACATGCACGATTCTGGTCAGTCGAGATCTCCTTTACATGGTGAACATTCGCTAACGAGTTGAGCAGGAACCGGAGGCGTAAGATCACGGTCAACCCGTCGTACGTGAGACATCAACTGACACATCTCGCAGTCTCCATCGCTTGGAAACTTCCCCCTCTTCGTTCATCCTGGGTGCCCGAACGACAATTACACAATGTGCAAGTACACAACCGACCAGCGAAGCCTTTTCCGCGTCAACGACTCTATCTTGGCCACTCCAGGCTATTTCTCACTCAACCTTTCCAACACCGTTCGTGCTGAGATGACGGCAAGCGAGCGGACTGCTCTTTACCGATTCACATTTTCACCAAACGAGACGGTCTCATACGAAGACGTGGCCAATCCCGACCAGGACAAAATCGATGCCGTGAGCAATCCTCTGGTTCTCATCGATCTCACAGATATCGCCCAGAGCAGATCTAGCGGGGGCATACAAGTTTACGAATCAGGTCGTATGGTCGGAGACGGTACTTTCAGGCCGTCTTTTGGACAGGGCACCTACTCGGCCTTCTTCTGCGCCGACTTCCGAGGCGCAAACATTCGAAAATCGGGTGTTTTTGAAGGCGAAAACGCACACGACGACCAGAAATACATCTCATCGTTCACTCGAGGCTTTTACAACCCGACTGGCGCTGCCGGCGCATGGCTGCACTTCGAACGTCCCGAGAACAACCAGATCCTCGCCCGTGTCGGTGTGTCATTCATTTCGGTAGAAAAAGCGTGCCAGAATGCCGAGAACGAGATTCCAAAATTCGACTTCGAGGGTACTGTCAAAGCTGCCGAGTCGATTTGGGCGGAAAAGCTCTCGACGGTGCAAGTCGACGCTACGGGAGTCAGCAAAGATATGCAGGTCACTTTCTGGTCAGGTCTATACAGGAGTCTGCTATCGCCGCAGAACTACACGGGAGAGAACCCTCTCTGGGAGTCATCAGAGCCGTACTTTGACTCCTTTTACTGCATTTGGGACTCCTTCCGTGCCCAGCACCCGCTGTTGACCGTTATTGATCCAGAGGCACAAACGCAAATGGTTAGAGCTCTACTGGATATATACAGATTCGTCGGTAAACTGCCAGACTGCAGAATGTCGTTCTGCAAAGGGTATACCCAGGGCGGTTCCAACGCCGACATCGTCATTGCCGATGCTTATCTCAAAAACATCAGCAATGGCGTGGACTGGAAGACCGCGTACGAGGCCGTGGTGTCTGATGCGGAAGGTCAGTAGCTGCTCATTCAAGCAAGATTCCTTCCTGACATATCTTCGCAGTTGCACCTCAAAACTTTGGTGTTGAGGGTCGTGGGAACCTTCAAAGTTGGTTTGGTTTGGGATACATTGCCAAAGACCACATGGACAGGATAGCTAGCGGACCGAACACTCGCTCCATATCTCGAACGGTGGAGTACGCCTACGACGACTTTTGCATCGCCGAGATGGCGCGTGGTCTGGGGCACAACGACGACCACGCCAAGTACATGCAGCGCAGTGCCAACTGGCAGAATCTTTGGAACCCAGACCAGCCGGACATCATCCAGGACAAAAGCGGCAAGGAGGTTGATCGAACCAAGTACAAGGGATTTCTCATGCCGAAGCTGATCAACGGCTCCTTCGAGTACCAGAACACACGTGTTTGTTCGCCCAACACAGAGCAACACATCTGCTACTTCGACACCTGGCAGTCCACGTACGAGGGCTCACCATGGCTGTACTCGTTCTTCGCACCGCAGGATATGAAGACGCTGATTCAGCTGATGGGCGGTCGGGACGCATTTGTGGATAGGCTGGAGTATTATCACGGCGGTAACATCGTCTACATGGGCAACGAACAGGGCTTCCTCACGATCTTCCAATTCCACTACGCCGGCCGGCCCGGTCTTAGCTCCCGCACGGCCCGAAGCTATATTCCGTCGCAGTTCAACTCGAGTATCAACGGCATACCGGGCAACGACGACTGCGCAATGGGGGCTTTTAGCGGTCTGGCCATGATGGGCTTCTTCCCGGTAGCCGGACAGGATGTGTACCTCCTCATCCCGCCATTCTTCCCTGAAGTTCGACTGAAGTCGAGGAGTGCCAAGCCCGCTGTTATCCGAAAAGTCGCCAAGGACGAAAAGGAGCTGGCCGAGGGCATATACATTCAGAGCGCTACCCTGAATGGCAGGCCGTATACCAAGAACTGGATCTCTCACGACTTCTTCTACCACGGTGGGGTGCTGGAGTTGACGGTTGGCTCGAAAGAGAGTGATTGGGGCACCAAAGAAGAGGACGTCCCGCCCAGCTACCCAGCAACACCAAAGACTTTGGCTGCGCAAGGATGATGATCAATGGGGCAGACCGCAAAGGTGTAATAACAGCAATATGGCCGCACAGTAAAATCGGCTCACTTGTAATGATAGAATTCGGCGTAAACCACAATTTCACCGCGACCGTCGACAGATTTCCGCAAGTGTCCACGTCAGTCCTCGGCCAAATGCAAATTTTTGCCGACGGCATGCTCACAATTGGGGCCGAAACGACATCGGAGGAACGCAACTGACATTTGAAATTTGGGCTCCATGATTGGCCCGGCGGGTTCTTGGACCCTTTTTCGTTTTGCTGCGGACGGTTAATTCCCAGAAGTAACTCGGCTTCTCCCGGTTCACGGTGCTCTCTGGTACGGAGGTACCTTTCAGCTGCCAATAGAGCTTGCATCATTCACTCGGCTTCTACTTGGAGTCGCAAGCGGTTTTGGCTGCATCGTGGAAGTATCGTCCGAGTCGAGATTCCCCAGAACCGGTTTCTCTCGGCTATCACCAACAACCGGAAACCAGGGCCCGAGCTTGGGGGAGAATCGAGTCCATGTCATTGACGCCGTTCGTACCTGGTCACTTTCTTGTCCCCTCCCCCATTTACGACGGTTCCTCTCCCCCCCAATTACGTATTAGAGGGACAAGAGACAAGCTACCCTGCCCTCCACGGGCCCCATTCGAGAGTCCGTTTTTTAAGTGTCCCGCCGCCTGCTTCGAATCTCAAAATTCCTCATCGTCTTGCCGGGCTTGACTACAGTCACTCGCTACTGCTGCTCAACTTGTCGCCGGTCTATCGCTACCGAGGTGTTTTCCAATAGACCAATTGCGCCGCGACGTGAGCTTGCGGTTCGCTGGCTTCAGTACCTGCACGGTCCCAACACCGAATCCGGCGATCTCGACGAATTCGACGAAGACGGCGAGCTCTCGTGACCTACCCGACATACACCACCGAGTAAACCACCGTCCAATTTTCTAATTCCGTGGTGCATCATTCTACCACTAGCAAGGGGGCCATTGAAGCTTGACGAACGACACAATACACCAGACACACATAGCCGGTCAACATGAGCACAGCTTCGCCCCTCGCGAGGGGTCTGCAACGCAGCACCCGCAACTTCTCACGATGCCGTTACCGTACCACACGTCCCGCGCAAGCAGGCCTCGCCACAGCCAGCAGAACCTCTAGGACAGCTACCGCCACCAGCAGGTTACCTTCCTCCCGCACCTCGGCCGTCACCATCTTTCGCCCCCTAGGCGCCCGCACATTTACCACGAGTAGGACACGGCGCAGCGATGAGGAAGAAGACTTCGACCCGGCAGCCATTGAGCGTGAATCAGACGAGGTCGATGTGTGTATTGTAGGCGGTGGTATGTTGCGAAACTCACCCAGAACAGTCATGTTATTCAATGCGCAACACCAGAAACGCTGACCAGAGTTTGATTTGCCCACAACACAGGCCCGGCAGGCCTCAGCGCCGCGATCCGCCTCAAGCAGCTCGCCAACGAAGCGGGCAACGAAGACTTCCGCGTCCTCCTCCTCGAAAAGGCCGGCGAGATGGGCGCCCACATTCTCTCGGGCGCCGTCATCCAGCCCACCGCCATCGACGAGCTCATCCCGGACTGGCTCTCCGAGGACAACCCCGACCGCTTCGAGTACGCGACCCCGGCCGGCGGCGACCGCATGCGCTTCCTCACCAAGACGGCCTCCATCCCCCTGCCGACCCCGCCGCAGATGCACAACGACGGCAACTATATCGTCTCGCTGAACCAGTTCACAAAGTGGCTCGGCGATCGCGCGGAAGAGCTGGGCGTTGAGGTTTACCCGGGCTTCGCTGCCTCCGAGGTGCTCTACAACGTCGACGGCAGCGTCAAGGGCGTCGCGACCAACGACCTTGGTATGGGCCGCGACGGCAGGCCCAAGGAGTCGTTCGAGCGTGGCATGGAGTTCCACGCGCGGTGCACCCTCTTCGCCGAGGGTTGCCACGGCAGCTTGAGTAAGCAGGTCATCAAGAAATTCGACCTGCGCCGCGACAGCCAGCACCAGACGTACGCGCTCGGCGTCAAGGAGGTGTGGGAGGTGCAGCCGGAGAAGTTCAACAAGGGAAGCATCACGCACTCGATGGGCTACCCGCTATCTAAGGACCTCTACGGCGGCGGCTGGATGTACCACTTTGGCGACAACCTCGTCAGCATCGGCCTGGTCGTCGCGCTCGACTACGAGAACCCCTGGGTGTCGCCGTACGGCGAGTTCCAGAAGATGAAGCACCACCCCATGTACAAGGAGGTGCTCGAGGGCGGCAAGTGCCTGACCTACGGCGCGAGGGCGCTCATCGAGGGAGGTTTCCAGAGTATACCAAAGTGCGCGTTCCCGGGAGGCGCCCTCATCGGCGACTCGGCGGGCTTCGTCAACCTACCCAAGATCAAGGGCACGCACAACGCCATGAAGTCGGGCATGCTGGCCGCGGAGGCGGCCTACGACGCCCTCTCGGCGCCCGAGAAGGAGGAGGATGGCACCGTGTTCCTCTACGACTACGAGGACAAGCTGCGCAACTCGTCCATCTGGAAGGAGCTCAAGGAGGTGCGCAACTTCCGCCCCTCGTTCCACACGCCGCTCGGCCTGTACGGCGGCATCGCCTACTCCGGCCTCGAGGCGTACGTGCTCAAGGGCCGGGTGCCGTGGACGCTGAAGCACAAGACGCCGGACCACGCGGCGACGAAGCCGGCGGACAAGTTCCAGAAGATCGAGTACGAGAAGCCCGACGGCAAGATCAGCTTCGACATCCTCACGAGCGTCAGCCGCACCGGCACCAACCACGAGGAGGACCAGCCGGTGCACCTCCAGGTCAAGGACTGGGACAAGCACACGCGCGAGACGTGGCCCGCGTTCAAGGGCGTCGAGAACCGCTTCTGCCCGGCCGGCGTGTACGAGTACGTCGAGGACGACACCAAGGAGCTCGGCGTGCGGTTCCAGATCAACGCGCAAAAGTGAGTTACCCCTTGTCTTGCCTTTTCGGCGGCAGAGTTCCTCGTGGACCTTCCGCGCGGGAGAGGCACGATTCAGGAATGTGGTGATGGGTGGTTGACTGACTCTGTTCGAATTTCTAGCTGCATCCACTGCAAGACGTGCGACATCAAGGCGCCGAACCAGGATATCAACTGGCAGGTTCCGCAGGGAGGCGAGGGTCCCAAGTACTACATGTCATAAGGGAGGGGGCCACGGCGGCGGCGGTTGGAGGAAAACGTGCAAAAGACAAGTTCGGCTGTCATCTCTTCTGTACCGGTTGGCGTGGCAGGTGCATGTTCAGACCAAAAAATACAGACAGGAGGGAATGGAAGGAAGAAAGGGAAATGCATAGTAGAATGTTCGGAGGCCCGGCGTCCATGTCCATGTTCCACTCTTCTGGGGTAAGGATATGCTGTGTAGAGAGCAGAGCACGTTTGTATGATGGGCGCGGGAAAGCCAAAAGCAAAAATAACCACAGGATCTCTCGGCGCTGGGTTTTGCTTGTGCGGAAATTTGGCTTGAATGGGAAGGAAGGTGTACGGAACGGTGACAGGGTGTACATAGTGTAGCGGTACCCTTACTTTTGATATTTTTTTTACAATCGTCCCGAATGACGACACGCTTTTTCTTCGGCATATCAGATGAATGACTTTGCGGGTGCATGACGAAGGTGCTTCTGGAAGACGAAGGTCCCAAGGCAAGGGGGCCCGACTGACATCGTACCACGACACGACGTCGTCCGGCCTGTGACGGCGCGCGCGGGGTGAATCGAAGCGAGTTGAGAAAGAAGGAGGTCCCCTTGTTGGTTTTAACGGCCGCCCCCGATCGGAAGCAGGACCCCGACTGGGGGTGGAATGGGGACTGGACATCGGAGACACGAAGGGTGGGTTTGCGAGACACCAGACGTCCGTTGGACTTCATGCGGTGGGCGAGGCTGGAATGGACAGATTGCCCGGCGGGTTTTGTGCGGGCTTGTGGGAGAGTCAGAGTGGCTGACACGGAATGCACCATCGCGGGAGGCCTCGAGCTGACAGCGTGCCAACGCGGACGTTGGGCATCGTGGGTGACTCGTGAAGCTTCCTTGGGCCTCTTCGGTATATATGAGGCCGCTGCCCAAAGCCCGAGAACCTGACGGTGGGAGGCAAGGTTTTTCATGATGGAGCCAACGCAACGATAACGACGTTGAAGAAAAAGGTCGTTTTGATGCGACACTAGTCGCCAATGTCGTGAGATGGAGACGACGAGGCTGTCGGACGGTGGTGTTTGAAGTTGCATGAGTCGCAGTGCAGATGGAGCTCTGCCAAACCCCGCGAGGCCGAGCATGCGAGATACGATTTGCGGCCAACAAGCCTTCAAAAAAAAGCTGGAACTCTCGCTGCGCGGCGCGTCCCACAGGATGAAAAAAGTTATGGCTTGGCCTTTTGGGCTACGAGGAGCTGGCACATGCATGAGTCGCGCAGGGCAAAGCCGACGACGTGGGGAAGTATCTCGACTTCGGGGAGGATCCAGAGGTACTTGTGAAGCACGGACCAGACGGCCCCCAGTTTGCGTGATGCCCCCTGGTACTCGATACCTGGCAGTAAGATTACGGTCAAATTTGCATCTGCAAAATCGCTGCAGGTGCCCATCTCTGTCGTGACGGTGTAGCACCGCCAGAGCGCCGTCAGAAACGAGGGCGGATGGGCAGAGAGGGCAAAGTCGATGTGTCGAGTGCGAATCGACGATGGCAACATTCGAGTCGGACTTACCGCGCATTTAACGGAGTCTGGGGGCCATGGTGGATGTCGTATCGACAGAGTTTTCTCTCGGGCGAAAGTTCGGGTTCCATCATGGACCGCGGCGTGGCGAGGCTCGCGTACACGGTACGCGAGCTGGAACTGGGAAGCTTACGACGGGGCAAAGTGCAAACACGCACCAGTGCCAGCCCAGCCCTTTCCCCAATGCTTTTTTCACATCCCCCCCCCTGCCGTGGCTGGCCAGTGGCCGATTAGAGCCGGTCTGGAGTCAATGACTCACACGTCGGAAGCCGTCTGTTTGCTACCGTGGCCCATAAAATTCCTGCCAAAGGGCCGCGGATGCCCGAAAGCAGTGCAAGCGCCCTGGAAAGGTGCCGTTTTCGCATTCCAATCGCCAGCCCGGTGCTCTCTGCTCTGCGTTTGTCGTCGCGGCCGAGGGCTGTGGCGGCGGTCTATGACTGTTTGCTGTTTCGCGTCGCCGTGTTTTCGCGTCCGGGCATGGTCTGGTGACTGACTCTTCTGACAGATTTGACGGCAGGCGTGGCCGTTCGCTGATGGGGATGGTGATGCCGCTTTCTCGTGTGCTGCCGCTGCCGCTGCTCAGCACTGACTGAACATGTCGGTGCTGATCGTCAGTGAGGCATCAAAGTAGGGGGCAGGCTCAGTGTTTCAGACCGCTAGCGTGAGGTTGGAGTGTGAGGGAGGAGGGTTGAAAAAGGGAAAAAGCCCCTTCGATTGCTGGGAGGAAGAAAAAAAAATCAAAAAAAGGGGGGAGGGAGGTGGGGGGGGGGAATGAATGGGTTGGTGGTGAAGGGGCCCCCAGTCAAACAGTCCAGACCTGCACCCAAATGGTTGGAGCTGTGGGTGTAATGCAGCTCCAGCTGCCAACAGGACTGACGCGGACTGTGGGAGCGCTGGAATTGGATTGATTGTTGGTGTTGGGGCTGGCGATTGGCACCTCCACGCCCTGGAAGGAGGGAGAACCGAGCGGAAGGGAAGAGCGGAATGGGTCGGCAGGTCGTGGGTAGCGCTGGCGGTAGCGTTGGTGTTAGCGATAGCGGCATCCAGTCGGATAGCGTGCGAGGTAGCGCTGCAGTGGGATTTGCATTTGGCTGGTGTCCAATGTTGATGGTGGCTATCCAGGCAATAGTGGCCCGCGGGCTGTCGTCGGCGGCATTGGCAGGCCAGCTATTTGGTTGGATTGGGGTTGAGCTGTCGCGGTGCGGGTGCCGACGCGCTATGCCGATTGATTTGTTTGCCTTCCCAGGCTATGCCGGACGGCCTGAGGTAGGTAGGCAGACAGACCGTCGTCATTCCCAGGCAGAATTCGTTGGTGTCGCGACGGTGTCGGAGATGGTGATGACTCGACGCGTCGTTTGGTGTTTATCGTGGCGAGCCAGTGGCCGTAGTCGTACGAGGTGTTGCATCGCCGCCAGCTGAGATTGAAAAGCATCCGTAGAGGTCCAGTCGGTCGGGTTCGGAGTGAAAGCATGAGAGAAAGAAAAAGTCGTAGGCGAAAGATCCAGGAAGTGTGTGGATGGCTAACCCTGACGAAATGGTGAGCAAAGAGGAATGAGTCCATGACCGACCGACCATCCAGGGATGGGCTAGCAAACCAAGCGAGTCGAGTCGTATCGCAAGAAAAAAAAAAAGTGGAAGAAAAAAGAAGGAAAAAATGCAGGCGCAAAGCAGGCTTCAGGGCAGAAAAAAACGAAGACCGGACTGGACAGCAAAAACTGTGGATGATGACATGGCCCCGTCAGGGAGGGCCTCACTGACACATTTTGGCAGCCGCAGTGCAGCATCCAAAAAGGCCACTTCACACCTCAGAGGCTCAGTCCCAGCTGGCAATATGGGAAAGCAGGTGCAAGAGCAAGCAAGCAAGCACTGGCCAGCAGAATGCATTGTCGCAAAAAAGAAGAAAAGACTTTGGAACTTGTACTGCGACCTTGAACGCGGTGCTGCGGTACTTCAGGGGCTAGGTGGTCACAACAAGGGGGGACATGAGGGTGGAAAGGAGATAAAATAAGAAGAATATGTGATTGTGATTGGCCAAAACTGCTTAGCGCGGCCGCTAAGCACAGGCAATGTCAAGCAGGACCAACCGCCACGGCGCACTGGCTGCCTGGGGCCCCTGGACTATGTGGCAGGGGGGTGTCGTTGGGGCGACTGCTCAGGCGGGCGATGGCCAAAATTATAAAGAGGCAGGCCTCCCTCCAACCCGCTTGTTTCGAGATTCTTGCGCGGAAGCTCCGACCGACCGCCTTACGTAGTCACACCCACTCACGTTCGGCCTTTCTAATTTTCCTTCTCCACCCCCACTCAACCCAACCCAACCCAAACCCAAAAAAGTCCAACCACCAACCACACGCGATCTTGCATCGTCGTCATCGTCATCAGAGCCTCATCGCACGTCCATTCTCGTCATCCACGACGACAGACAGACAGTCACACAAAGACCCAAGGCCAGACAGTCATACTACTACTGTCCCGTCCCACGTCCTACCCTCACCCACCGAGGTCGACCTCTCTCTCTACACTTCTACTCCAACTAACGACGGAGCTGTCGTCAACATCAGCCAGGGCCCAGGTGGTATCGCTCTCTTAACTGAAAGTGTTCCCGGACATCCTACCCTGCACGAAAAGAAAGAACTGGAATACGTTCCTTTCGAGACGTCCCTTCGTTACGTTATCCGCGCGATCCCTTCCGACGACAACCAGGTCGAGAACGAGTCGCTGCGATCTGTAGACACAATCCGTGCGCATCGTCGACGAATAGAGACATAAGTGCTTTGAACCGTGACGAGGTATCCCGAGACGTCGAGTTGATTACTGGTATCTGGGTCATTCGCAACATATCCGAAGCGACCCCTACGAAACCAACGACCTTCTCGTCGACCTACCTCACTTGAGACCCTACCTGCGCCTTCTTCCTGCCGCCTCCGTAAGACCTGCACCGATCGCATCGTCGCATCGAAAAAGATTCGCGCATACCTACCTACCTGTCTCGAGCAGTCGCTGTAGGGGAGACATTCACTTGTTCATCTCCCGCAACTGGTATGGTGTTCTATCTCTTTTCCCTCTTCGTTCGTCTGCCTTCGCACCTTCCTGAACACTTCCCGAGCACCTTCCACTTTGTGTGTTGTGGTCGGCACCTTCCCCAACCACGCGGCGCAAAAAGTTTGGCGCACAGACCAAGTCCCTCCATTCCTATATAAATGTCGCGCCACTGGCGTAATCTCCCCCAAACACCACCAGATTGACGATCCCGAGCCTCGCACCCATCAATAATATCATCATTCTTCGCCGCGCATCTTTTTACAGTATTACCTCGTTGGTAATCGCGCGCTTGCTATGCCATCTAGAACAATTTACTGACATTCGCAGATCTGCTCTCTGCCCTCATCTGAACCGGTTATTACCCAGCAACCGCAATCATGGAGGCCATTCAAACCCATCCCACCAACGCAGCGCAAGCTAAGGCCTTCACTGCGCCTGGGTCCCTCTCCTTCCCTGGTGGCTCTCACGAGCTCCCTCCTGCCCCGCCTGGCGTTCAAGCTCCCGTCAACGGCCAAGTTCCCGTGGCCAACGGCCAGCAAGGCGCAAACGGTACCGGGGTGACTCCCGCGACCCCCGCCGCGACTCCTGCTGCCACTCAGGGTGGAAGCGGTTTGACTCCTACGTTGCAGTATGTATATCATGAGTGAACGTTTTCTGCTCCATGACGCTTATGCTGCTGCTCAAGGAACATCGTTGCCACGGTCAACCTCGATTGCCGCTTGGACCTGAAGACGATTGCCCTGCACGCGAGAAACGCCGAGTACAACCCCAAGGTATGTTGCAGCAGGCGCTTTGCTGATTGAACAATGCTGATCTTGCTCCTAGCGTTTCGCCGCCGTCATCATGCGTATTCGCGAGCCCAAGACCACCGCTCTGATCTTCGCCTCTGGTAAGATGGTCGTCACTGGTGCCAAGTCTGAGGATGACTCGAAGCTTGCTTCTCGCAAGTATGCCCGTATCATCCAGAAGCTTGGTTTCAACGCCAAGTTCACCGACTTCAAGATCCAGAACATTGTCGGATCTTGCGACATCAAGTTCCCCATCCGCCTCGAGGGTCTCGCCTCTCGCCACCACAACTTCAGTTCTTACGAGCCTGAGCTGTTCCCTGGTCTCATCTACCGCATGATCAAGCCGAAGATCGTGCTTCTCATCTTCGTCTCCGGCAAGATCGTTCTCACTGGTGCCAAGGTGCGAGAGGAGATTTACCAGGCTTTCGAAATGATCTATCCCGTGCTTCAGGGTCAGTACTTTTCTCTCGATCATGTTACCCAACTTCAACTAACCATCACCCAGATTTCCGCAAGGTCTAAGGCACCGAAGCCAAGGATGGATCGTCGACAGCTGTCGATGTATCACTATCACCAAAAAAAAAAAAACACGACCGACTTGTACGATTAGACAACACCCTTTCTTCACGATACCACGACTGCTTTTTACGCACACCATAAAAAAGGCGAGCGTCCGTCAGCGGGTACCTTGGCCATGACCAAGATACCTCGACGCTCGTTTGTGTTATCACTTGATTTTCCGCTGCATTGCATTGGCGTTGGCTCAGGAGGGAACCTGGACTGGAGGCATTAGTCAGGTGGTTTGATTCAGACGAAAAGAATAAGATTTCTCATCCCGCGACACCACATAGATTGCTCGTGGCATGGTCGACGGCAGACGCGCAGGTCGACATTGCCGTTCTTTAATGGAAGCGAATTAGAGCACAAGGGTTTGGGACTGGTAGTGGCAGGTGGGAGGATGTAAGCGGCCTTCTGGACAGTTGGTCGGAAGCGGTGGGAACGGTTGATGAGTTGGGAAACAGGACGATGTCGCCTCCTCGAGTTGGTCAGGTTGACCACTCCATTGCTCTGCCTTTAGCTTAGGGTTTGACGCGAGTCGACAACGGGCATTCATCAGTATGCAAAGCCAAACCTGATTTCATGAATACCTTATCTGCTCTCGCGTGAAATGATTTCGAGCTTGTCCTGATCGTGTAAATTTTGTTCGAAATGGTCCTGGATGTGAGAAGTACGTGTGATAGGAAACATTTTAACATATACATATGTACATCTACGTTTACGTATCTACGTTGGCGCTTTCTACGTTTGTCATGACACATACAAACAAATGGCGAGATCTACAGCTTAGGCTGCTCTCCCTTGAGCAAGATCCCCGGGACACCTCCACGGCTACCGTCGTCGCAGGAGATGTTCTCGTACAGATTCGTCACGTCCTCGCGCGTCTTCACCGCCCTCCACTTCCACTTCTCGGTGAAGACGGCGTCGCCCTTGCCCTCGAGCACGTTGACAATCTCCCGGCCCAGCACGGGAAGGAACTTGAAGCCGTGGCCGCTGCCGCCCGTCGCGACGAAGAGGTTCTTGACCTCCGGGTGGTGGCAGATCAGAAAGTCGCCCGTCTGGGTGTCCGTGTACCAGCACAGGCGTGTCTTGACGAAGGGCCGGTCGTGAATCGCCGGGATCGGCACGATCGTCTTGACGGCGCGCCGCAGCGCCGCCTCGCCCTCGTCCGGGATCTTGAGGTCCGGATCCGTGATGTGCGTCGCGGGCAGCGATACCGTGCTCTTCTTCGCGGCGGACGAGGACGACGACGAAGGGTGAGGGATGGAGGTCGGGTTGAGGTAGCCGTAGGCGTGGCGGGCGACCTTGAGTTGCAAGCCCGAGGGCGGGATCATGAAGAGCCCCGTGCTGAAGTTGAGGGTCACAGGCATCTTGGAGAGGACCTCGAGCTCGGGGGGCGTGATATCGATGTAGCCCAAGACCTGGCCCGTCGCGACGGCCTGGCCGGAGAGGTCGACGAGCTGGCCGGTCCAGGCGCCGGCGGCGACGATGACGAGGTCGGCGGTGAGGACACGGCCGTCGGTCAGGGTCGCGCCGGTCACGATCGAGGAGGAGGGAGAGTAGTTGAGGCGGGCGGCGGTGCCAGAGACGAAGCGCACGCGGCGGAGGGCCTCGACGCGGCGCGCGAGGTACTTCATGCTCTCGCCGGCGTCAGCCCAGCCGGCAAGGGGGTTGTGGTAGCCCCATGTGCCCGGGGCGATCGGGGTGCCGAGGTGTTGGCGGATGGCGGTCGGGGTGGGGAGTTCTTTGATTATGTTGTGGCCGTCGGGCCCGGCGAGGGAGACGACGTTGTTGTAGCTCTCGCGGACGTATTCTAGGCTCGATTTCTTGGGGGACTTTGGCGGTGGTGGTGTTTGTGATGTCGCGGAAGGAGAGGAGACGGGGTCGGCGACGAGGCAGAGGCCGGACTGGTGATAGCGGCCCTCACCTCCCAGGTCGGCAGGGTCTGCGGTCTTGCGCCATTCGGTCTGGGCTTCGGCGGCGAGGCGGGCGTAGGCCGGGTCGGCGTAGTCGGAGCGGATGATGCGCGAGGAGTCGACGCTGGCTGCGTCTTCGCTGGGGCCGGGGACGGGGGAGCGGTCGAGGACTGTGATTGTTGTGGAGGCGTAGCGGGGGCGGAGGGCGAGCTCGTGGGCAGTGGTCAGGCCGAAGACGCCGGAGCCGATGATGAGGATGGAGGAGGGGGGTTCGTCGGCGGGGTCCGTCATTTTTTTTGGGTTCTTTGATGTCTGTGTGTTTTCGCGTCTCGTGTGGTGTGTCGATGTACCTGGACCTCGGGAGGTTCTCGGAACGGGTTGTTTCTTGCGAAGGTTAAGTTCAGTAGTAAACGCGTACAAGTATTGCCGGATAACTTTAAAACAGCGCGGAGGGAAGGGGAGGAGAGACGAAGAAGGGGGTGAGAATCGGTGGTTGGGGGCGGCACCGGACCGGCGCTGGATCGGAGGAGGAAATTTGCGGTGTCCCCCCAGGTCATCCTGGGTTTATCGGTTGGCGTTGCTCGTTATCATGGCGGGGAACCGTCTTCTCCATCGTAAGTTTTTGCAGCACGCGTGCGGGTTGCTCCCCCTCGGGCGTGGGGCCGGAGAGCAACTTTTTTTTTTTGGAGGTCCCAATGCCGGTGGTGGGGTCCGGTGTTGTCGGTTGGAGGGACCAGTTGTTTGGGTGCCTACCGGACTGGTTTAGGGTTTGGTTGGAAGAACTCAGATACGGTTCGATCTGCATGCAAGATGGTTTGGATTCGATCGGGACTCTGTCATCTTTCTTCGTGATAGATCCAGGGCTGTTGGTATGTCGATATGAGATGATGTTGGGTGTTGCTGAGTGTTCGGCATCGGAACCTGGTTCCGGGAGTAGCTGTCTTGCTCCCGGTCTGCTTGTGTTTGTGCTAGTGCCATTGCTGCTACTATTGCTCGGTCTTTGTTAGCCCTCCTTTGTTATTGTCAATGCTGCTATGCTGATTTCTGGTTGTGTTCCAAAACAACCTCCTGAACACAACCGCGTCGACAAAATTGAAGGCAACATCGACAACAGCGGCGCCGACGAGTGACTGCAGTGACCATGACAGGACCTGTAGCGAGATCAATAATGTCAGCAACAGGAACGGAAGGAACACTGGAGTGGAGGAACAGAAACATCCTGCGTAGGTAGGCTCTCAGATGTCGCACCTTCCAGCCCTCCGGCCAACCCTTCTTTTCATCAACCCTGCGACGTCATTCAACCTGATCGAGAGTTCTCGTCGACCGCAGTTTGAGCGCGGTGCTGGGCCTCTTCTTCCTGCCCTCTGGCCGCCTGCTTGCAGCGTCCTACGAGAGCCACTTGTGGTTCTGTTCTCTTCAACAAACATGGCCCGATGGTCTAGTGGTACGATTCTCCCTTCGGGTAGCAATACTCTTGAGCCTAGCTCATGATTGGGAGAGGCCCCGGGTTCGAATCCCGGTCGGGCCCTTTTTGCGTTTTTGCATGTCGAGGATGTCGGAGGTGAGGTTGACGATGGTTGCATGAAGTCTTCCTTTTGGTTTTTTGGCTGTGGTTGATTCTCCGATTCTCCAACCGTGCTTAGTCAAATTTTGCGTGTGCGACGTTGGTGGTTTAAGGAGGTCTAGGCCTCGGGTTACGTCAGCTGCATCGGCAGTTGCATGTCTGCCTCACAGCCTTACACAGGCAATGACACATCGGGTGTCGACGGGATACGTGATGAGGCTGACTGAATGATGACCGACTGAATACAAACAGGGAGTTGATGCAACCAAGAAACAAGACTTTTTAAAAAAAGAACAGCCCACTACTCCGACCGTACGAATTACTAGTAAATTACGCACCATTCGCACCGTGTGGGGTCGTCGTCACATCCCCGCTTTCAGCTGTCCCACGCCGTCTTCCCTGTCTCAAACCACCTACCTACCTCTCACTCACCAAAACTTCCTTCACAACAACCCGTCACCAACCACAGAACCAAACATAAAAATGGTGAGCATCTTATGCTCCGACGACGCCGCCTCCTCGAGATGCGACCGACTTTGAGTTGCGACCGCTGACCACGATGCGCAGGCTGCTGCTGGTTTGACTGAAGAGCAAAGGGCGCAATACAAGGAGGTGTTCGACCTCTTTGTGAGTTTCCCTCCCCTCCTCTCCCCTCCCCTCCCCCTTTCCATGGCGCCAGCCTGATTTTCAAAAACTGGCCTACGTCAACCTTTTCCGACACGCGGCTAACTAACATCGCGAACAGGACAAGGATGGGACCGGTCAGTACACAACCTGCGCGAACCTGCTGCGCCTCCTTTTTTTCGGACTTTGAAGCATCGGACATTTTTTTTAGATTCGATGGAACCCTTAATCTTCATAATATTTTTTTTCCCGTCGTTCGGGAACGGCGTGGCTTAGACCGTTCCGTCTCATCTTTCATTCATCCCATCACACCACCAAAAAAACTGACATCGCGTCCGCAGGTGACATCACCGCCCAGGAGCTGGGCGAGGTCATGAGGTCTCTCGGCCTGAACCCCAGCGATACGGAGCTCACAGACATGGTCAACGAGGTTGACGCGGACAACAACGGCACGATCGACTTCAATGGTAAGTTTTATCTCCTCCCGGCGCAACATGACGGGAAAGGGGCGCCGGAGCTGACTCCGATATCTCAGAGTTCCTCAACTTGATGGCGCAAAAGGTGCAGGTGGGCGACGCCGAGGAGGAGCTCAAGAACGCGTTCAAGGTGTTTGACCGCGACGGCAGCGGGACCATCTCGGCCGAGGAGCTGCGCCACGTCCTGAAGTCGCTGGGCGAGAACTTGTCGGCGGCCGATATTGACGAGATGATCCAGATGGCTGACAAGAACGGCGACGGGTCGATTGATTGTGAGTGATCTTGTCTTCACGCCCCCCTTTTTCATGTTTCTTCTATATGTTTGACTTGGTCGTGATGCTGACATGCGGGTAGATGATGAGTTTGCCTCGATTATGATGAAAGACTAAAAAAGCGAGTCCCTAGGCGGATCAGCTCTTGTTGATGATTCATGGGTTTCTTTTTCCTTTGGCGAGGGCGTGTTGATGCCCCTCCGGTATGCAGGCAGGTAGAATGAATCTGCTTTCCGTTGGACCCTTGAGTGGTCTATTTCCTACATCAGTTGACGCGCAGTTTCTCCGGAGCTGGAGGTGATGTGCTTGCTAGTTGGTCTTCCCGCCTCGGCTTGTAAGTGAAGAGTTTACTACTCTTATGTCATCACTCGCCCTTGTCGTCCTCTTAGAGTTTGATTTCACCAAGGCTGGCTCGCATCATGTCTGGTCATGCTGGTGGGATCTGGTTAGTCACCTTGCTGGCTAAGCACAATATCGGTATAAAAACGTCTTGTTTTGCCCAGGCAGCGACGGATCAGTCTTGTCAACTCATCAAGAAATAGCGCTACCATTCAAACGCCCGTCTACGACCAAATGCTTTATAAGCTCACACACGATCACGACAACTCAGCACGAAAAGCTCGCTCCACGATTACAGTGCGCTTCGACTGCAATCTAGCTCGCGAGAGATGGCCACCCAAGAGAACCCCGGCGCGAGCGATCCTCGCAGCATGGACGGTCTGCCCGCCTTAACCTACGAAATTTATCTCCTTATCGTGGAAGCTTTCCTCGACAATGTTGAGGGAGCTCTCGCAGAATCGATCATGTTGGATCCAGGCTGCCACTGCATAATCGAGAACAGGGTCCTCCACACACGCGCGGAAGACCCTCACAAACAATTCTGGACAGGGCGCTTTCGCTTGATCCAGAGCATCTCTCAGGTCAACCAGAGAACACGCGGGATGGCGCTGAGAATCATGTTCCAGCTCTCAGTAGTTCCGTGCGAAGGCGAACGATATCTGACCTGGTTCTGTCCCAAGGTCGATTTCATGCGCCTCGGCTTCGATCCCTGGAAAGCAGGGCGCCAGGCGTTGGGCGACGCAATCCTGCCTCTGCCGGGTCTCCAAAACGTCACCCGGCTCCGGGTTACCGGGTACGAATTCTTGCAGGAATTCGGCCACCAGAAGCTGGAGTTGATCTGGGCGACGTTTCCGAGGCTCGAGTCGTTCGTCCTGACGACGTGCGGCCAAAGGCTTTGCACGCTCGGCACCGCGGACGAACTGCTTCTGGATGCCGGCATGCTCGTAGGTCTCGGTAACTGGGACTCTCGTCAGCACCCGCGTGCGACGTGGACCGCTACATGGGACAGAGGTATCCGCGTCTTCATCGTCGAGTATGGGCGTGGATTGGAACACGAAAGCATAAAGCCGACCATGGAACTGGTGCGAACTTCTCGAGGGGTTTGTTTGCGACGGGTAGAGCCGGGGCTTCGGTAGTGTTTCGACATTGATAACTGTGCCCTGGAGCTGGACGTCGACGGAATCGGTGTCACCGCTTGTTACAGGGAGCGATCAGCGGCGTGGAGATGGCTTTGGAGCTCAAAAGCGAGAACGGGGGCAACATTCAATCAACCTTGAGAACGTATGCTACGGTATGAATGTTCTTGAGGCTCAGCTGGCACGGTATCGTTGCGGTCATCCCGGACGACGTGAGATTTTGGCTTTCAGAAGCCATGCGAAGGCAGCCTCAGGGGAAGGCTAAGGTGGCATAAGGACGATTGTAGAGATTGCAGTAGAACCGACTAAGATGTCGTTGTAGATACTCTGGTTATGTGAGTCGCAGTCGCCGTTGCCTATCTAGTCGCTCGTGCAGCTTCTGGCCTTGATCGCTCATTCAAGATGGAGTAAGATTTTCATACTTCAAGGGAAGCGTTTTCCATGGCTGGCTCTGATCATCAACTTTCCTTCCCATTTCAATCATGCATGTCTTGTTTCTCAACTGATCCGCCTACCTCAGCAAATGTCAGATCAGGCTACGTAACCATAGTTGCAAAGGGATAAACAGCCTTTTACGATTCAAGGTGGAAAAAGTAACACCCAGAAAAAAGAAAGCATGCTGGCCGGCATTCTTGGGAGGCGTGGAATAACGACTCTGAGGATAAGGCTGGGGCGACAGCTTTCGTGTTCATTTCGGCGCAGTTCACATGAGAATAGGTCGACGACGCATACACAGTCTGAGCCACTGATGGGCGGTACCGACGCGGTGAGCGATTCGCTGGCGATTCTCAGCCTGCTTCTGCTTTGCATGTCGTGCAACACGAGAACTCCAACCCTCCAAATCATATGGCCAATCAGCATCCCAACAGAATGAATCCTGGACACCCTCTACCTAGTCTAGGGTTGCCAGCCACAGCTTGCTCTTAAGTAAGGCAGCATTACAGATTGGAAAGTGCCAAGTCGAAGCCATCTCACTCGCAGAAATCGTTCCTGCCTAAGGAGGAGGGTAGGAGGAGGTTTCCGCGCAGAACATTAGGCACATAAGCAGCTGTATGCCCGCCGCCGCGGGTGGCACTTGCGATCACACAGACTTCAATCCCCCCTCTATATCCAGGCGAAAATTACGATTCTGTTCGGAAGCAGAGTGCAGCGTCTCGCCATGATCCTAGTGCAATCAATCGTCTCCCTTTTCTGGCTTCTTGCTCCTGTCGCGGCGGAGACCCAGACAGCGAACGAAATCGAACAGTTGATTAGACATCAACGCAACGACTCGACAGCACTCTCTCACATTCAAGCAGCACCATGGGTCAACTCTCCGACCGTGAGGGGGAGCATCGATATCTTATGGACTTGTGCCATTACACTTCTTGCCTGTGTCTGGTCTGTTCTTCATCTGAACGTCCCAGAAAAACGTGGACGGTACTCTGGCTTCTTTGACAAGCTCCGGTGGGCTGTCATCGCAATCATCTCACCGGAAGGCGTACTCGTGCTGGCTATGGACCAGCTTCTGGCGGCTCGGGAACTCAGAAAAAAGCTACTAAGTCAAGGAGGTGCCGACAAAGACACTGTAAGCTTCAAGCCATCTCTCAATCATTACGATGAAATTTAATATACTCATTTATGTTGAAGATCACTCTCGAGTTCTGTTTTTTTGTAACCATGGGCGGCTTCCAATTTTCTTTGGAAGACGAAGGCATTAGGCCCAGCTCAGAGTTCAGAAAATTCTTGAACGAGAAGAACCAAGCTGTTCTACAACTTTCACCTGCGGGCTTTCTGAAGTTGACCGAACTGGGAATCCTCGATTTGGAGTCCACCATCAAGACGACGAACGTCGCCGAAAAAAGCAAAGCGAACGTTTTCCAGAAGGTCTTAATTGCGACACAAATTTTCTGGATGGCTCTTCAATGTATCGTTCGTAAGATTCAAGGACTGCCAATCACGCTACTAGAAATTCACACCATGGTTCATGTGGTTTGCGCCATTTTTGTGCTGGCTATCTGGTTTTCAGTAAGCATGAGAAACAGTGATTTTGTGATTAGAGGCTAATAAATGTCCTCAGAAACCACTTGATATCAATTCTCCTGAACTAATAGACACCCATTCGAAGGATATGAAGGGATTTCTGTCCCTCGCAGTCCAGTCTCAACTTTGCAGAAACGGCGAAAACAAGTTCGAGTTTGTCGCCGAGCGGACAAATGTTCGGAATGGAATTGCAACCGCCACATCCCACCTGGAGGAGGCCCATAATGCGAGAGACTTCAACGACAATGTAACTCAGCGCATCGATGATGTTCATCAAACACAATCGGACGTGGTGGAGCTTAATTGTTGCGATGTGTTAGCATCTGGTGTCAAGTTTATCGCCACGCACCCAGGTGCTAAACTTTCTCTCAAACCGGAAGATTTGCAACGTATACAACAAGCGGCGGCGTTCTGTCGAACTTTCGAGGCCGCGCGAAGCATCCCTGGAAAGCTGGCCTTCCCACATCCGGAATACAAGAATTGTTTCTCTCAAAAGGGAAATAGTCCAGATAGTTTCGATAACCGGATGATTGGTCTTGACTGGTTTGACTGGTTTAAGCCTTTCATATTCATGGGTGAGCGTGATGGCCAGTCTGTCCTTGCCGGCATGTTTCTACCTATGGTATACAGCGGGCTTCATCTTTCAGCTTGGAATGCTGAATTTCCCACCCACGCAGAGGGAATCCTGTGGAAAGTGGCAAGTATAGCTTCCAGCGGAGGGATAATAGGGTATTGTTTGATGACATTTCTTGTGTACCTTGAAGACATCACGAAGCCGCAGAGCTCCATTTCAACAACGAAAGCTTACAAGGATCTGATGTATTCTCTAGCCTTATTGAGCTTAACACTTTTCATAATCGGTTCGATTGCCGCCCGGATATTCTTAACTGTCGAGTCCTTTGCGAGCATCAGAGCGCTTCCAATAGGCGCTTATTCGATGCCTGTCTGGCTGCAAATGATGCCTCATTTGTAAATACCTACCGAGTAAAACATGGGGGCCAGGGGGCTAACGGGACTGTATGCAATAATAAACGGTTTACATTGTTTGGGACGTTGTCAAGCGGAAGCTCATGTCGATTGTGAGCGACTCGGGCCTCAGGTCGTGAACCACTGGTATCTCCAAGCCATGAGTTCACTGCGTCGTGCAAAGTAACCGCCTCAGAATGATTCATGCTCGATAACAGTATCAATAAGATTTCGAAGCAACATTTTGATTATGTTTAATGATGCACGGATGGCTGAACGAGTCCCATTGGAAATGACCCAGCCCGCAACTCCCAACCTATCCAAATCTCTGCTTCGCCAACTCCTTCAACCCCTTCATGACCCCCTCCTCCCGCTCCCGATACTCCCTCACCCTCTCTTCCCTCTCCGCAGCCCTCGCCCTCGCGACCTCCTCCCTCCGGATCTCCCTCTCCGTCTTCTTCCTCTCCTCCCGCGCCTTCATCGCCTTGTACTCCGCCAACGAGTCCCCGCCCCCCATGAGCTCCCGCTCCCCGACCTCGGCCTGCCCGTCCCCGCCCTTGTCCTTGAAGTCCTTCATCTTCTCGTTCACCAGCGCCCTCTTCTCCAGCATCCGCTCCCGCGTCCCGGCCTCGGCGCGCGGGACGAGCTCGTCGAGACGCTCCTTCTGCGTTTTGCGGTCGTCCTTCCGCCGCGATCTGAGGTCCGCGATCTGCGCCTCCCGTTCGCGCTGCGCGTCCTCGGCGCGGTCTTCGCGCTGGAGGTTCAGGTCCGCGAGGCTCGGGATGCCGGGGCCGGAGCGTTGTGCGCCGTCTCGTGCGGAGGGCGGTAGCCGCGGGCCTAGATCCTCTTCGTCATCGTCCTCGTCGCTCCGGTCCTCCTTCTCACTATCCCCCCTCCTGACCTCATCGTCAACGACCCTGCGGGGCATATCCTCAGACCACCTCTCCTTCGCAGACATGAACATCTCGGGATCATACCAACCCGAGCTCAACTCCCCCCGATTCCACTTCCCCACAAAACTCTTCCACCGGCCCCGGACCTCCCTCTCGTCCATGTCGCGGACGTCCTTCTGCTTCTGCAGATCGAGATAGTACGCCAGCAGCGGGCGAAAGACGTCCAAGTCGTTCTTCGATAAGGCGCGCGCGTCGTAGGGTAAAGACACCGGCGCGACGACGTCTTTGCTGCCGGAGCGACCACTTTCTCTAGGACTGTCCCGGTGGTGACGGTGATGGTGGTGGTGATGATGCCGTCTCCTCCGGCCCTCCCGCTCCTCGGACCCGGGTCTCCGCTCCCGGCGCTCGTCGACCGGCGACCGACGTCGAACATCGTCCCGTCTCCGTCCCGGCGATCTACTCCGCGACTTCCGGGTCCGAGTGTGCGAACGCCGCGCGTCGTCCCGAGAATCAGACATGATTCCCTGAACTCTGTGCGTGTGTGTGTGTGTGTCGTGCTGATCCCCTCCTTTTTCCTTTCCCTCGACACCAGATGAAGAACAAAGCCAAAAAGAGGGGGGTTTTCCCAGACGTGTGAACCGGTCGTACGGGAATGACTTGCTTCAGAAAGAAAAAAACAACTTGGGACCAATTCAAGCTTTCCGCCAGAAGTCTCACGAGGGAAAACACAAGGATGATCCCCCAGAGTTGCGCGGTGGGGGTTGGTTGTCGACGGGTCGAAGGGAACGTCGTTTTGTTTGACTACAGTTTCAGGGCGTCGCGAAAGTCGAGCCGACGACCCGAGAAAAACCTGCGGGGTTCAAGTCGCGCACGGCCGTCTGATAAAGAAGATTTTGATGTGATTTGGCGAATGTAACCGATGATCTGGTAGAGCTCGGATGAATTGGTATCGTTTTGTCTTGTCCAAGTCGGTAGTTAGGAGATGTAGTTGCAAGAGTGAAGACGAAAGCGCTAGCGCGTCCCGTTGGGCGGTTGAAGGGGAAAAAATTGGAGCCCGCGAACAGGCGCAGAGAGGGTGGCTGGGATCCGGACCCGTGCGTGGGTACCCTGAACTCGGCTCCGGAAAAGTCGCCGCCTGGCGTACAACCCGGGCACAGGCTGCCGGTTTCCCCTCACCACGGGAGCTTTCGTCGACGAACCGGGCCGAGGGGAATGCTGCGGCGGTGTTTAAATGCCGGCTATGCCATATTCGCCGGAAATTTGAGCGACGAGGCAGCTGAGCTGAGCTGAGGTACGGGGCAGCTCAGCTTGTGAGCTCAGCTTGTTCGTACAACCAGGTTCTTCAATCACAGAAACATAGCAAACCTCTTGTACGGTGATGAGAAACGAACTCACATTCGTCAGTGGCGAGTGACCTGGAAATCCCGGGATCCCAAGATCTCCGGTACGATACGGTAGATATCTATAACATCTGCGATAGAGCCAATGGGAGGGTATCGCCTGTGGTAACAATCAAAAACAAAGATCAACACCGCGAGATGCAAAGTTCCCATCACGGCACGCATATGCCGGCCTCCCAGACCTTTCCCGTTTCTCATTACCCCAAACGTGGCATGCCGGCGTGAATATATCCTGGAAAAAAACCTTAAAATCCTCGTCTCTCTTTGTGACGAGCAAAGCCCTCCGCATGTTCTTTTTTCATGACTCGACCTCGATCGATGTGTTGTGTATGGTGCATCCCAGACACTGGCAGTCGTCGCCGCAGGGACACGACGAAGTCTCGCCGGCGCAGGCGTCGCCGCCGAACGGGTACGTGACGAAGAAGAAGTCGCTGGCCGAGAGCGCCTGTTCCTCGCTGAGTCCCGAGGCGGCGTCGGAGGGCGTCTGCGGTGCCGGTGGCGAGGCGCCGTTTTCGCCGTTCGTGTGGGCTTCGACGCCGCGGACCGCGGTTCCGTTGGTCGTCGTCGCGGCGGTTTCGACGTGTCCATTCGTGCTCGCCCCGTTGGCCGTTCCGTAAGAGTCGTCGAGCATGCTCTCCCACGCCGAGCGCACGTAGTCCTGCGTCGCGTCGTTGTAAGGGTGGGCGGCGCAGCCGATGCACTGGCATCCGTCGCCGCAAGTACACATGTGCGATGTCGATTCGGAGACGGCGGGGTTCGCGCCCTCGGGGGCAAAGTTGAGGGGTGCCGACATGTTGAATCCTGTCGGTTGCGGCGTCGGCTGGCCGTATTGCAAAGCGTCCATGGTCTCTTTCCATTGGGCGGGTTGCAGAGGTGACATGTACGATCCGTATTGCGGTGGGTAGGTGAATATGTGCGGTTGAAAGTAAGATTGGTACATGCCCTGCGGCATGGCGATTGGTGTTTGGAAGGGCGAGATGGCCATGCCGTTTGGTGACATGTGCCCATTCGGCATGTGGCCGTTCGTTACCACGTTCGTGTTTATCGGTGGTGCTGCTGCTTTGCTGGAGCAGCAGCCGCCGGTCTTCGGCTTTGTTTGAGCCTTTGGACTTGAGTTTACGCTCGAAGATTGTGTCGTGTTTCCCTCGCTCTTGGTTTTGCCCGAACAACATGAGCCCTTTGTGCTCGCGGTGGTAAGTGCGGGTGTGGGAGGAGCAGTGGGCGCCTGTGTGGTCCCGTTCTTTGAGCCGGAACAGCAAGATCCCCCGTTTGTCGCCTTTGCCGGTGCTGGTGTCGGCGCAACCTTGGGCGTTGCAGCCGTCGGCAGAGCCCCATTCTGAGGCATCATGGAACCCGGTTGGAACATGCCTGGAATCTGTTGCGGGAACATCGGGTACATCATGGGCTGGTGGAAGCCCCCGTTGACGGGAGCCATCATCGGCATCGCGCCGTACTCCATCCCGGGCCTCGGGGCCGCAATACCGGCCATACCGTTCGCGTGGGGCATAGAGCTGGCCTGGGCCATTTCGTAAGGGTTCAGTATGTTGACATGGGCGGCGTCCATCCTCTCCAGGTTGGCCGGGTCAAAGGACTGCTTGCGACTGGCGGACTTGGCCGTTGGTTTCTGGACTCGAAAGGAGGTGGCGGGGGCCTTGGTCGGGGACATTGGCGGGGCGTCGCTCGCGGGCGACTCGGCCTTGATGATGCTGGAAGCCGCGGAGGACTCGGTAGGCGTGCCAGCGGTGCTCGATCCGCAGCCGCACTTCTGCTTCCTCGGGATGGCGGCGGTCACGCTCCCGCAGCCGCAACCGCGGGCGGGCGGGTGAGGACATGTGCTCAGGGGGCGGCCGGGCTTTCGTACGGGGACCATCAGGCGCTCATTGGCGTGTGTGCATTTGGTGGAACGATGACCACGGATGCATGGCTCGCTGAGCGACGGGCACGATGAAGAGTCAGCTTCATAGTCTCAACGACGGTGTACAATGCGGGGTTGGAGAGATGAGCAGACAAAGCGCGGTGTTCAGGTAAGGGGAGTTGCGCCGGTGAGAGGCAGGGCGGAGTTGAAGAGTGGGAGCAGAGGGATACACGGCGACTTACCAGGCCATCTTCTGGCCGTTGATGAGCGGCATGGCGGCGGTTGGTGGTGGTTCGCGGGTCTCAGTTGTCGTCGGCTGTGGTACGTGAGGGAGGCGGAGAATTCGGCGACGAAGATTGAAGTTTTGAGAAAGCGGGATTGACGACGAGACGAGGCTCAGGAAGAGAAAGAATCTCTCAGCTCTCAAAGTGTCGATTTGGCTCTGACTCCGGCTGACCTTGGACCCTTGGAGTGAGCCGCGAGGTGAAACATGGAGGCGGGCGCCTGCTATCGGGTGTACGAATACAGTGTTGGGCGTCGCTGAGTGAGTGTAATCGGGATCTGACTGTGTCTCTCGCGTGTAGTGCCGGTGGGCAACGGTCGGTAAATCGGGATGAGTGTGAGTTCGAGCGACGATGAGGGTGTGACGAGGTTCTCTCAGGCGCAATCAGTTCGGTGAGGATGTCGACTGGTAGGAGGAGCGGCGTTTGAGGAATGGAAAGAGTTGAGATTGAGAGTAAAGATGAGTTGGAAAAGAAAGGCGCCGGGTCGGAAAGCGAGTAAGGCTAGTTTACGACTCAGACTCAGACTCAGACGCAGACGCAGACGCAACAGCGGCAGAAATGTTTGTGTGGAGGGATGGCAGCAGTTAAGGATGGCAAGGTAAGGTATGGTGGTGCTGTTGCTGGATCTCTTGGGTTGGTGGGCCGTTTGGGTGGACGGACGTCGGCAAAGCCCACTAAGGATGGCCCATGTGTGCTACCTATGTGCTGTGCTTGCCTCGTGTTGTAGTCGATATCTTGCCCGGGATTAGGGGCTTTCTCTCTACGACGAGTGATGGAAGAAATGCTGCAAGATGAACAACATCTCACTCTCAGTCGAGACGCTAACAAGTTAGATGTAGCGGCTAAAAGCCTGGACCAACCCAGCCCAGCCGCCCAGAGAAAGAAAAAAAAAAAAAGGCAGGAGGAGCACGGGCGGCCAACAGCGGGCATGGCGGTCGGCGGGACGAGAATCAGCGGCGGCGAGGGAGGACGTGGAGCGCCCCAAGCCCACCTCACCTCACCTTCCCGGTAGCGCATCGAAACAGCCCCACGTGCGGGGGTTTCCTCTGTTCTCTGCCTGTGAGGTCACTTGCTCTTGTACTTGCACCGCATTGCACCTGCTATTTATACATGTATCTTTCCACGTCTTTTGATGAGAGGGGTACATCCAAACCCGTCGTATAATTCCTCGACTCTTGGACTCTCACACAACATGTGCCTACCTTAAAGATACGCCTACATGAGTTGAACATGAGATTGCTCGCTCGGCCTCGGCGCATACCTCTCAGATGGGCAACTTATCTGACCAACCCCAGCCTGACTTGACCTACATCACCTTACATCAGAGCTCCCCTCCCTCGTCATCCCATCTAAGACCGACATGTCGTCTCCCGCTGCTTGCGCCGCCGCCGAACCTCCATGCACTTTTATATGAAAGGTCCCTGCCGCTGCCGTTCCTGCTGCCGCTACCGTACCCGACAAGACTACGGGAAGGAGGGGTAATCAATCAGTTCCGCCGGTACTCGGGACATAAGGTGACCTCTGCGGCAAACCTGGCTCTGGCTCTGGCTCTGGCTCTGGCTCCCGTCGGTGATGGTGTTGCCGCCACGAGGAACAAGTCCAGACCACGTCCACTGCGACCATCCTCCACCATCTCTCACCCAACCTTTCGCGGATTCAGAAGGTCTCGAAGACGAGACTAGCTCCGGCTGCGAGACGGGTTGCGTTTCCTCTGCCGGGATACACCGGCCAAGAAGATGGGAGGCTAACAAAGATCGTCTTCCTAGTCGGTCTCTTGGTCTCGTCTCCTCCCGCACCCACGCACCGACAAACGGACCCTGCAGTCAGAAACCAGTCAGGTCAGTTCATTTGCTAAAAGCCTCCTTGTCCTTCTCGGCCATATTCCTTCTTTACGTCTCTCTCGCATCTTGACAAGCCCGCTCACCCGTTTCCTTGCCCCTCCTCGCCGTGGAAGGTAACCTCATCCCAGGTCCTGGACCCGAGTCCTGCTGCAACATCAAAGAAGACCCCTTCCTCCCGCAATGTTTCGCTGACCTTGGTTTTGGAAACTTGCGAGGCGGCGCCGAGTCCACGGTAGCCCGGCTCAGGTTCTCTACCTCTACTTTGTAGATGCCATGAGTAACCCTCAAAGAGGTACATGTATGCGCCTGCTTTTTGAATCTACCAAATGCTTCAATCCCTGCAGGATCCGAACCTCTCTCCGTCAATGCTTTCCCGTCTTTAGCAGCACAGCCAGCAGGAGGCTTTAACAAGTTCCACATCTCAGGCTTTCTCTCATACATCTGCGCCGTTGGGCCACCCCACCACCGCCGCCAAATTCCCACGGCCGGCCAACCGCCCTGGATCGGGAAAGTAAAGCGTAATGGTCAACGGGGAAACTGAAATAAGAGAAAGGTAAACGCAGAAACAGAGAAAAAAGAAACAAGAAAGAGAAAGTGGACGTGGACATGGACGGCCGGCGGACGTGGAGGAGGGTGGGATTCGATACTCCACCGTCAGAGGCTCGAGAGGCAAGGGAAGTGAGCAAGTTTTGATTGGCCGGATCCGAACACCAAAATTCAACGCAGACCGTCGTCGAACGAGTTAACCACCAGCTCGCTTTTTCTCTCTCTCTCTTCCCACCACCCCCTTCCTTACTAAGGTAAAGACGAAGAATGCGTATCCATGGCTGTGCAGCAATAGCGCTTCCGAGATATCTCGGAAGCCCAAAAAAAGGTGGACACTCCGCGGAGCATTGAACATTCAGAGCCGCGCTTGTCGTACTTTGGTTTCTGCTTCTCTCTTGGGAACATGATCAGGATATGTCTACTTTCAAATCACTTTTCGTGAGGGTATCTACTTTTTGTTGCTCTTCTACGTGAAATGTCTTCTCCAGATCTTCAGAGTTCAACAGAGCCGTGGGTCGATGATGTACCTCCCGCGCGCGCCGCAACCAACACCAGAATCTCACAGACACGTCCCGGACCGAGGGCGGCTTTGACCTACGAACCGCCTCATTACTAATGCCATCGAGTCTCATCTTCGCTCTTCTTCACGCTGCGGCTCCCATCTCTTCGCGCATCTACGATGCCACGCGATGTCTCTCGCCTGCCTGAGTGAGTGGAACGGCGAGGACCTCCCAATGCTTGTGCAGCACGCCCGCCGTTCCCTGCAGGATCGTCACAAACCCGCACCCGTGGCCCCAGCCCAGGCGCGGTCCAGCCAAGACATCCGCGTTTGTAATGCTCAGGACACAGGGGCGGACAGGCTTCTTCGGATACACCCTGAGATCTTCCGTTACTCTAGGTGAGCAAGATTGTCTGTCGCCCCAAGAAGCCGCCCGCCTCGCCGCCCCTCGTCTGCCACCACACACCCCCTGCCCTACCACTCACTCCCTGGAGCCACGCCTGATGTGATATGCGTCCGCCACACGCCGTGCCGCCTAGTTTCCCTCGTCCGAGTCCCCGGAGTCGGCAAACATATCCACCGCCCTCATCCGTTTCCTGCCTTGCCCCGTCGGTTTGGAGGATAACTGCAACCGTCCGACTGTGTGCGTGCCCTCTGCGCCTTCCATCGAGGCGTCTCCCTCAGCGGCGGCGTCCTTCGGCGCCTGCTGATCTTTCACCGGTTTGTCTGCGTCGTCTTCGTCCATCGGCTCACCCTCGACGTCGTCCACCATGGGTTCGCCCTCCACGTCCTCCTCGCTCATCGGCTCGCCGACGACGTCATCTTCCATAGGCTCGCCAGCGACGTCGTCGTCCTCCATGGGCTCACCGACAACATCCTCCTCGTCCATCGGCTCCCCTTCGACGTCGTCGTCCCTATCGGGGGTGACCTTCTCCGACATCCTGAGCTCCGGCGTCGCCGCGGCGGTGACGTCGGCGCTGGGCGTCGAGGCCTCGACCAGCTTCCACCTGCCGCCGGCCTTCTTAGCGGCGTCGTCGTCCTCGTTGTCTTGCGTCTGCGCCCGGGCCTTGAGGGGCGGCGGGTTCTCGAAGCCGCCGACGAACAGCTCCTGCGTCTCCGCCGGGAACACGCACCAGCCCTCCCAGAGGCCGAGGACGAGCCCGACGCTCCGCTTCCACTTCTCGGCGCGCATGCGGCCCCAGTTCAGCCTCTCGGCCATCTGGCCGAGGCCCTCGAAGATCTTGCGCTCCTTGAGCGCGCCCTCGAACAGCTGTCTATACCGCCAAGCCCGCTGGATGCCGCTGTTCGACGACGCGGAGAGGATGTCGCTGACAACGTATAGGCCCACGAGGCTCGCCGCGCTGGTGTCGGGACCCTCTTTGTCGGCTTTTTCTTCCGGTTCGGGCTCGGACGCCTCAGAGTCGTCTCTTTGTCTGGTCTTCTCCTTGCTGCTGCTCGACTGAAATTCCGGGTTCGCGGCGGTGAGCGCGAATGGCTTTTCGATGTTGGAGGCGATCATGTCGACGACCTCTTCGACGCCCCTGCTGGCGTGCGTCAGGGCGAAAGTGGTGACTCGGGCGATGTCTCCCTTCCGGATCTTGGATAACGTCGTCGGGAGGCGTGACAAAAGGTGGGTGAGTTTGGCCTTGTCGAGTGGGTTCAGGAAGGTGGCCTCGGCCTCAGCTCCCTGGCCCTCGCGGTTCTCGCCGTCAAAGTCTTCGTCGTCTGACGAGTTGTACTCGGAATCGGACACGAACTCGTCGATCTTGGTGACGAACTCGAACGGTAGGCTCTTTTCCGGCGCTTTCCAGGCGTGGCTGCCGTCGAAAAGGGGCAGATATCTCCCTTTGTTGCGGCGTGAATCCGACCCGGTGATGATCTCCCACAACCTCCAACGGTACCAGATACCTCCCTCGCTGCGGGCATCCCATATCCAGGCCCATTTCTCCTCGCGCTGGACCTCGGGACGGGTCATCAGCAGAGCCTCGAACTCGACGCCGTGCGCGAGGACGGACTCGATGGTCTTGTTGATGAGCTGTAGCATCTTGATGTCGTTTGGCGGTTTGACGGGTACGTGAAGAAGGTTGCTCCTGTTGACCGATCCAGCGTTGGGTCCGTAAGAACTCGGTGGCGCGAAGCCCCGGTGAAAGGATTGCTGTGTTGCCGCGTTGCCCGGTGCGGTTTGCTGAGCAACGGGCTTGGCGCCGAAAGGCTGCGACGCCGCGGAGGTGCTGCTGAGTGCTGAGGTTGTGGCGTTTGCAACGGCCGAAGATAGATGCCGGTGTAACGAGAGATTGAAACCGTAGCCGAGATAGCGATTCTGGAGCGAGCTGACCGCCGCATCCATGTCCGTAGCCGGAGTCTCCTGTGACAACGTAACAATGGCCACCGCGCTCTTCCTCTCCGAGCTCATCTGTCCGACGGGCGGCAGGATCTTCACGTTCTCGACCGTCAGGTTCGCCGGTATCAGCGACTTGATAAACGCCGGTGACGTGCCGGGCGGCAGCTGCGACAGCCGCAAAGTCGGCCTGGCCACCGCCATATCCTCCCTCGAGTCCGACTTGCCCTCATCCTCGTCGTCGCTATTGTTGAAGACCTTTGCCACCGAAAGCGGTTCCTCCCGGTCTTCGAACCCGAGCCGACCATCCCTCTCCTGCTTATATGCGTCGAACCCCCTCTTCCGTCCGAACGATCCCGGCGGCGGACCCAAGCTTCCCGGACCGCTCCTCAGACCACCCGGCGCAGGCCCCAAGCTCCCCGGTCCGCTCTTGAGCGCGGACGCGCCGAAGTGCCGCTTCGACGCCCCGGCTCCTCCCCCTATCGGCGCGAAACCGGGACCCTTGGGCGGCCTCTGCGGGGGCAGGGAGCCGCCGTAGCGACTGGTCGTGTTGTTCGCGTCGTGGTCGTCGTCGTCCTGGTCGAAGCTCTTGACGAAGTCCTGGTACACGGCGGCGGTCTCGGCGGCCTCGCGCGCCTTCTTCGCCTCGGCTTCGGCTCGTTGCTTCTCGAAGGCGGATTGCTTGGGGGCCTTTTGGAGCTTGGCCTCCACGTCGGGGAACTCGACCAGGTTCTTGGCCGAGGACATTGTCGTTTAACGGTGGATGAGGTGAAAGCCGTGTCGCATTGTCGAAGGTTGCGCAATTGTCGCGTGTGTACGCGAGCGCGATCGGCGGATTCTTCGGGGGGATTTGAGGTTTAGGAAAATTAGTTGCGCTGGTAATTGGTGATGGACGAAGGATGGATGTTGATGACAGGCGTCTGTTAATTGAATTGATCGCTTCAGATCGAACCTGGCTGGTTGTACTGTGCATAAGCCCACCATTCCCTGAACAGCACTGTGCCGATGTAGGTTATCTTATCGCCCCGTGCGCCTGGACTTCAATCCTTCAATCTCCCCACCTCATCCAACTGCTTGAAAGCACACATGCAACATTGCTGACCACAACTCAACTCTGGGGACCGACAACTTGGAGAACAGAGTTGAGGATACTAATAATTCTTCGCTCTTAACCGATGGCAGTTTCGGATTGTTTCTTCCCGCGCGCTTGGCAGCCTGCCTTACTTGGCTCGCATCTGCGCAAGGAGCTCTACTCGAAGCCATGGACGATGGCCCGGGGCGCGAGAGAAATTATTTCAGCTGTCGCCTCCGTTCGTGATGGACTATTATTGACTTACTTGTGTATCCCATCGGCTACTTATATGAGAAACTATCCAAGTTGACAGGAAAAGCCGTTACGGTGCGTGCTGCCGATGGGATAGGTCGATCATAGCATCTAGTCCGACGGGATCAACTCGTGTAAGACGGCATTTCCGGAATAGTATCTGAACTGCCCTGAGAAGCAATTAAATATGCTTTTCCGGAAGGCTCAGACGGGATGAACACGAAAACAACACCGTTTTGGAAGTGGTATATAAGATGTCACGAGAATCCTCCTCGTTTCCCGCCATCGCCTGTCTCAACATCTCACACTCAAGCCATACATCTCTACCTCTTTTGAAAGCAAATTATACCGTAACATCTTCGATATGAGACTTACTTCCACCCTCATCTTCGTCGCCGCTCTGGCTTCACCACTCGCATCGGCGCAGGAATGTTATCGGGCCAACAGGGGCGGCACGATGGACGGAAACAGGTGCACCGCCAGGGAATCCTGCCCTACAGGCCAACGGATTGGAAGTCGAATTGGCTATAACTTCGGTGATGCTGGCAAGCCTTGCTCAGTAGATGTGGGTTTGCATGAGAACCGTGAGGCGGATCTTGCTGACTGTTTCCAGTTTTACTGCTGCCGCCGCTAGATACTACCACGACGTGAATTCATGGGAATTATGTGGCAGCTTATTTAGGGACCGACATGCTTTGTCTCGTTCACTCTACTATTAATAGATTCAGTTATTTACAATCGTTGGTAGCACATCTGAGAACACCTTACCGACAAGCTCTTGGTTGGCGTACACGAAGTAACATTGCGCCTTCCATTGACCTCCTCATCCGCCCTTAGCGGTATCTGTATCTCGTTGTGGGCACTTCATCTAAGGCAGTACACAACAGTGCTGGCCGCTTCGGGCGTACCGATGCTCCCACGTCATAGTCATCGCCCGTTCCCATCTCTCATCAAGACAACCTTCCACACCGACTCTCACTCGACTTCACACAGCCCTCAAAGTTCTCTTCCAAGCCTTGGATGGTAGAAGCGCGGTGTTTCTTGAATGCAATGTTAGTTCAGATTTTGCTCGTGGAGTGATGAAGGAGTGATCAGACTCACAAAACAAGTAATATTCGCAGGCACCTCTTGGCAGGAGGCCGCAAGACCTTCGAGACGGCGGCGGCGGCAACAACAACTAAATACGACGGCGCATGATGTTTTCAATGCGAACCCGAAGGCCCGGGATTATCGGGTTCAACGCGGCCGAGATGGCCCAGACGCAGAGAAAAGCCAGGCAGCAGAGGAGAGGAGGAGCGGAGCGGTTGGGGTCGCTTATGGCGACGATGATTTCCTGGACGAAATATGGAAGAAAACGAAGAATAAACGGGGGACGGCGGGGAGAACCCGGACCGGCGGCGAGGGCGGCGGGGCCGGCAGAGGCAACAGGTCCCGTGGGACCGACAGGAGCCGTGTTCGCGGTGGAGGGGGGAGAGTTGGCGGTTTGGGCTTGGCCCGTGTTCGTCAGGAAGGGGAGGCCCGCGTGATTGACGCTCATATTGTCTCTATGTTCGTTGTCAGTGTTGGTGCTCAAGTGCGAGAAACGCGCAAATTGCCCGCTTCTTGTGGTCGTCAAAGAGGATTGTTAACTAAATCCAGGCGGTGTTGATTCCCCAGAGAATAAGGCATGCATTGCGGGGGAACATAACTGTCCAACTTACTTTGGTTTGACTATGATGGTTGTAGAAGGCGAAACATCAGGACGGCGAGGACACAATGTATAAGGACGAGAGCAAGTCCTTTGTACGCCTTCCACATATCTTGACAGCAGTTGTCAACATCTACACCTGAGCAAGCCTAAGGAAGGAGATCCCCTTTCGTCATATCCTGTCCTCAAAGGAAAACCTGGTGCCATGGAAAGAGTCGTCCAGTATCCAGGAAAAGGGGAAAGATTTGGGAAGTACGTTCTCAACCTGGGTCCGATGAATGGGGAGGAGGATGGTCTCTGCTCAGAGATGACGGGCTTGGCTTCGAATAGCTTGGGACATTAGAAAGAAGGTCCATTTCGAGTCAATTGTGACCGGTTTCGACCGAAGAAATAATTGAATAATGCATGAAAAGAAACCCCCTCCCCTCCTCCTATGTATCCGATCTGATTTTTTGTGTTATTATAAGGACCGCCGGCCGAAGCTTAGAGTATGAGCAAGTCTTGTGACATGTTGGAAAGTGGTTGGCTTCTGTGTAAGGTCACGGCCTTCAAAAGTACCTTCCATTGCGAGCTCAACTCATGGCCCCGGTGCCGGCCACAATTACCTCAGATTTGATGCAGATTTGACTGAGTTAATCTGGAAAGTCTTGTATGAGTATCAAGGCCTTTTGTCTTCCTCTTGGTTGATGTTTGGTTCAGGCCTGGCCCTGCCTTCCGTCAATTCGCACCAAGTAAGAGAATTGTCGCTTGCACTGTATGATCGCGTTGCAGAACCGCAGAAGTAAGGGCAATGGAGGGGCAGCGCACACTGTACCCACAACTTCACCTCATCGCAAACAGAGTCAAAATTTTGCGACTCAGCTATCTTCTCACAGACCACACACAAAATTGGTAAGTACCGCTTCGACGTCTATTACCATGAAACCTCACTCACATAATACAAACTTCACAGTCGCTTGAGATCCGCTGCTCTCACCCAGTTGCATTCTCAGCTCGTCGCACTCATCACCGAGGGGCAGAATTTCACTACCCTGCCAACTCCGCCATCCGCCTCCAGACTCATCACAAGAGGTACAACCACCACCAAGATGAGCCCCGTCAGCGACGTCGCCGACGGCGACACAGGAGACCTCTTCCAGGATCCCGAGGACTACTACCCGCCTACTCCCCCACCGACCTCGTCATCCCACACCCTCGCCTCCGGCCGCGTGCTCACCCTGCACCTCGTCGGCTACTCGCCTACCGAGGCGCACCACCTCTGGAACGGCAGCCGCGTGGTGTCCGACTACTTCGAGGCCGAGCCGTCGCGGGTGAAGGGCAAGACGATGCTGGAGCTCGGCGCCGGCGCGGGGCTGCCTAGTCTGACGGCGGGCATCCTGGGCGCGGAGAAGGTTGTCGTGACAGACTTCCCCGACGTGGACATCGTGCAGACGATGCAGAAGAACGTGGACGAGGCCGGGGACCTGGAGGGGATCGTCAAGCCGCTGGGGTATGTATGGGGTGCTGACGTCGAGCCGCTGCTTGCTGAGCTTCCTGAGCGCGACGGAAAGAAGAGAAAGTTCGACGTGTTGGTGTTGGCGGATCTGCTGTTCCGACACTCGGAGCATGGGAAGCTCGTGGACACGATTGAGAAGGCACTGGAGAGGAAGAAGGATGCCGTGGCGTATGTGTTCTTCACGAGTTATCGCCCGTGGTTGAGGCATAAGGACTTGGCGTTCTTCGATGTTGTGAGGAAAAGAGGGCTGCTTGTTGAGCAGGTTATTGATCGGAGGATGGAGAAGCCGCTTTTTGAGGGCGATCCGGGTGATTTGGAGATTCAGAAGACCGTTGGCGGTTATGAGGTCCGCTGGCCTGAGGAGTTGTTGGAGGGTTGAAGGGGACGTGATGATCTTTGGGTAAAGAATGGAAAACGGCATGCCTGGGCATTTGGACAGGACGGGCCTAATGACGAAGTGTAGACTGATACCAGGGGAACTGAGCAATGAATTGGGAATAGCTCGCGCAGAAGGAAGAACGTTCTAGAGACGGCACTCTCAAACATGGCTGTTTGATCAATCCGGCTTGACTAACGATACTCAAGTTCTCTGTCTGTTCATGTCCCCGCATGGAGTCTCTGTGAGTTTAATCCATGTCGAAGAGGAAGTCTTTTTTCTCAGACGTATCTTCCCTTCGTTCGAACTAAGTTATTCGCGCTTTCTCTAACAAGCGACGAGACAGTATGTCGATCGCAGCGGCGATATCGTCTTATATATGGGTTGAGTACGAAATGAGTAAGCCTGCGCTTCTTAAGCTTTCAGGAGCCCAAGTCATCCTGGACGTCGGCCAGGAACTCTTCAAGTCGCCTATACGACTCTGCGCGCAGCTCTACCGCCTCCTCGGCTCGTCCGGCGCGGATAAGCAAGTCCTCAAGCTGCCACATCTCGAACACAAGCTGAGAGCCTAAGCGACCTTGACCGTACTCTCTGAGAGCCAGTATGGCTCTCATCCTGTCAGGTGCAGAGTCGACGCCTCCCCTCCTTTGATCCTCAACGTCCATCATGATTCTGAAGATATAAGCCATAATGCGGGCTTGCAAGCGGGAGATATCCACGCCGGGATGGACCGGCATGGCGACATCATCGTGAAGCACTTGACTTTTTAACAGAGCCGCGAGCACACGAACCCGCATCGGCGAGTCGGCGGGAACCTCGTGGAGCATTCGACTGACCCCGGCAAGAGTTTCTTTCTTCAGCTGGTCCAAGTTGGCAGGCTGCGGAACTCCGCCGCCGTGAATGTCGATTTCGTCGGGCATCAGCTGCTGCTTCGGCCAGAGCTTCTCGGCTGCTGTTTCGACGTCTTCTTCGCCCCGTGTTCTGCTGACCTTGTCATGGATCTTCGCATACCACTTGTCCGAGTGACGCGCGATGTGCGGACCGAGTTTGACAATATCCGAGTCCCAGACGAGTTGGTAATAGAGCAGTAGGTACTGCGGATCGAAGCGGGCGAAGGTCAGATCCGCATTTATCGCCCACGCCCGCTCGAGCGCCTCTGGCCGGGCACCGACGCCGTCGCGCCGCCAGGCTTGCAGCAGCTCACGCAGTTTGAGAAGTACCTTTGACACCGGTCGATCGCCGGCGAGGCTTATCAGGTGGTGTAGCAGTATCTGGCCGAGATTGGACTTGCGAAGGACGGTGATATTATGGAAGATCTCGAGGGTATTCCAAACGAAGAGGGGTCCTTCTGCATCGAGGAGAGTCTCGGCCTGGAGGAAGACCTTGCGAGCTAGGCGGCCGGCCAAGACGCCCTTATCGCGATCTAGGAGGCCCAGTATGAGTCTGAAAGCGAAACTCAGCTGCTCTGGGTTGCTCAAATCGCGCGGTGGGGGCTTGGAAGGTGATTCGGAGGAGAGATTCGAAGGCTCTGGTGGCGATGGCAGCGAATATCCAGCCGTGTCAGGTTCGTCCCTGTCAAAAAAGGCAATGGTCCAATTTCTGATACTGGACAGGAAAGCCACTTGGGCCGCGTCCGAGGTACTGAGATGAAGAACGCGAGGTGTCCTTGGGACTGTGGTGGCCTTGATTAGAGCCGTTGATGGCAGCGAATCTCGCGACGCAAGATCCTTGCCGTGCCGGTCTCGGCGAGCATTCTTCTGGAATCCCCATTTGGCGAAGCGTTTCTTGTACATTTGCACTCTTGTTGGGCGGTTGTCAGCTCACATGAGCTATCATTGGGGGCACGCACAAGCGGCACTTAGATCGCACGCGACCTGCTCAGGGTCTGCAGGCTGTACCGGAGCGACTTACGTAGCTTTGAAATTGTGATTCTCCTCCATCGTCTTCATTACATGCTTGAGGCTTCGGCGTTCCCTGACGTACATGCGCTCGATGATCGGGTACACCTCCGCCCACTCTCTCTCGTCGTGTTGCGTTGGCAGTCCGACACAGCCTGAGGCTGGGCCCATGAGAGCACCTGTCGGAAGCGACTTTGGTAGCAACGGTCGGTGGTCCGCAGACCCCAACGCCGGCGCGGCCATGAGAACCTTCTGCGGTGCCGAGTATGACAGCCTCAGATCGCGCCTCCGTCACGAGGGCTGTGTTCGTAGGTGACGGAAGACAGACATCAATTGCATTGGAGGGAACTTTTCCAGCGGTCACTATTCGTCCAAAGGTGACCAGTTTGGGTGCCTGCGAAGGATTCATGCCGACGGGGATTTCGGAATGAGTACCCATGTCGACACCAAAGGACCTAATCGCAAGTTCGGTCCAATGACATTGTGAGAAAAAGTTCCATCTCACCAGGAAAAGATCCCCTGGACACTAGGCCGTATGTTGATTAATATCGACGAATCAGCGAGCTAGCAAAAGTTCAGGGTCTGCGATCTATCGCGCCCCGTAGCTCCATCTCTAAGACCGGTGACGAACGAGATGGACGAGAAAAGTTGCCAGGAGCAATGACTATTCGTGCCATCTAGAATGGCAAACAGAGAAGCATCACAAAGCATAAAAGGGTCGTGAGCACCCATATTGAAAGATGTCTCGAAAGAAGACCTGTCATCAGATTCAGCAACGTCTCCTTCACCACAGTCGATCACAACAGCGACGAGTATCATTCCAACGTCAAGATATTCCGCGTTCCGAGTTGTAAATATTGCTGAATTTGGCCGTCTTTTTTCCTTCCGAAGCCATCGTCACAGTAACCATGTCCGCGCAAATGCAAGACCGAGTCGCCTCCGAGACGACCGTGGTGGCATCTTTCCGCAAAAACCTCTTCTCCTCGGTTCCCCCTATACCAGATACCGTCGATCTTAGAGGACAAACTGCCATAATCACTGGCTCCAATACTGGTATCGGCCTTGAAGCATCCCGCCAGCTACTCCAACAGGGCCTCAGTCACCTCATCTTGGCAGTCCGCTCACAGACCAAGGGTGATGAAGCAGCCCGTCAACTCGGCTCCCAATTCCCCAATGCCAACCTACAAGTCTGGCTCCTGGACATGGAGTCGGACGCGTCGGTCCGGGGCTTCGCCCGTCGCTGCGAGTCGCTGGAACGAATCGACATTCTTATCCTCAATGCCGCCATCGCCAAGGCGACGTTTCAGAGGAGCAACGGAGGCGAGGGTCGCGAGGTGTCTCTCCTGGTCAACTACATCAACACCATGCTCCTGGCCATCCTCATGATCCCGGTCCTGAAGACCAAGCGCCAGGGTCGCGGGCCTATTCGCTTGACCATTGCCGGCTCCGATACGTCCTACTGGGGTATACTACCGGAGACATCTGGGTCTCTCCTCGACGCCGTCGACACCGAGAAGTCATACGACGGGCTGAAGCATTACAGCAACACCAAACTCCTGCTGGTGATGGGTGTCGTCAAGCTGTCAGAGACCGTCGCTGCGGACGAGGTCATCATCAACTACGCCAACCCCGGCGCCACCAAGAGCACTGGCCTCAACCGTGAGGCTGCGGGCATCTGGAAGGTCATCGCATTCGTTATAGCCCAAATCGCCGGACGGAATATTGTCGACAGCGCCAGGCAGTACCTACACTCGGCAGTGGTCCTGGGTAAGGAATCCCACGGCTCCTTCACCGACTTTGCGATCAGGCCGTAAGTATCTGCCCCGACGTTGTCCACGTATCTTGCTAATGAGACCGTAGGTATCCTAAGCTCATGTACACCAAAGCCGGCCGAGAAAAGATGGACAGTCTCTGGAACGAGACTTTGTCGGAGCTCAAGCTTTAGACAGCGATGCTGAATCCGAGAGCAGATGACGGTAGAGTGCGAGAGAGGAAGGGGCTGACATGAATTTCGAGTATTGTGGACTTGTGGTTTCTTAGAGTACGAAGACAAGGTGTAATATTGCCAATCAACTATATATCCACTGTAGAAGCTAGACATTTATATCAAAATGTTAATAGCTTTGGCCTAATTGGGCATTATCGCAAAACTTCTCAGCTTACCTAGTTCAAGTCGTAGAACGGCTGGAGTGGGGGGTTGGCTCTAGACAGCCAACACGTGCCAGTGGATTCATAGAGAGAACGACGAACCGTGATTCTCGTTTGACTGACGATAAAAGGCCTTCTTATCGGAGGTTTTAGTACAACAGAGCGCATGAGTGCTGGCTTTGCTGGCTTCCGTACGAATTCCTACCGCTGTAGACTCGTTACTTCTTATATGCAAATGCGAGAGTCCTCTTGCGATTAGAATCACATATTTGCAGTCTTTGAACGAATACCTCGGAAACGGGAACGAGGGACAAGAGCGGCCAATTATGAGATTCAAAACGTGGCTGGGTTTCCACTGGATCTCTACATACAGCCCGCGGCCCTCCATGCGCCGCCGGCGAGGTTGCTGAGCACCTGAGGCATCGAATCCGCCGCTCGCAACGAGCCGCCATTACAAAAGGCTTCATTGCTGGCCTGTTCTCGGACTCCAGAAGTCTAGGCTACAGACCACCGTCCTTATAAGACGAACAGCGGAGCGAAAGGCTGGCGTCTGCGGGCGTATCTGACGCCTTCGAATGTGTCAAGCGCCAACACAGACTTACATCAGCGCTGCAGGAGATAATAGTCCGGGTGCGCCATGCTTTTTGGTCTGGAGGCACAGAAGGTTGTAGCTAGACAACGAGGAACGGATATATAAGAAGGCGCCCTGGACTCATCCCCTGGTAGTCGAAGCCGAGTGTCCTTGATCTCACGCTGATGTAGCCGTATTTCTCCTAATACTGTCATCCTTGCCGAGGAGGAGCCAAAACCAGCGGAGAGTCGAAGTAGTCGTTGGAAGGGGACGGGCGAGAATAAGGCGTAGTAGCAGTCCGCATCGCTGTCTTGCGAGTATCATACTCTTGAATCAGTGCAAGAGAATTCAAGAGGCCAGACAGGAGATGCGATCGATGTGCCGTAATGAACCTATCTCAGTTACAGAATCCAGCTGTCGACAACTTTTCCGCTTCGCAGACGGTAGTAAGCGGTAGGCTGGGCTGACGTCGGAATTCCGTGGCGCACTTGTCACGACCAATCTTGTGAGAACCTTCCCGCAACGAAGACATCTAGCACAGATTGAATAGATCCGAGAAACCTATTCTCTGTGTGCAAGATGTTGTGAGCATGGCCATAAACTGACATCGCCGACGAGTTCACCACATCCACTGGCTCGCACTCGTAGAGCGTGCTCTTGCATAGGCTGCAATCATGAATAAGAACGAAGATCAATCTCACCCGCGCCAAATCAGATCAAACCCGCCCGCCGCCATCGGAGCGGAAGGCGATCACCAGGCCCGAGGTCAAGCGAGAAAGTAGCTTAGGCTATTCCGGAAGTGTAGAAGCGGACCATTCAGACAACTGCCCGTTACATTGCATAGCAGTCCCGCGTTCCATCTTGGCATTGGGGTCCTTATGACCGCGTCGGTATGGCTGCCGTCATCGGCATTTGGCCGAGGGTTTGGTCTTGGTCTGAGGTAGTTGGAGGTGGTAGAATCTGTCGATAACGGCGGAATCCGCGGAGGATATGGCGGAAGCTTCACTCTGGCGTCCGAGCGACTAGTTCCAGCCAAGAAACCCAACGGTTTCCCCGACCTCTGACCAGCGAATGCTGAATTGCAGCATTGTTGCGAGTCTGGACTTGGCGGTAAATACCGGCTGAAGAAGCCCTTTCCAACCTGCCAGGTGCTGAAGGTTTGTTCCGATATTGGGTGGGGAATGGCTTCTCTCACGACAGGTGATGGTCGAATCTTAGCCACGGACGCCTGTGAACAGCCACAGTATCACAAGCTTCCAATTGTCATAAATCAAGTTCCAAAACCTTCAACCTTAAAGCCACCTGGCAATGCGTTTGAAAACCGGGGAAGCGTGCCGAGGAGGGCGGTTCTTCGGGGTCTTTGATGAATTGGGGATGGAGTCAATGTGACCCCCGGTGGGAAGCTTGGCTGATTTGACATATTGGCGCCGAGGTCTTATCGTGCTTGGGGAGACGTGACCTGTATTGGGGAACTTTGGAAAAAAGACAAAAAAACGACGTGGGGTGGAGAGGGGAAATGACGAGGATTCGACGATTACAAACACAAACGATGCTGGTCGTTTGTAGGTAGCGCGTCGAAACTGCAAACGGGAAAATGGGGGAAGAAAATCCGGACGCTGTGGAGTCAGTGGAGCACAGACCTTGTCGAAGTGGATCCCACTGGCTTTACCCCACACTTCCACTTTGCAGAGGAACTGCCCGGGGAAGGAGCGAAGGTCCCACGCCGGTGAGGTGCTCCTTCTGTATGCATTCATTGTATGTTGTACGTGTGTGGGTGGTTGGGAAGTTCCTTCCTGCTATTGCTGCTTCCCTGAGAAGTTTCGGAAGCTCCTTCCTGCTGCAGCTTGGCTTGACGTACCTTCCTCAGAGGCTCAGGTACCTTGACGTTACCATAGGGCCTGGAGCATCCCAAATCTTGCCCGTCCCGTTTGCCCACTCACACACACTTTCACCCACACCATCACGCATCGCCCATACCGCTCAGTTGCAGGACAGCAGCCATCGGGAAATTTATTCAACTCGGTTTGGAGATGGGATGTCACGGTCTGTGGAGGGGGGCGTTTCCCTTCGACGCAGCGGTGGGAGGGGCACCAGAAGATTCGAATGCAATTTCCCGCCACCCAGAACGCCCTGAGATGGCAGCGTCGCGAGGGGTAGGAACCCGAATCTGGTCAAGTGAGCCAAACGCCCATCGCGCCGGATGCTTGCCGAAGAGAGAAACAAGAGTTTCACGGAGACAACGAGTCTCGTCGCCTTCCGAAAAGAGAGAAATGAGCTGTCGACAGGTTTCCTTTCGGTCGAGCTGGCGACGGGGTGCGCCGCATCTTGGATGGACGACGGCGGCTCTCACCGGATACAGACCGGGATGCGCAGAACTGCCTTCTTCTCAGAGGTATCTGAGGGACTGATTGACGAGACAGGGTCACTCTTCTTTCCCTGCGTTGAAGTCGCACCGAGACACCCGACTGCGACTCTCGTGCCCGCTCGTGTAAATCATCTACATGGCCTCGACGGAGCAGACAAAACCCAAGCATCGAGCAACACACCATGTAACAGTACTACAGCTGTTCTGTTGACGCAGTGAGTGCCTTTTGAATTTGCGCAATACTCCGTAGCTCACGTCTAATGTGCTCCGCAGTATCTCTGCCATGAGGTCAGGTTCCTCGGGAGATTTTACGTTTCCACAACCCCTCTCTGCGCTCGTCAAGCTCCAGCTCCCGTCCATTCCAGAGCGTGTCTCGGACTCCGCAGTTGGAGACGTTCAGCTATTCGTGCAAGGGTGACTGTCTTGACCTTTCGTTGCCTAGGAGCACGAGCAGACTCGATTCCTCTCTTGATACAACACAACAACGCGGGCGTGAGAGACAAGATATCTGTTGAGCATCAATTGATCGCCGCGCCTGTTCTCCATTGCCATCACCAGCATGTGCATCTGTACAACAGACCAGAAGGGGCTGGGGTTTGAAGTGATCGACCAAGCTGATCGATCAGGCCAGGCGAGGCGGGCAATCTGCTTCATGTGGTTTCTCCAAATCCAAGAGGACGAGCGAGCGGTTCGTTGGCAAAAGGTCCTCTCGCAGTCATGATCCAGGGTTCCCTGACATCTGTCGACCGCTAATGCCGGGCTGTGATTGGCGCGTCTTGAAGGCTGTCGTCTCCCGGGTCGGTCCTCCGGTGCCCAACCAGGACGGATCCATGCCTTTCAGTAAAGCCTCGGAGCGTCAGTGCAGCTGGCACGGACGGCTCCGAGGAAGGAGAGAGAGAGGGATGGCCCCGGCGAGCGAGAGCTTGCCTTGGGGAAGAAAAGAGGGGAAGTGAGGTAAGGAATGTCAGTGCAAGGTGTCGGGACGGATTAGAAGTGAGGAGTACAGCAATGGCTTTTATCAACAAAACTCTGACGACGGATGAGACGAGATGCTGATCTACTACGATCCAACAAGACGTACGTCAGTATTCGGTAAACCGAAGAAACATTTCGAAAACATACAAGACACAGCAAAACAACATGTGCGAACAAAAACATCGGCTCTCAATGACCCTTACCGACAAGCGACATATGATTTCATGGCCGACTTTTCATTGGCATTGGCGCAAGACACCTAGCAGAGTGAAGCTCCCCGCCCCAGCTTCCCCCACCACATGCAACCCTTTTTTGGCATGTTGAGCAGGGCAGACCTGGAAGCTTGGCCGGGGCAGTACTTGGTGAAGTCAGCATGGGAGGGTATCTTCTGTGCGAGAAACAGGGGGATGAGGTACTTCACACATGTCAACATACATGTCACCACCAAACCAAGCCCGGGCCCCACGGGCGGTGTTCTCACAATTGCTGCTCCAACTGTGAACCACCCCCTTCGCCGGCAGGCCACCATCATTTTTCAGGTGCTCCCGTTTAATGCTTGGCCATCTCTGTTATGTTCCTCCCTTGCTTGCCGCTGCCGCTGCTACTGCCGCCGTGCCGTGGTGTGTGTTTGGTGTCTGGTGTCTGGTGTCTGGTCCACCTCATTAGTGTGTGAGTGGTGAGTGGTGAGAGTGAGAGTGAGAGTGAGATGTGCTTATGTACACGTCGGTACGTACCCTCGCGCAGCTTCTCCAATGCGGAGAGAGAGGAGACAACCCCAGACCCCAGATTCCTGCTTGGATTTCCCCCATTCAACGGAAGCCAATTCTTTCTCTCCTCATCACTCTCTCCACCTTTTCCCACCCACTGCTCAATGCCATTGCCATTACTATTGCCAATACCATTGCCGCCATCGCGCCGACGACTCCCATCACCTCGGCCGCCACCAAATAGCACCGCACGTATCCGTACACACGCTTCACCTCACTCACCACAGCGGCTTCTGCTACTCTAAACTGCGTCGCATCTTTCGCCCCTCATCCTCCTCCACCATCGCCTTACCCGCCTCCTCTTCTCCTCTCCTCACGACTGTCGACTTCTCCATCTCCGACGTGTACGAACGACTTGCCGCTGCCGCCTCTCCACGACTTGAAGCAAGACCGTTACATTGAGACCGGCATCACCCCATTGATCTCCCGCGGCACTTCATCATACGGCCTTTACCTCTGCTTCTGCTTCTGCCGCGAGGGTACTGACTTCACACCGAGGCATCGGCTCTTTTACGCTTCTCCTCACGCGACATCATTCCATCTGGGCTATTCGTACCTTTTTCTTCGCCTCTACCTGCTACCTGCTACCTGCGCACGCAAACACCCTGGAACTCCGCACCGCAAACCGTCAACGTCGATCTTGTCCTCTATCCGACCATCCTTCGTCGTCTGTTTGTCGCACGGCGCCGCACACAACCGACGTCTCCGTGGACCGTACCAACTTCCCCTCTTCAGCTCCCTCCGCCGTCAGCTCCTAGCTCAACCTCCTCCAGCTCCAGCTCTAGCTCTCCAAAGCTCCAAGCTCTCGTACTCCACGCTCCATCTGCCATTGCCCGCTCCGGCTTCCACTCCAACGCCGCGGCTCGCAGCAGCAAGCGTTTCTCATTGTCTCGCTTTGCCCCCTTCCGCTCCGCGTTCGAGTTCCACCTCGTCGTGCTCGTCCGCCGTCGCCCTGGCCCTGTCGAACCGGCTGGCCAACTTTTGCGCCTGAGGTACGGGTTCGCGCCTACTACTCGCGCCGCACGTCTCCTCTTACTCCTCCTTCTCCTCCTCCTCATCTTCTCCCGAGAAAGAGACGTCTCCTCATTCATCTCCATCATTCCCCGCCTTTTGCTATCCCACCCCCTCCCTGCCAATTCATCTCGCGCTCGCTGCCACTTTATCCAAGGTTGTTTTGTTTGAGCCGAGTACATCCATCCCCTTCACATTCGCATGCATGCTTGTTTGTGTCTTCACTCCGACGCCCAAACATCCAGACCCAATTGCCGCGGCCTCCCACAACGCGAACCCTTCATACTCCAACATCACTCTACCTGTATCCCTCGTGTCACTCTCACTCATTGTGCCGTGACACCAGTCCTCCCTCCTCTTCCCTATCGCTGCCGTCACGCTCTTCACAACTCGCCAACCCTGCCGCCGGGACATCCCACTCCGAAATCCAACTTCTACTCCGCTGCGAGCCACTTCCGCATGATTTGCAGCAACGGCTGAAGTCATTGCAAACAGCATTCGCCGTCGCCAGTTGAAGCCAACGCCAGCCCGCAGACATCTGAGACTCGCGAGCGTGAGGCTTGCATGAGAGTCAAAATAGGGCGAGGGGCACTAGGTCGGCCGTACTGACGCACGCTTCTCTCACGTCGCCGCTCTCTCGAACTAGACGTTGAACCCCTTCTTTCAACTACATCGCCATATCGATACACGCTGCGCACCCCGCAAAGTATCTCCCTTCGAACCCAACTCTGCTCCGCCTACCTCCTCCATCTCCCCCACTTTCTTGTGCTGTGTGACCTTGGAGGCCCTCAACCTGTCTATACCTATCCGAGCACACAGCACCCTCCTCTGCTACCTGACCTTGCCCAAGGTAGCCTTTTCTCAGAATGGTCCCTCTACAGTCGATAGAGGGCTTGCCTCCTCACGGAGCCTCTGGAGCTGGCGAGAATGGGGAAATCCGACAGCAGAAACCCAAGACCTTGCCATGTAAATACTGCAGCAAACGCTTTAGGTGAGTTGACCCCCCGAGGTGTGAGGCCCCCAACCTGACTTTGCCCTACCTTGGCTCTCATTCTGTACCTGGTATTAGCTTACATTGCTTTTGTATTTTAGGCGTGTGGAGCATGTCCAAAGGCACGAGAGGACACACACCAAGGAGAAGCCCTTTGCCTGCGGTTGGGCTCGCTGTGGGAAAACGTTCGGACGACGGTGAGTCCCTCTCAACCTTACCCCCCGGTATTTCGTCATTTCCTTTTGCCCAACTACATACTCACTTTCACCACATCAACACTATATGCTGCTGTATTCCTCACACACATGCACCACACCACCCAAAGTACCTTATCACAAGCCTTTCCCCCAACCTAACCCCGATCCTGCTCCACCCCTTCCTCACCCCTGATATTTCACTCTCAACAACGTCGGCATCCCCTTTCATCTGGTCAAGAGACATGCTTATATGGACATCAGTGATTTACTTGTCCGCCATGAGAAACTCGTTCATCTCAACGAGGGTAGTAAGGAGAATAATCGCCCTCGAAAGACTTCCTCCAGCACCCACAATCCACCGTCTTCCTCCGACAGTCATGTTGAACACGAGATGTTGGGCGTTCAGCGCCAGCCACAACCACAATACCATCAGGAGTCGATAACGGCCGTGGCATCGACCATGGCCCCCGATCCTCGCATGCCGGGGCCGGCCCGTGCCGCTGCCTGCAACCTTGACCTGCTCTCTGATGCGGCTCTGGCCAGCGAGGTTAATCCCATGCAGCAACCGATGATGGCGGATATGGGCCGACCGCCTTCGGATCATGCGAGGATCAAGTCTTACGATGAGCAGATGGGGTATCCTGAACGCCCGCGAGAGGACCCGAATGTGCTGGCGCCCGGATTTGCGCCGCAGCCGCCAGTTGCTCCTTACGATGACTATCACATTTTTCTGGACGACCTTGGAACATCTTCTTACCTTCCACCACCATTCGAATCTGATCAGCAGATAGGCGGGCTGTGGCCGCGTGGCGACCTTCATCAGCGCGGACCATCAAAGCCATCGTCGCAGTTCCCCTCACGCTTTCCCTCGGTGCAGCCGGATGGCCGGGAGATCATGGAAGGAGGCCCACGAAGCCACGAGGAGTCTATGAGAGCACCGCTTCGAATATCCGCTGCCGACCACACGGTCATCAAGAACAGACTCGAGGAGTTCTCCTCTGTCATCCCCAACGACTTTGTCTTCCCATCCCGCCACACGCTCACTCGCTTCTTGGAGGGTTACATTGGTGGTTTCCACGAATATCTTCCGTTCCTCCACATTCCGACATTGACGCCTGCGGAGATGGCGCCGGAGCTTCTACTCGCCATCTTGGCAGTTGGTGCACAGTATCGGTTTGAGCACGGCAGAGGCCATGCCTTGTGGTATGCCGCTAAGGCTGTAGCTTTGGAGCAAATTCGAAGACGACACAGTCACGAGGTGCACGCTCTGCTGCCAACCCCGGCTGCTTACAGTCCTCATTCGACCCGACCATCCCCAAGCTCCGGATTCAGGCACACCTTCGCCTCGGCACAGCAAGACCGCCCAATGACCCAAGACACCCATCGTGAGCCGTTGTAAGTGTGCTCGTAGTTGTGAGAATCACTTGTAGGATGCTGATGTAGACACCGCAGCTCTCCTAATACCCCACAAGCCCGCCTGGAGACCACCCAGGCCGTTCTTTTGCTCTTCGCCGTCGGACTGTGGGGTGCAAAGGCAATCCTCCACGAGGCTTTGTCACTTCAAAGTCATCTTGCCATGCTAGTCCGCGAGGAAGGCTTGGTTGCCGAATCCAGTCCTGCTGTGGCAACGGAATGGGAGACTTGGATTCGATTCGAAGGCGCAACTCGCACCAAACTAATCGCCTACTGCTTCTTCAACCTGTGCAGCATAGCTTACAGCATGCCACCCCTCATCCTGACTTCTGAACTCGGCCTTTACCTTCCGTATCCTTCTCGAATGTGGAGGGCAGAGTCGGCTTGGCAGTGGCAGGAAGTTCGACAAGCATACCCGTCCGTCGAGATTACCGTACACGATGCCTTCGCTAGGCTTTTTGGACGATCACATCAAGGCCTCCCTCCACACATGTCCTCTCTAGGCAACTACGTGTTGATCCACGCTCTGCTTCAACATGTTTACCTGCTGAAGCAAACCTCGCTTGCGCTCAGCTCGCCGTTCGAACCCCAAAGAGGTCTGAAGCCGGAGGACGTCGAGGAAGTGACACAGGCCTTGCGAGTATGGCAGCTCAGCTTCGAACACCGACACCAATTGCGGGCTGCCGAATCCGGACACATCGGTAACAGCGACTCATTCCAAGGCGGGCCTGTTGCGTTCAACTCCACAGCCCTCCTACGTCTCGCGTACATGCGTCTTTACACAGAAATACCGCCGGGCAGGTCCCTCGAAACCCGAGATCACATGCTGGTGGCCTCGTCTCTCAGCAATATGCCCCTTTTGGTTCGGACACTGCGGCTGCACAGAGCAGTTTTCCAAGCAATCCACGCCCTGTCGATGCTGGTCAAAGCTGGAGTTAACTACGTAGCGAGAACGAAGTCGTTGGAATGGAGTATTCAGCATTCCTGTAAGTTTCCGCACCAAACATCATAAAAGCGTACTAACGTCGGCTGGTTGCAGTGTGTAATTTCGAATGCGCCATACTGCTGTCAAAGTGGCTCCTTACCCTCGCATCGATCGGACCGAATGACCCTCCCGCAACGGCCGAGGAGAAGAACCTGCTAGAGTCGGTCAGAAGAATGCTGGACGAGACCGAATTCGCCGTGCCCATCGACCCGTCCCTGGGCGGACCTGCGGCTGGCCAGCCTGCGACTACAGAAGTCTCTGCAAACGACAGCACGCGTCTACGACAGCTTGCGGCTGCGGTCATTCGTCTCTGGGCGGAGACGTTTAAGGGCTCGCACATATTCGATATGGTCCGGGTGATGGGAAACAGCCTGGATGGCTACGCCAATTTGGTTGAGAAGCCGCGCGACAGGACACCGCTGGGAAGGATCGTGCATGATCCCAATCTTACGTAGCGGCTTTGTTGAGCAACTGAGGCTTTCTCGAGTACGGACGGGACGAGCCTACAATCCGAAAAGCTCTAGGCGAGAGGGGCCTGCTCTATGAGGCTGGATGCGTGACCGCGTGCTGCCAAGGTGCAGCCTCTCCCGAACAGGCCACCTGCGCGCTACCTGCGGCGCAGTGTGTGCCTACAGGGGTGAGCGGCTGTTCGCAGGGCCCAAGATGCGCGGGTGCTGTGCAAAACGGCGCCTTTGTGTTACCAAAAGCTGCCCCTAAAAACCAGAGGTTTGGGGGTTCAGGGACCGATGCAGGCCAGGCGTGTCGTTATGGATTCGAGTCTGAGGCGTTGTCGGGATTTCGGGGCGGCGACCCGGCGGATAGGTACCGGTCAGGAAATTTGGGGTTGAAGAGAGGGGGAATCGCCGCTGGCAACGTGGGCAGGGACCGAAGTTGGGTATTGTTGCATTGGCTTTTTGTAAGGTTGTGTGGGTGCATCGACACCCACGTTGTTGTTTGTTTATTGATCATGTCATGAGTTGGTGCTGCTGCGACGAGGCGACATGTAGTGGCTGGCGTCTGTAGCTTTGACAAGGTTGTGGGATGAGTAATGAAGTGTTTATACTTGATGAAATCAGAGGCGTCCCTTGGACCTGTCTCGGCTTGGTTATCGATGGTGTCGACGTTGCGTTCGGTTTAATGTTGACGATTTAACAATATCCTCAACATTGTCACCGCATCCAATCGCGCTGACTAGCAAATGGCACCTTGCCGCATTTTCACAACAGCATCGAAGATCCTGCCTCTTTACAGGAATTGAACGAAGCTTAGGCTGTTCAAACCCCAAGATTCGAGTAGACTTGATCATAGCATGGCGTGGGCAGTATTGTCTTCGGCACGGGCGTACAGCGTGTTCCCGACTCGAGGGAAGTTCTGACTGTAATTACTATATAAAGGCGGGAGCCTTCGATTGATGACTAGAGGGCAACGCGATCCGACTTGGCTAACTGGTGATGACGCTTTTGTCTAAGGATGCTGATGACGGATCGGGCCAATATCGGAGACTAGTGCGTGGAGAGCGGCGTGGAGAAGGCCGTTTTGTCGATGGCGAATGCTTGGTATTGTCTGGCATCTCTATTTGCTGTTTATACAGAGGGTATGACGCCGTGAGGGAGAAAGGTTGGGGGGATGGTTGATTTTGGCAGCGAGAGGGTAGCGGTAATCTGGGATTGGAAAGTGACGGCCCGCATTGCATCCCTCAGTTCAATCAGTTGACATGAATCGAACCCTCAAGCTTGCCGAACACCGACTGAGTGCACCACCTGGACTTTATATATCGGCATCTTGGACTCTGGGAGGAAACAGCTATGAGGGGATCCCAGCCCTTCCGCTGAGCGTCATTATCATATCAGGTGAGCGGGCAACTACATCCGGGAGAGTGAAGTCTTTGCCGGTGCTCTTCTTCGTTGCTTCTGAACTCATTGGACCTCTAGTGCCGTGAGAGAAGCACGAGTTTGGCTCTGGCATTTGATGAGTGCAGAAAGCTTGGTCAGATGATCAGAGAGGGGGGCGAGCCTTCGGGGACATTTATCTGAAAGTAACGGCCATTGACGTCCCAATCAACCGTGCTGTCGACGGGCCTGACCCAAGGAATTGCACCCCCCAACGTGGGATACCGACGGCGACCACGAAGCCGACGGGAGATGTTGTAAGAAGGGCGGGTGCTGCTGCTGCCTCTCGGATAGAGCATAGCACGTGAATCGCCACGTGACTCCGCATTATTTCGCGTCGCATCCTCGTCGCGTCTTCTCCGCGTCCCGCCAAACCTATGACGACACCAAAAAACCGTTTGTTTCCAGGTTGCAACGACAACTTTGACGACGCCACACCAATTGATTGCCATTGCGCCACGAATCCGTCGTTCTGGGATTCTGATACCGATAGTTCCCGAGTCATCCGGGCCCTCCTCCACTCCCCCCAATTGAGACAGACGGAAAGTCAATCGACGGGACGAACATGCCCGCCCGCAAGCGCGCCGCTTCGCCGTTGGCGGACGAGCCCCGCCGGCGATCCGGACGGGTCACGAATACGCCCAAGAAGAGCAAGTACTTCGAGGAGGATGATGACGAGGACGATGACGGTGATGAGGGGTTTGATGTCAAGAATGGTGGGCAGGAGAGTGAGGTCGATGATGATGAAGAAGAGGAGGAGGAGGAACAGCCGAAGAAGAGGGGACGAGGACGGCCCAAGGGCGCTGTTGCGAAGGCTAAGCCCAAGCCCAAGGCGAAGGCCCCGGTGAAGAAGGTTGTCAAGAAACAAAAGGTCGAAGAGACCTCGGACGATTACCAAGACGAGCAAGCTGAGGAAGAGGATGAAGAAGACGAGCCGGAGGAGGACGACGATGACGAGGACCGGCCGAAGGTTACCATTATTCCCCTGGAGAAGATGAGGGGCCTTGATGGTGTTGAGTACGCCGAGGAGAGGCTGCACAAGAACACGTTGCTGTTCCTGAAGGATCTGAAGGCGAATAACGTGAGGTCTTGGCTCAAGAGTAGGTTTCCCATACAGACACAGAATGGGGTGTGGGCTGATGCTTTTGAATAGGCCACGATGGCGAGTATAGGCGCGCCTTGAGGGACTGGCAGTCGTTCGTCGAGACGATCACGGAGAAGATCACCGAGGTCGACTTCACCATCCCCGAGCTGCCCGTCAAGGACGTCATCTTCCGGATTCACCGGGACATCCGGTTCAGCAAGAACCCGACGCCATACAAGGTAAGCCATTCCCTCCATTTTATCTTCAAAATACACACGAATTAGATCGCTGATTCACAAACAATAGCCTCACTTCTCCGCCGCATGGTCCAGGACGGGCAAGAAGGGCCCGTACGCGTGCTACTACATCCACCTCGAGCCCGGCTCGTGCTTTGTCGGCGGCGGGCTGTGGTGTCCCGAGGCCGATCACCTGCGGAAGCTCAGAGAGAGCATCGACGAGCGGCCGCGGCGGTGGAGGAGGGTCCTCAACGATGAGCGGTTCAAGAGGACGTTCTTGCCCAAGGCGGGGAAGAAGGGCGGGGACGAGGCGGCGTTGTTGGCGTTTGCGGATGTGAATAAGGGGAATGCGTTGAAGAAGAAGCCCATGGTGAGTGGTGATCTAGTTGTGGTGAGTTGCTGATGTTGACGTCTGGACAGAATTACTCCGCCGACCACCGCGACATTGAGTTGTTGAAGCTGCGCAACTTTACGATCAGCAAAAAGGTTGATGATCGGATCTTTACGGAGGACGATGCGCAGGAGAAAGTGTGCGAGGTCATTGCTGCCATGGAGCCTTTCGTAAGTCCAGCCCTTTGCGAGACGATGTTGATACACGGGCTAATTATTGGGCAGATCACCTTCTTGAATAACATCGTCATGCCGGATCCTAACCTTGATGATGACGAGAGTGATGAGGAGGATGGGGATGAGGGTGAGAATGGGGATGATCAGGTCGACGCTCCGCCTGAGGAGAGCGGCGATGAGGAGGAGGAGGAGGGCAAGGATTGGAGTACGCACAAGTTCTGAGTGTTAAGTCGAACGCAGACCGTGACTTGGGATTGATGACTGAGAGGTTCGTGCCGGGAACCTCGCCCACTGGATCCATTTGCGCGTGAGAAAGGGTACTATTCTTGTAAATCATATATTGGGAACAAGTGTCAATGGGCAGCTGTAGGAGAACTACCCTTCGTTACGTTGTCTGAACCTCATGGCTTCAAGTGAGCTATATTATGGCGACAGCTAAAAGAACTCATTCGTTCTAGGAGACGGGTAGCAATGGTGTTTCTATCGAGATCCTGTGTGACGCATGGATGGCTCATGAAGAACCACCAATTCCTACATTACTCGTCCGATTCAAGATGAGTCTAGCCAACCCCCTTCAACGAAACCACTTATTCCTCAAACTGTGAACCCATGTAGGCTAAGTCCGATCCGATATCATACCCCTCGACAGCATCCTTCTTCTTGATATCTTTCTTGTCCTTCTTATGTCCAGACTTTGCCTTCTTCGTGGCTTTGGAGGTTTGTCTTGTCGGCGAGCCGCATCGGGCAATCGTGCTCGAGGTATCGTCGGATGGACGAGAAGAGCGGATAGGGCTAGAAGCATGATGTCAGGACGGAATATGACAATGGGAGGTGGAAAGAGGTTGGGCTTACGTTGGCTTGGACGTCTTCTTAATAGAACCCATGATGGTTTGGAAGGCTTCTCGGCCGGGGCAGGGCGATCTTGATATGGAGGAGGTCTTGGAGCTGATAATCGAATAGGTATGAGAACCTGAACAATATGCACACGACTAGACAGGGCTTCTTGAGCAGGGTATATGTAATGTCATTAGATATCCTTTAGCCCGTCTAATGGAAGATTGGTGCGTTATCGTAAGAATAGATGAGTGGTTGAGAGGATGATGAAGTGATGACAACCCTTTGGAAGGGGAAGTCCTTATTATTTATGTTCCCATAGACTTTTGAGAGGCTTTTGGGACGAATCTGGGCCGGTGTAGCCTGCAATCTGCCTGGAACTGACAAAATCTATCGACGGGAAACTCACCCACCAGTCTGTAAGAGAGTCTAGCCCAACAGCTTAATAGTCATAATGCCAAGAATACTTACAAGGCGCTTTAAGTCCGGCTTCGTTCTTGTCACTCTCCTAATCGATACCTGCTCCGTCTCACTACCAAAAGTAAGAGTAGACTTCCTGTAATCTTGCCCGGCAGTAACATATAAGGCTGCCTTAACCTATCTGGCCTTACCTCGAGGGCCATGGATGAGCTGGCGTTGCACGACTGAGACAATCTCTCATCCCCTGTTGTAGCCTCCTTTTTTACCTTACACATCAAGTTGAACCATTGCATCATGCCGGCCGAGTCTGCCAGCATAATTCTCAAAAGATGATTGGCTAATCACCTTTTGTTGGAGACTAGAACCAGGCAATGCATGCCAAAGTGCAGAAGCGTTCCGATGACTTGCGGTGTTATCCCACAGCCGACTTAACCACGCGCCTGACCGATGGAAAGCAATGAATGGTGTAGGGGTCTCTTTTTCTATTGGATCTTCACCTTTTGTTAACCATTTCAAAGCCGCGATTCCTGCATGCTTTTGCTATTGCGCAGACAAACGACGCGCATCTAACCGCGGTTGCAGCGCCACTACTACCTGATTGGGCATTCACCTTTTGTTCTGTCCTAATCTGCGCTGAGGTTGGGTCGGATATATGTGGTTCCTAGCCGTGCCGTCTGCGCCCAAGTAGAAGAACAGTTGCCAAGAGTGTGGCTTCCTTCTCCATTGTCAATTGGGTTCTCCCGTTTTGTTGATGTAATGATTGGTCGTCTTGGTAAACAACAGCCGGAAATGATGTCTGATAAGCACGTCGGTCCTTGAGAACTGATTGGCGAATCCCCTTTTACAGGTTGCACAAGGAAGCGCAGGCAGTCAGATGTCATGAACGATGTACGTACTCTTGCAGTGTGAGTTGTCTTTACCGCCAACCTTTCCTAAAACGAGGCGGCCGCTGCCTGGTATGCCTTGGGCGAACTCCAAGCCCTTATATAAGTATGTCCGGCTGTCCCTCGTATCCATTTACCTTTCATTTGCTCATCATCTCATGTTTTGTTGTGGCGAGGATCGAAACGTTGCTTTGAACAGTACCTCCCGTAAAGCAAATGGACATTCGCAGAAGGTCGGTCTCGGGCCTCTTCGAATCCATTTACTTCTTGAGGACTATTTGTCTGTCTTGAATCAAAGAATTCACATCTCTTCTAGTCGTGACTAAGATTTTCGAAATCCATCACAGCTATGGACCCCCTCGCGAACGACGAACCCATATCGGGACGAACCCTCCAGCATATTCCTTATAACCAACGCTGGGACTATCTCAAGGATATCATTGTTGACGCTTTCCTCGGGAGAAATCCAACGAGGCCCGCCCTCCAATTCAAACAGTTATCTGAATTCATGGAGACAAATCATGCTTTCAGTGCGCGGTATGTTGAGCCTTATCATGTAGCGCCAATAGCCGTTCATTTAACACAAAATACCTGCAGGCCTGAAGATTACCGATATCGTCTCCGCAAATGGAACATTCGAAAAAACACCAAAGAGGGGGATAAAGAAGCCATCGTCAAAGCCCTTGGCAAACGCAATCGCTCGGAGGGTAGTGTAAACTCTGTGCAGGTTCAACAAGGGGACTCGATGACGCCTGTTGATAGCAAACAGCTGAAACGGTATTTGAGGGACAGCATTCGTCATCACACAATCTCGCCATTGACTCCAGGAATGTAAGTTGACACATGACATGACATTTATGGTAGTCTCAAATAGGAAAATAACCATGACTATAGCTTCTCAAGATGGAATCTTCCATACACAGCGTACCGAGCCTCACTTCCAAGACAGGCAAATCACCATTCTCCGTTTGGTCATGGCCCTATGACGCCGGAGAATATCAGCATCACCAGCCCCGAGGCCAATTTTCAAGGTTTCGGGATGACACCTACATTTGCCATGGTTCAGCAAAAAGCGATGCTCGACCGTTCCAATTTGCTCTTGCAAGGTCGCAGAGAAGATTTGTTAAGCCGGTGCAATGCTGGCGACAGAAGGTAGCAATTCCCCCTGGGTGTCTGCATGCTACTTAGCCTCGATGTTAACCACTCGTACAGGATTATTTCCAACTGGCTCTATGACTATTGGATGCACTGCTTCATAACTGCCAAGTTTTGGGGACTCGGACCTCAAGAATGGACCGCTCACCTGGTCTCGCAAGTCATTCTGAGCCCTGCTTTGATGGGACCGCCGCAGTCTTTTGACTCGCGATTCGTATCGTTTCCGGTCTCGCTTAGGCAAAATGATCCATCGAACGAGGTTATCGGGCCGATAGACACTTGCTTTTGGGTCATTCACTATTCGGCAACGCCGGATTATGAAAGAGTGGAATCTCCGCCTGTGGATGACCAAATGCAGGCGCCCTTTGAACTACATGATCAATCTTCGTGGACACCATGGCCAAATTCCGAGACGGAAAACCGATCTTACCAGAAATCCATAGAATGCGCTTTCATTCATAACCGCTTTAGCATGATTGCGTTTGAGGATGTAATGGTGTCCCACAAGTCGATTGCGGATGCTATTTTGAAGTCGCCGCAGGATTCAGCACTGGACTCTTGGGCGTTTGCGATCATGACAGGCAACAGAAACCTCATCGGACAGCTGGAAGACCAAAAGAGAAGTTCACGTATAGATCTCGACTTCGGAGCAATAGATCCCTACCATCTTGCAGCGTCTTTTCTGGACGGCGGCAAAACCTGCTGCCATATGATTTGCGACCTTACACAGATTATGGAAAGTTGGCACCCGATCGCTCTCAACAACCTGGATTCCAATGGACATACTATACTCGATAGCCTCATGATATCGATCTTACGTTCTCACACCAATCTCACACCTGCGGAGGTCAGCACAAGCTTCGTTCAGTGTTTCCGCTTTCCTGGTGAAGAGAAGGACATTTGCGGACGGTGGGACGCCAACTCACCGGAAGTGCAACGTTTACTGAAAGCCGGGAGGCACAGAATTCCCGAGAACTGGAAACACAACTTCTGCCATAGTTCTGTGCAGGCAGTGTGTCACAGCGTTATAGCAGTGTTCATGACGCCATCGAGGCCCGACATCAACACCTTTAGCGGTCTCTTTCGACGCCGTTGCCGCGGTGTCGATTGTAGACTCGAGAGTGAGATGAGGTTGGGGCCCCTACATGCTCTGGTCGCTGTGGCGTTCTATTTGGCCGAGAATGGCAAAGATGGCGAGAACATGTTTGGAGCTGTGGCATTGCTTGTTTGCATGCTCGTTCTCGGCACAGACACAACTCTGTTGGCCGATATATCAGTGCGGGATCTCTTCTCGTCTGTTGAACAGGACCAGTGCAGTCATCGTTCCATTACTGCAATGGAGCTGGCCGACCAAGTTCCGCAGGATGTTATTGATGGGTGGAAACCATCGTGTAGACTTGGCTGGAGATGCCTGTCCTTGATTCTTCGTCGTGCTACAAGACTGCCGCACAACCGCCACTTCTCAACCAAATTCAGCAATTTAGATACGCCTGATCGTGAGGAGGAGGAGGAAGCAGAACAAGACGAAAGATTGGATCCAAGCAATCGGTGTGCTTTTGATGAAGACCATGACTTCATGAAGATACCCTGTTCTGGCGAATCCCTGGGCGTTCTTTGGGCTGCGATCCAGACAGAACTTGTCACATATCGAAGAGTCGGTAGGGGTAATCCAGGAATTTCGCCCAAGTTTGACTTTGTGGCGCTTCTGAGATGGCTCGAAGAAGAAACTCCCAACTTCGAAACATCTTTGGTTAACGACGGTTGGATGAAGGAGCACTCATCATGCGGATGGTTCGGGCGGAGCGACAATAACCAGTGCCCCGCCCCCGGCGCGACAGCGGCTGAAGTGTCTTCGAAATACTTCATGAATATGGATATTTGGACGAGAGCGACTTTCGTCGAGGAAATGATGCCATTAGGACATGACAGGTACTAATACCGTCCATCATGAAACTCTCCGGAGGTCCAAGTCTAGTTCATTCCAATACACGTTCAAAGGCCTTGTCGCTTCGTTGCTAGTGCCTTAGGTTTATATGGAGGAATTGGTGGTATAAGACTCAGTTAATATGTACAATAGAAAAACTGGTATGCGAGTCCATAACACAGGTCTTGATTACATTCACTTGACGATGTGGCATAACACAAAAAATCCTTACAACCAGGTGTAGCACTCGTCAGCAACAGGGACCTCAACGCTGTAAAGCTCCTGCGACCACCACTTGGTAGCAAACCCAACGACGCTGAAGAAGAAGTCGCTCTTGACAGCAAAGCCCTCGGCGCAGTTGGTGTTGTCCTGGCCAATACCAGTACCACCGGTACCAACACCCTGGCTAGCAGACAGAGTGAAGTCGTTGACGAGCTTGGAGTGCGAGGTGACACCGGTGCTCAGATCAATAGCGCCGCCGAGGATGTTGAAAACGAGCTGGACGCCGAGCTCGACGTAGGGGTTGACACCGACAGCGGCCTTCTCGGAGATGTTGGCGTGGGCGGTCCAGACGGGGTCCCAGCCGGTGGCGGCGTTGGCGGACGAGTTGAGCAGGTCGAGATGGAGCTTGGCGTCGGGGAAGTCGAGGCCGAGGTCGGTGGTGACGGTGGCCTTGGCGTCGGCCTCGAGCTCGAGGCCGACGGCGAAGCCGAGGGCGGGGCCGAGCTTGATGATGCCGGGGATGTCGACGAAGTTGTAGCCCAGGTCCTCCGGGTCGTAGGTGAAGTTGCCGGCGTAGGGGGCCTTGACGTCGACGGTGAGGCCGAGGGCGGCGGCGAAGGTGGTGTCGATGTCGAGGGCGAGCTCGTCGACCTTGGGCGGGATGACGGTGTACTTGAGGACGCCGGAGAAGGTCATGGAGGAGGTGAGGGAGGCCTCGTCGGCGGTGACGGCGAGGTAGGGGTCCGCGGTGAAGAGGGTGGTGGCGGCGGGCAGGGAGAGGGAGTTGGAGATGTGCACGCCCTCGTCGTCCCAGGTGATGTCGCGCTTGGCGGGGTTCTGGACGGGGACGTTGGAGAAGACGATCTCCGTCTTGGCTGGGGTGTTTTGTTAGCATCTCCAGTCTCTCAGAGTCGGGAACAAGAGTGAAACTTACTAGCCGTGTTGGCAACGTCGCTCTTGTGAGCGTTAGCGACGACCTTGAGCGTGGCAGCGTCGAAGGAGACGGTGTCCACGAGGAAGAAACCGCGCTCGTTCTCGGCGTCGCAGTTGCCGGCGTGGTTGGTGACCATGACGAAGTCGTCAAGGGCCTGCCAGTCGCGCGAGGTCTGCTCGAAGGCCGCGGTGGCGTTGAAGGTGACGGTGATGCTCTCGGCGGCGCAGTCGACGGCAGCGACGGCTTCGACCTCCTCGAGGACCACGGAAGGGTACTTCATGGCCAGAGAGACGCTCACGAGCTTCTCGTTCTTGGAGCCATACTCGAGAGTGATGTTGCTGGCGGGCACCAGGTTGGCCGGGTCGGCCTTGTTGCAACCCTCGCGAAGGACGGGCTTGAGGGTTGTGGTGGTGTTGGCGGCGTGGGCCGCGGCCGCGAGGGCGAGGGTGACGAGCGCGAGCATCTTGAGCGGCGTGGGAGGGGAGAAGTGAGGACCTACTCAGGGACGGAGGCTGGAGAACCTAAGACATCATAGACTCGGAGGCGGATGAAGTGAGTTCATATATGTGCTTGAGATGGAGCTTGGATTTGGTTATCATCTTGGCGGTAGGTGAGTGTGCGGCACCGTCACAATACTCCCCACCGCGATAGCATGCTCCCATGCAACCTTCCCGTCCACGATGGCCTCATGCAGCTTGTGACGGGTCAGAACCAGAAAAAGGGTGATATTCTCATCTCACCCCAATATCACGCCTCGGTGCACCTTCCACACGCGTTCGCATCGACCCCGCTGAGTAAACGTGCGCGCGAGTCACGAAGAGGTCCCGAGATGCAACACAAGGTTATCGAGTTATCAATTAAATCGCGCCCTTGGTGCAACCTCACGGGCCTTGATTTAACGTCGCATCGAACCGCGGGGTTGGACTCTATGGGATGTTTGCACTTTCGGCCGAGCAATCGAGGAGATTGAAACATAAAGCTCGTGCCTGGCGAGCGAGGTTGTCATTGGAAGAAGCTCACCCCGGGCAGAAAGGATCTGGGCAATATTGACACATGCCGCCGAGGGAATGGCGGGATCGTAGCATCTCCGGCGGGGGCCATCGGGTGGGAAAGCCCGGAAATGGGCTCGGCGGGGACGCTGGGGGACCGGGCGCTGATCCCAAAAGGGGTTTGCGGCCGAAGCCGGGATCCACGGGCGGTAGAAGTCGGTGACCGATTTCGGAAACTCGGGGGAGGGATTTCTGTAACATTGGATAGCTTTAGTGGACATGTGAGAAAAAACGGCCAGGACAGAAAGATTGCTTGAGTCGTTCATCATTATAATCTAGATGGGCGCCTTGCCAGATCAGATGACTTCTGTTCCCAACCTGCGAAAGATATCATCTATCAATCACTTACCCGCCCAACGTAGCGGGGCCTTCCCTGACAGAAATATGATGGCGGACCAAAAGGGAAACCTGGTAAACCTCGACCATCAGATATCACCACCTTGGCTCCCCACGTTCCTGAGCGGGCGTCTCGAGCGCGTTCTTATCGGCAAACGGGTCATCGTCGTCCTCTTCTTCAGAGTCCTGCTGGACTGGCTGAACCGACCGGGCTGGCTGAACGGGAGGTCTCGGGGGCTTCGGAGGAGCGTGCGCTACCATCGGAGCCGGGCGTGGCGGGGCGGGAGGGCGTGGCGAAGGCGTGTGGCCGATGCTCAGGCCAGAGACGTCCGGAGGCGGGGACATGGAATTCTTAGCCTTCTCGGTGACCACTGTCGAAGATTAGCATGGCTTTAATGTGTCCGTGAACGTAAAGCGCTCATACTTCGATAAATATGAGCTTGCTCAGCAAGCTCATCGTCCGAGTCACTATCGGCATCGATCGACCGGTCAAGTTGCTCGAAGGTCATGAGTGCCGTGACAAGCTCGTCGTTGGCTCTGAGAAGACTGCCTAGCCACTCCTCGGATTCGATGTGGTGGATCTAAGACACATTAGGTATATTGGAGGCTCGTTGATGTGATGGGACTCACGTAGCGGAGGATCTTCCTTCTCAACTGCTTGCAGTTCTCGAAGTTTGCCACGGCTTGAGGGTTTTCGGAGATCCGCTCTCTTTCTCTGTTGATACTTTGGAGGGTGTTGTTCAAGTTGGTGGTGGCGATGGAGCTTTCCGCGATGGCGCCCTTCATTGCCTCCTTCTCGAGCTCAAGGTTGAAGGGCTTTCGCTTGCTCTTCTTATCCTTGTCCTTCTTCTTCTTATCTTTGGATGAGCTGAAGAATGAGCTTCCTGAGCTGGACGGGGACTTGGTGTGGCTGAAGGAGGAAACGGCACCAGATGTACCGCCGTAAGGTGTTGGCTGTGTTCTCGAGGACTCGCCAGCACGGCCAGTGGGCGAGGGAGGCTTGTCCTCCTCCTCCTCGCCGAAGGGGTTCTCGGTCTCACGAACAGCCTTGGATCTCTCCTGAGTGGCAGCGACCTTGCGCTTCGGCAGTTCCTGATCTTGTCAGCGGCGGCCTTCAATGCTCTCGTGTAATATTACCTGGTGCAGCTTGGCAATGCGCTCCAAGCCTGGGGTGTTCTTGTACTGAGACCAACTGCGGAACAGCTCGGTGCACTTCTTCTTGACATCGGGATCAGACAGATCAGATGTTCCACAGACTCGCAGACGCTCCAGAAGAGTCTCGTCTGCGAAGGCGCGTTGAAAACGCGGACCGGCGTTCTGGATGAGGCCGTCCAGGATGGTCAGAGCTCTGAGCTGACGGTGAACGTTGCCGTACTTGAGCTTCTTGCGGATAGCGCGAGCGGCCTCGGCGGGTCCGGAGCCTTGAAGCTTGATGACCTCGACGAGGTCGGGGATACCGCTCAGGTCATCCTCCTCGTACGTTTCGCTGGTGAGGGTCTCGATGTTCACCGTGACCGCCGAATACGGCTTCTTCTATAGAGAAGTCAGCACATGCGTAATGTATGTCTGTGAGGCTGATCTCAAAGTTGAGGGTGGTACGGATGGATATTAGTGAAGTGGCTTCAGGTTATGTCTTCGACGACGCGTAGAAATGAGTCGTCTCACTGCGTCGGACAAGCTCTTTTGTGATGGTGCGACGTGAATGAGGATGGAACTGGGGAGTCCTCTTACCTGAGAAAACATGATGCCGTTGGACCTGAAGTCTGCTGTATTCGAAAGTCCGTATCAAAAGGCGTATTGTGCGGGATCAAATATCGATCACCAGTTGTGGCGCGGTCCGAACGAGATGGCGCCGGAGGTGAGGGGTTCGGAGGCCGCCTTCAAAGTAACAAGCTGTGAGACCGGATGGTCGTCGGAGTCGGAGAGCACACGGAGCGGCGCAGACTAGATCGCCGCAGAAAGACACAGACACGGAGAAGACCAAGTTGAGCGAAGAACGTCGACGTCAGGATCGGGCTCCGGGTCGGGGTTTCGGGGGAAGGAATGCGCATGAAAGGTGAGCGACGGGAACAGTTGGGTTGCGAGGGACGGAGGAAGCTGGCAATGGTGGGGCAGGGCACCCCCTTCCGCGGGGTCGTCAGAGGGCGGCAGGGCGGCAGCAAGGACGCCAGGTTGCATCGACCAAACAAGCGCGTGAGCAGGACCCGCTGACGTAATTTGGTCACAGGATGGGTCTTATCTCTGCATTTGTTGCACAATTGATGCACGAGCATCTGTGAGTACCTAAATAAATATTAGAACACTTCTGACAAAGAAGAAGAAGAAAGCACGTTGGATAAATTGTCTTCCATGAGGAACTTCCCATGCGGTACATCAGAGTTTCGGACCCTGAACGGCCCTGGGTTGATAAGATCCCACGCGATTCAAAATGAGTCCCCTTCAACTTAAGATCTACCAACATCTGACGAAACAAGCTCCCAGAGTCCCAAAAGCGGCGGCGGCTGCACGGTCCAGTTCGCATCAATCACTCTTGACTTATGTAATAAGGCTGACTAACCTGGGAATGAAAATAGCATGATATGTATTTTGAACTTCTGTCACTTCTTCGCTCTGTTGGTCGCCAACAACCTTTTCATACTGCGCCTACCTGCGAAAGACCCCGGCATCGTCTAACTCATCTTGGGAGGTGAATCGCCGTTGAGCGGAGCCGAAGAACCGTGAACGATGAGGTTCAGCCAGGATCGAGACAATCAGGCCCTCGTCGTCTCAGGAGCCTACTTGCACTTTCTCACAAAAAGCTAACGAAAGCAGCGATAGCTCATGCCCCATGATAGCGAGAAGATAACAGGCCTTCACTACCGTCACTATACTATCGGCTCAAGCGTTATGGAATATTGATAAAGTGGGTACCAATCAACCCGATCGCGACCTCTACCGCTTTGGCGAGAACAGCCTCAAGACCTCCAGATTCAACTGATATCTCATGGCTGATGTCTGCCTTGTGCGCCAAAGAAACCTGGTCACCTGATCGCAAATACAGAATGGGGAAATCACTGCCTCAGTGGGATCGAGGTGGCTTCTGTTCCAACTTCAGCCTGCCGCATGTAGCCCGCTGCCGAGGCTGCATCCGTCCGTTTTAGGAACCAACACACATCATGCAGCAAATAAAGCAAGTCACAAGTGTGATTAGCAACACGAGTGTGATGAACCCGACCCGCTCGCTGTGCCTCCCCCCTTTATCGTTGGTCGCCTTCGCTCGTAAGCTCCCTCATCTCGAGTGTCAGCGTCGGGGGTGAACAAAACCCGCGGTCGGTGGACGAAAAGAAGCCTTGAACACAGTGTCTGGACTCGAACCGACCAAACATCACTTCCATATCGCGACATCAGTCATTTCACTAGCGCCAACGCCATCCAGCCCGAGCCAGGCTTCGACAGCGCCGGCTTGACGCATCTGCACTCCACTCACCAGCGTTACCGTCTGCTCGGTACATCTTCGTCATGTTACAGCTTCTTGGAACCAACGGTCGAGCACCGAGTCTCTCGATCGCGTTGCTCACCCTTGCAATTGGACTTGTATGTTGTCGATCCCTGAACACCTGGCGCGATGCTGTTTAACATCTCCATATTAGTTCTTGGCCTACTGCCTCGGCTGGTGCTTCTACCAACTCTTCCTCAACCCGCTGCGAAGGTTCCCGGGCCCGAAGCTATGGTCCGTATCGAACATACCCTACGTTCGCATGTACCTCGCCGGCAATGGCCACCGCCGAATGCTGGAGCTCCATGAGAAATACGGTCCGATCGTGAGAATCGGGCCCGATTTCTTGTCGATCAACCACCCGGACGGCATGCGCGAGGTCCGCGGTCACCGTAAGACCCCCGCCGGCGAAAACCCGAGGGATCCCGTCGAAGGCCGCTTCAACTACGACAACATCATCGGCTCCGATCGCTTCAACCACCAGCGCATGCGCCGGTCGCTGGCGCACGCCTTCTCGGCGCAGTCCATGCTGGAGCAGCAGCCCATCATCATGCAGTACGTGAATACGCTCATCGACAAGTTGCACGAGGAGGCGCGGGATGGAACGCGGCCGTTGAATATCACGAAGTGGTTGAACTTTGCTACTTTTGATGTGATCGGCGACTTGTCGTTCGGCGAACCTTTTGGGTGCCTCGAGAGCAAGACGTATCATCCGTGGATTGAGACTATTTTTCACAGCTTCAAGAACCAGGCGTACATGACCAACATCCGCCGGCTCAGCTGGCTGGAGCCCTTGTTGATGTTGGCGATACCGCGGGATCTGGTCGTTAAATTTGCCAAGCACAGGGCTTTTACTCACGAGAAGGTGAAGAAGAGACTCGCGCTCGGGGAGAAGCGCCCTGACTTCATGGAGGCCATGGTCAGCAGATCGGAATCGGCCGGAGGCGTACGTTCAAAACTCGATGTCGGCGACGTGGACCATGATGTGTTCTGCAGGCTGACTCCGCGATGTGCAGGCCATGACCTTTGATGAGCTCGCGTCCAACGCCTCAGTACTCATTATCGGCGGCTCCGAGACCACAGCTACTTTGCTGTCCGCGGCGACGTTCTTTCTGGCAACCCATCCCGAAACTCTTGAGAAGCTCAAAGACGAGCTTCGCTCCACCTTTACATCGGAGGGCCAGATTGACATGATCAGCGTCCAAGACTTGACGTACATGCAGGCCGTATTGAGAGAAAGCATGCGCCTGTATCCCCCGGTTCCCAGTGCCAGTCCCCGGACGATCGCCGAGGGGGGAGATACCATTCTGGGAGAATATCTTCCCGAGGGAGTAAGTCGCCGACTTCAAGTTCGACGTGGGTGAGTGATGTGTTGCTAACAGTAGTTTAACTGCGTAGACGACCGTTGACGTGTGGCAATGGGCTATATATCATAACCCTAAGCACTTTTCACGCGCTGAAGACTTCATCCCTGAGCGATGGCTGGGCGATGACCGCTTCGTCGACGACGCCAGAACGTCACTCCAGCCCTTCTCTACTGGACCTCGTGATTGCATTGGGAAGAAGTAAGTGTAAAGTGTGGTCTTCGAGCCCCCAATCATATCTCCAGTCGGCGCAGACGGGCACCCACTGACCACGTTACAGTCTTGCGTACGCCGAAATGCGCCTGATTCTAGCCAGACTGATCTGGAACTTTGATATTCGCCTATCCGATGATTCGCGAAAGTGGTGCGACGACAGCCAGGTCTTCGTTTTATGGCAGAAGCCCGACTTGAACGTGTACCTTGTGCCTAGGAAGCTTTCGGGATGAGAGGGACTGGAAAAGAGTCTGTCCTCCTGCAAGTAGCGCTTGTTTGGATATTTGACGGTGAATCTAAAAATATAAAGATTTGCGCCGAGAAGGCATGGCCGCATTGCGGTCTCTAAGTGCCGCGCGGCTAACGACCTTATGTGCTGCTCGTGGTGGTGATGGTGGTGGCAATGTTTAATCGCCAGTGCGTCTTTGTATACCTAAGGCAAAGGGCGTCCGCGTTAAGCTACCTGATATTGTGATATATATAGATATAAACCAATTCAAGCTGTAAACCTCATTTCCCCTCCTATTATGCCAAAAACCAGTAATGTACCTGAGCAGAAGTGTCCATTATGTTGTGTGACATGTAAGCCAAGACCCCATTGGACGACGCCAGAGCGTCAACGTCCAGGGGTTACCTTATGTGCTCGTGGGGTGGAAGGGGGATGGCCGCCGAGGAAATGCTCATGGAATTTGGCCCTCATACACGCTTCTAATCGTCGGTAGCATTGCTGCGCCCTGGATATGCATACGGAATTGCAACATGAACCAGTCTTGGCGCGGGGTGAAACAATGAGTGTCGGTGTTGGTGGGATTGAAAATCACTGATCCCCCTTTTGGCCGCCTAATGCGCCATGGCCGCAGAGAAGGAGGCCGCACCAACACGATAACGAGGTCTCTTCATCAGGCATCATTGTTTCTAGCGGCGTATGCCCAACAATATACTGATCGTAGCATTTTCCTTCCAAATTGTTATTTTTCGAATCGACGAATGTCTCCCTTTCTTACAGCACGATTGCAGACGAAGTACCAACTCAGCACGACTCCTTCTCGCACAAGATGTCATCGTCAACAGCTGGTCCGGATGAGCGACGAAGTGCCAAAAACTTGGTGAAAGACATTGCCAAAGAACATGGATACATCGGCGAAGAGATTTTGCTGGGTATTCCAGAAGACAGACGCAGGATGATCGAGGATGCTCTTCTCAAGAAGGATCAGATGATCGGATCTTCCGTCATCACGTAAGTTTTCAACAGTCATCACTCTCTCGAAGAGGTGAGTAACACGAGATGGTAGGCTAGCGAAGAATCTCTACTCAAGCAAGGCCCGATTCGTCTTCGAGCTCCTTCAAAACGCCGACGACAACCAGTACACCAAAGCTGCCGCTGAAGGCTCGGTGCCCTTTGTTCGCTTTACGGTCTTTCCCCGAAAGATTGTCCTCGAATGCAACGAAGATGGTTTCACCCCTCAAAACTTGACAGCTATCTGCTCGATTGGAAAGAGCTCCAAGACCGGGGCTCACGGGTACATTGGAGAAAAGGGTATTGGCTTCAAGTCCGTCTTCATGGTGGCCTGGAAAGTTCACATCCAATCGGGGCCCTTCTCGTTCTCTTTCAGGCACAAAAATGGTGATTCGGGGATGGGCATGATTTCACCCGTATGGGAGGACATCGAAGAGGAGTTGGAGTCGCCATTAACAAGAATCACTCTCCATCTCCACGAAACTGGCGACAAAGGGGCAATCCGAGCGCAGTTCGAAGAACTGCAAGAGACGGTTCTAATGTTCTTAAGAAACATTCGAAAGGTCGTCGTCAGGTTCTACGACCAGGATGGACAACAACTGTCTTCAGTCACACATACGCTCACTTATCCGCAAGAACACCGGGCCAGACTGCAACGAGTCGAAGTCGTCAACGGAAAGTCAGAGGAACAGATCACGCATTTCCATATAACACGTCACGATGCAGATGGCCTTTCCCGGAACGAGAGCAGGACTTACTCCGATGCAGAAGAAGCTTCTCGGGCATATGAAAAGTCCGAAATCGTCCTCGCATTCCCGCTTTCGCATAGTTCGGCGCCCATAATAGAGCCTCAAGACGTTTTTGCATTCCTCCCTGTGAGGAAAGTTGGGTTCAATTTTCTCATCCAGGCCGACTTCGTCACAACTGCCAACAGACAGGATATCGTCGGGGATTCTTCTCGAAACTTGAGCCTCATCCCAGAAATCGCGAACGCGTTCATAATTGCAGCATCGCAGTTCTGCGAATACGCCACCTTGCGGTACGAATGGCTAAAGTACTTGCCAGATCGTCAAGACAACTCTCGAGCGAAAATTTGGGATGACTTAGTCGATGCTATCTCTGGAAATCTGATCGATGCAAAAGTGTTTTACGACAACAAAAGTCTAGCATTGCGAGATCTATCAGACCTTTATCGTCCAGAGGAAGCCCACTTCGACGAATACGGGGAGCTTCTCTTGGACGATGGTAGCCCGGGACAGGTAATCTCGCGACACTACAGCAAAGTAGCCCTCGATACTCTAGACGACTACGAGAGTCTTACGTCCATAGGTCTCCCGCAGGTCAGCAGGTGGTTGGAAGCAGATCTCAGAGATTCAGCGTCATCACGTATGAAGTCGCCAGAAACCACAAAAGACTGGCATGAGCGCACAGCAAGGCTTCTGAACTCTGCCTTGGCCTACAGTCTCCTCTTGTATGGAAGATCCAGGAATGAGATATCGGAGCTCAAAGCAATGGATCTCATACCCCTTCAAGACGGATCCTGGGTCTCTGCTGCGCCGCCAGCGAACATTTACTTTTCTCAAGTCCGCGGCCTGAATATACCTTCCACCTTGGGCTTAAGGCTAGTTTCGAGAAAGGTGGTAAGTCCTCAACGACTGAAACTGTTCAAGTCTCTGGGCGTCAAGACCGCTTCGATCAGCCGTGTGCGAAAGACAATCGTAAATGATTACGATCCAGACGATGACGTGATGGGACATCTCACCACCGAAACCTCAAGAGACCACCTGGAATTTCTCTATCTAACTGAGAACCTGACGGACGAGAAACTTTCGTACCCGGACATCCTTGTTTGCGACGACGTTGGACTGCTTTGTCATCCGCAGCACGCGTACTTCAACAATCATGACACCGAGGTTCTCAAATCCACACCCCCTGGTCCAAATCCTGGAGATGGAGCACCAGGGTACTTTTTCAAAGCATTTCTCGACAATGCATACTTTGATGACCAGCCGGATACTCCAGACAACCAAACGATGACATGGTACGAATGGTTCAGCAAAAGATTGAAAGTCATGACGAACGTCAAACTTCCATCAAGGGATGGGATATTGCCAATGGATTTGAAGTATGTTCATGAATACAGACCGGAGAAGTTCTTGAGTTGTCTCGTTGAAGGTTACGCCGCATCTCACGGCCTCGAGGATCTAACGCTTGAGGGCATCGGCAGACTTCGAGGGACAGATGTTCTTTGCGTAGGAAACCATCTGCGTCCCCTCGAGGACACTTACTTTCCTGCGCGACCGCTGAAAAGTCTCCTCGCAAGATATGTCGATGAAGACACCGTTTTCCCTTGGCTTTGGCTTGACTCCGAAGAGATTTACGAGACTCCTCCACCAAATTGGAAAAGATTTCTTTCAAGACTTGGAGTCGGCTTATGCGAAGACCACCTGAAGTTTGCACTCGACATGCTCGAATACTCTGTTGGCGCTTTGTCGCAAGACCCCGTGGCTTCTGCAAGGTTATTCGCATTATATCAATACGTACAGACGCAATATCAAGGATCTGATAATCGGGTTGAAGCTGCGGACAAGATAAGGTATAGTATGTTCCAAAAAATTGGTTGTATCGTTGTCTAACAATAACAGGGACGTCTTTTTAACACAGAAATGCATCTATATACCACTTCAAGATGGCAAATGCAAATGGGTGCTCCCTGACGAGTGTGTCTGGAGCGCGCCCTTCGATATGGAGGGCAAATTTGCCCTGGAGCGGCTATATGAGCCTTGGCTGAGCGTCGACCACGTTACAAGCTCCGTCTGTATGAACTTGTTCAAAACCACGATCGGCGTCGAAGACTGCAACTGGAGCATCCTTGTCGACGAGCTGAGAACGCTCAAAAGAATGGGTTGCGATGACATTGATAGGATCAGAAACATCTACCAGGCTTTGGATGATCTAACAAGTACCCTCCTCTCAGTTGACATGGAAGAACTGCGGTATGTATTTTCTAACTCTTCCTGCCTACGGTCCATTGTAGCTGAGCATAGTGAAGGGCGACATTTGAGAGCGAAGAATTGGTATTTATGCCAACGGATTTTGATGTTTCATGGCACAGCGTTTTCCAATGCGTCTGGTCTGCTGCAACCAGACTGAGAGGACGAGTTTCAATTGATGATGACTATGAATCATTGAAGGACTTCTTCGTTGAAAGTCTAGGCGTCAAAACGTTAGACCTCCAAATGGCTCTTGATGAGCTGAGGCACACTGCAGATGGAGGTTCAGCGACAGTCTCAAAAGTCAAGGATTTGATCTGGGTAGTCAATTCTTTGCTTTCGGAAGCGCCTCATCCGCAACCTAGCGACTTGCGACAGACTCCATTTCTCCCCATTCAAGAACCCAACGGTCATACCAAACTACGAACGGCAGATACGGATTTCTGCATCGTCGACCGCGATGCATTGAGGAGTTCATTCGAAGGAAGGGTCAAGTTTCTTGATCTCAGTCTGAGAGAAGTGGCAGTGTTACGTCCGTTCATTGAATGGATGCAGCTAGAGAACCGATATCTATCCCGCTGTGTCAAGGAGATCACCTCCTTCCATGGCGGAGGGGCAGTTCGCACGGTGAATCCACAGCGGCAGATACGAAATCGAGCATATGCTATTCTTAGGTCAGTCATACCAGTGCTCTGTCTGTTGCAGTTGACCTATCGCTAAACTGATTCCAGAGTTGCGGTGCATTTTGACAGCCCTCGCTGTCAGGGTAGACGAGAGACAGACGCATTTTATGCTACTCTAAGATCGGCTGAAATACGTGAAACTGACGGGATCTCCTCAGATCTTTCTCTTGTTCAAGATGGACGTTCGCACGTTGTCGAGGGCAAGAGAACAACACTTCACATCGAGGACAGCCAATCAAGTCTGAAGGTCTATGTGCCGCGAGACGAAGACGATCAGGAGTACATGTTTACCAACGTGCTTCCACGCAAACTTCTCGAATGCGTGATGAGACACCCGGTCACGCACATATCTCAGGGTATTACAGAGAGCATGGTGAACTCAACAAAAGCAATCATGCTAGCTCCAATATCTAAGCTTGATAGAGCTCTTGAGGACAGTGGCATAGACTCCATCGAGTTTGCAAATGTCGACGAGTCTCCGAGTCTAGGTGCAGAAACAGTTTTGGACCGTTCAGCAATTATCGTGCATGACCAAGGCGACTTCATCACGGACCATCACAATCGTTCCGAATCAGAAGATCCAGAGACACCCGGCTCCTCTGTGAGCTCTGATGAAACGCCAATCAGGAATGAAACGGAAGATGGTGTTAGTATCGTCGGCGCAGTTGCACCATACAGATCAACCGCCACATTGCCACGCACCTTCGTGTCGACGACGCGATCCGCTTCGCCGGGAATGTCTTGGAACACTGCCAGGATTGACGAGTCTCCCTATGTCGCTCTTTTGGAGAGAGTCATTACTGCAGCAAGAATGAGAAGGGACAACGCCTTACCATTGTCGGGCTCGCTTGGTATGAGCCAAGCTCACGATGGCCTTCAAGCCACCAATGGCCAGACAAGCTTGGAGCTACGTTCAGCGAGTCAGATTGAGAGAGACTGCAAGATCGGCGCTGCAGGGGAGCTGTTCGTGAGTAGTACCCTTGGATCATGGCTGTATTGGCGACTAATTAGGCCTGCCAGGTATTCGAGTTGCTTTCTCATGCGTTGCAAAGCCACGAATTCTCGAGAGAAAACTGGAAGAGCAACATCCGGAGATACGTGACTGTTCACCCAGAGTATGCGAATATGGAGCCTTGGAGCGGCCGAGAAACTTCGGACATTGTCTACGAAGACTTCGAAGGGGCTTTGACAGCTCTTTTTGTCGACAGAGGGTACCTACCGACGCATCCATGGCTTTCGAGCTCACGCAGGCCGAAGTACTTCATCGAGGTCAAAACGACAACCATGTCATGTGAAACTCCGTTCTACATGAGCAAAGCTCAGTATCAAAGAGTTAGTCTCCAACTTGAAACCATAACTTTGTCAATTCAAGAAAAAGCTGCTAACAAATGATTCCACATGAAGATGAGGGACAACGTCTTGACAGACAATACCGACACAGTTTATGTCATTTTCCGGGTTTTCAATCTTGGTCGGCCGAATATGGGACTTCGGGTGTACATGGACCCTGAGACGCTGAGAGTATTCGGCCAACTGGAATTCACAGCGGAAAGCTGGTCAGTTGTACCGGCATAGAGCGGGACTTGAGTTGTTGTATATGTCACTCTGTGTCTTTGACTCTGAAACAATAAAATAAAAATGGTGCGCAAACCATCTTGCCCTTATTAAGTTTCAAAATGCATTAAATAACAAAGGTAAGGCGTGGTATGACAGGCAGGCATCAGCTGAGCTTGCAAACGGCAAGGCGTCTAATTCTGATTTGGCCACGGACAGCAAACTTTGTCTTTGCTGATGGCACATATTGCGGGGCATTCTGCAGCAACCTTGCAATTTCTACGCGTTTTCTGGTTTCTTCGCATAAGCGATACGGAACTTACTAAGCTGTGTAGCAATTCTCACTCCTACATCAGTGGTGAGATTTCCCCGCGAACACAGATTGCAACTCCTTGCGAAAGCAACAACATGGCTTCCGAGGCAGCAAAGCTCGCAATTCTCATCGACGCAGACAATGTGCGGCCCTCGGTGGCTGGTCCATTGCTCGCCGAAGTCGCCAAATACGGTACTGCCTTCGTGAGACGAGCCTATGGTGACTGGACCGGGACCAGCCTCAAGGGCTGGAAGGACCAGCTCCTCACACAGTCGATCCAGCCCGTCCAGCAGTTCGCATACACTCAAGGAAAGAACGCGACGGACTCTGCCATGATCATAGACGCCATGGATCTACTCTACACCAAACGCTTTGACGGCTTCTGCCTCGTTTCCAGCGACAGTGACTTCACTCGTCTGGCTTCTCGGATACGCGAGTCCGGCCTCGTTGTGTATGGTTTTGGAGAGCACAAGACGCCTAAGCCCTTCGTCTCGGCATGCGACAAGTTCATCTACTTCGAGAACATCATCCACGATGAGCAAATCGCAGTTCCGCCTGTAAGCCCCGTCGTCAGCAGCCCGCCGCCGCAAGAGCGACCGCAGTCTACCCTGGTTAAGAGTGACTACGGCCTGAAGAATTTGCTGCGAAAGGCAGTTGAAGCAACGTCAGACGAAGATGGCTGGGCGAACTTGGCCAAAGTCGGCGCGCTCATCACCAAACGGCATCCCGATTTCGACCCTCGCACGTTTGGATACCTCAAGTTGGGCGATTTGGTTACCGACACTGATCTTTTTGATATCGATCGTCGGAGACCTGGAGAGGGAAAGGCAATAGTGATGTATGCGCGCGATAAGCGCTCAAAGCGTGTGAACGAGCCTTGGCGGCCAACTCAGTTGATATGATGCGCCTATGAGCACAGCTTCTGACTGTCAGGTTGCTTGTGTTTGATAGTTGGATGGCGTACATAGATTTACCACAAGCAATTTCTGAGCTTCATGTTCATTCTGCCCACAGTCTGCGAAATGTCAGCTGACTAGAATAACATGGCCTGTCATGACGAACCCCCATGCTGCTACCGGCCAAACAACGCCAAAAAGCAACAAAAAACATACAACACCAGGTATTCGCTGGTCGTCACCGACCCAACTACTAATCCGGCCCTCATTGGCTTGTCTATGGGAGAGCGGACGGGATCCCGAATTTTCCAATGGGTATGGTCGTATGTGGTAGAACCATGAAGCCTAGTTGGCTAAGTAGGCTCTAGCAAGTGACTACTCACCCTAACCCATCGTGAGTTTCCATGTTTTTCCCAAGTGTAATATTTGTGCTCACAAATCAAAAAGAACTTGACGTTACACTTCATTTGTGGAGGTTGACTTTCTATGATCGGCCCACAGGAAGCTCTGAGTTACGAAACAGTCAATAGTTGTCGCAACTGACAGGTATCAAACTCTACATTCTAATTGTAATGTAGCATGAACGCAAGACCGCCGCCTTCAAGCGAGGCGGGCATCACTCAGTAGGCTGTCGGGTTGCGGACGCAGTAGGGGGCCGTTAGCGGGGCGCTCGAGTCATACGTTCATTCTAGGATCGACGTCGGGCGCGGCAGTCCGTAGTGGCCTACCATCCGGGCTCGGCATCGTTGCCAAAGAATAATACGGTCCCTGCAGTATCAAGGCCGGGGAGATGTCTCCAGCTGGAAGGGAATCTTCTCATCCTTGTCTTTTCTCAAGCCAATGTGTGTTCGGGCTCACGGTCGATTCTTCTTACCGACAACGACAACGACAACGACATTGATAATCGTTGCGTAGAAGACATGTAAGGACTATATAGACCTGCTATTCTTTCCACGGCGTTGAAGTTCAGTTAATCTTCCTCTCTATCAAATCAGGTCAAAGTGAGAAATCCACGCCTTAATTCCGACTACACATTCATCACTCACACACGGATACCTATTTTGACAATGTCACCGGAAAAGCGCCAAACCACCGTTGTGATCGTTGGCAGTGGCCTCACGGGCCTCACCTTCGCTTTGATGATGCAAGGCCTTGGTGTCGACTACCTCCTCCTCGAAGCTTACGGCAGCTGCACCCCCAACATTGGCGCCAGCATCGCCCTGCAGCCGCAAGGTCTACGCGTGTTGCACCAGTTGGGTCTCTGGGAAGACATCCAGGACCTCTGGCAACCCGTGGTCAAGACCGCTTTGGTCGATGTGGAAACGTAAGTGTTCTCAACCCGACCGTCGAAAAGAAAACGGGTCACTAACATGCAACGACCAGCGGGAAGATGCATTTCACCGACACTACAGCCATGCTTAAAGAGCGCCATGGATACGGCGTTGGCTTCTTCAACCGACATGACTTGGTGTCTGTGCTTCACAAGCATATTCGCGAGAAGAACCGGCTGCTCGTCAACCAGAAGGTTGTGCGCATCGATGGTCTCGAGGATAAAGCTATTGTGCACACGGCTGCTGGAGATGTGTTCGAAGCCCAGATGGTGCTTGGTGCCGACGGCGTGCACTCGTCTGTTCGGAAGGAGATGTGGAGGAACGCCGAGATGGCAGGGCCTGGCATAATACCAGAGCAAGACAAGCAAGGTCGGTGGTGGCACGCAGACGGCTTTGACGATGTCCCCCGAAGGAAGCTGACTTGTCATCTAGATATTACCTGCGACTGGGCTACCTGCTTTGGGGTGTCAAAGCACACCGAAAAGATGTCGCCCGGTTTCGTGGGAAGCTTGACAGGGAATGGCTACAATGCTGGCTGGATGAGAGGAAAAGGAGAGCGCACCTTGTAAGGCCTTCTGCGACTTGATCCTCCGCTGTTCTTATAACTAATGGCGTCCGCTGCAGTACGTTCTGGACATTCAGGCTTCCCGAGAATATGCGTAAATGCACTTACGACACGATTCCTCGTTTCACGAAGGAGGATCATCGGATGGCCATTGAGAAAGCCAAAGAGTGGGCAGCCAAGGCCCCGAGAACCGGCGGTTTGGACGTCGACTTTTCCAAGCTCTATGACGAGCGTGATCCTGAGCACAGTGGAATCACGGCCTTGCCTCATTTCGTCCTACGGAAGTGGCATTTCGGCCGAATCGTCGTAATCGGAGACGCGGCGCACAAGTTCAACCCTTTGCCTGGCCAGGGTGGTATGAACTGCATCGTTTCGGCGGCAACCTTGGTTAACTGCTTGCAGGAGTCTCTGGGAGCCGAGATGAAAGTTTCGGCCGTGTGGATTATGGCAAGCCTCAACAAGGCGTTCACCGATCTTACTGAGATCAGGGTCCCGGCGGTGCTGGACGCAGTCAACAGAAGCGAAGACGCGATGAACTTCACGGGATGGAGCAGCTCGATGAACCGCTTCTGGTTCAAAACTCTCCTGCCGGTGCTGCCAAACTTCTACCACGCCGACGGGGCATCCAGCATGTTGAAGACTGGTAGAGCACTGAAGGGCTGGGAGTTACCTGACGTCGCCCACACCGTGCTGTACGATGACGAACAAGAGGGACTAGTGAAGAAGAGCAATGGGCTTGACAGCAACATGGTGACTGCAGCGGCGGTGCTAGGCGGTGCATTTGTCGTCGCGAGGGCTTTGCAACAGCATTCAAGCTTCGTCGCAGGAAGTCTGAAGGTGTAGCCGGAACGAAAGCTGCGGTTCACAGACAATTGAAAGGAGTCGTTTTTCGGGAAGTAAAGAAGGGCGCAGGCGCTGAGTTATGGGAACCATTTGCTCGCGAAAAGCACATCCTGATGGCTTGCCTCGACGATAGTTTTCCTAGGTCGCGGAATATCTTTTGGAGAATCGAAGTGTTTGTGCGAGCTTTCGGGCTCTCAATCCCAAGCGTATGTGTATACTTCATAAACTGGTCGACTAGAATGTGCTTCTGTTATTAGGATAAGGCTTCAAGAATCGGTTTTCCTTAACATTCTTTAGTCGACTAAATAAAAGCATTAAATAATATCCTATCTCGACAGTTTCAGCCGAAATACATCTACTCAGCAAGCTTAAGTCTGCACAGCCACATGCGAAGGAGTCTGTTAATGAACATGAACTCCCGAAAGTTCCATTTAGCAGCGCAAGATAGTAGAGCTCCCGGCCTAGCGTCGAACGAGAAGTCGTGGGATGTCGCGGCAGAGGTGTGTGGAAGCACGGATACGGAGTGGCCCCCCAGTACTACAAGCGGCGACGGCGACATCCGGGATCGGTTTTGGTGCACAATTATCTTCTGGATGGTCTGCTGACTGCAGCTGCACAGGTTTAATACTGAGTAGATCATAATTCCAACGAGCGAGTTGATGCAAAGCCGCCGGCATGTTCACATAATTTAACTCACTGATGACGTTCTGGTCACAGGTAAATTCACATTCTCATATTCTTGGAAGCTGCAATTTGCTCTCTATGTGTTGACTTGATACAAAACATCTATATCGTGAGGCTTTAGTACTTTACGAAATTTCACCGATCTCTCGCTCCTGTTCTGTTCTCTTCACGTTCTCTATCGCATTTCGTTCTGCTCTAGAAGCCTCCACAGGTTAAACTATATGAAACTACCGTAACACCGAGACTTACTTATTCCGTCGATAGGAACCAAAAAGTCTAATGCGGCCTTCACACCCAGGCTCTGTTCTGATTGCCCCTTAGGGTATCATGTGAATCTAACATTTGCGGATTCATGCAATAGCAAACGGTGGTGAGAGCGCAACAAATCAGCCTCTAGAGATGCCTGCTGACTTTACAATCGAATTCAATCAACAGTTCGGAGATAAGGTGCTAAACTGCATGACCCTGCGTCTTGATCCTGAGAAACGGCACAAGAAACATACTGATGAAGGTACTCCCCATAGCAAACCAAAACGTTGCCGCGTACGGCTCAAACGAGTCATAAGCGTAGTAGCCTGAGATGGCAGGATTCTTAGACATACTATTGTAAATAGCTGTGCAGATCCCAAGGCCAATAGTGACAGAGAGCTTCGAGACTGTCTGGAATATAGATCCTGCGATAGACTGCTGAGATTTGGGCAGTGACGAGACGACGTACATCTAGAAATCCAGTCAGCAATACAGCTATAGCAATCCGGATAGATTACATCTGGGTGGTGATTTGGAATAGTTACATTAGCTACGTTGAACTCAAAGTCAGCTCCTATCACGGCGATCACGAGGGCCGGAAACGTGAATGCCCAGTAGGAATCACCAGATCGCTGAACAGCGACAAGAAGGAAGGCCACTGTGTAACTAGCCGCCCCTATGCCAACCAGCAGTCTATTGGAGATGGCATGAAGCACCATACCAGCGAATATCTAAGCAAATAGAGTGTATTAGCAAAATTGTGTATGTGTACTTCAGGGGTCTGCAAGACCTACGTTAGCTAAGATTCCGCTGACGGCCATTGGAAGCATGTGCACAGCCGTCATCAGGGCAGAGAACCCAGAGAGCTCTTGAAGGTACAAGGCGACGAAAAAGGTCATGGGTGGGAATGCCATGGACCCGAGGAAGACAATTGCGATGAGCTGCAGGAGTTTAGCACATATGTCCAGTCAGTTTGGCGACTCAGCGTGCTCATACCAGAGAAAACTCTCTATCACGCCAAATATCCATTGGCATGAGTGGATACGGAAATCGGCACTCCCACCACAGGAATGTCATAACGAGTAGAAGTCCCAATATGATAAAAGTGAGAACGTACGGCGTCTTCCAGCCCTGAGGAGCATCGGGTCCGATACTTAGACCGGTGGAGAATAGACCAATACCGACAATGGCCAACACTGCTCCAACGACATCAAACTGCTTCAGTGACTGAAATGACAGGGGTAGTTTCTTGGTTTCATCGGCTGGAACGGTGAAGCAAGCGAGAATAGTAACCACGAAATAAATGATAGCAAGCAGCCAAAAGGATGCGCGCCATCCAAAGAGTTGCGTGGCAATGCCGCCGAAAATGGAGCCAAAGACGAAGCCCAGTGGATTGCCGGCGCTCCAGCATGCAAATGCGTAATTCTTCCTCCTATACGGCGCCTCGTAGATGTTCCCAAGGATGCCTTGACCGGCGGGGAGGGATGCAGACACCAAGCCCATCAGTCCATTCAGAGTATCCAGCGTGACTCCGTCGCGCGAGAAGCCCGTCGCCAGGGCAAGCACGGCGAAGAAGAAAATGCTGGCTATGAATATGGATCGCCGACCAAACAGATCTGCCGCTTTGCCAAAGAAGAGCAGGAAAGAGCCCGACGTCAAGCTAGCAAGCATGTCAATGCCGGCACGGATACGTAGCTCTGACAGTATAATAGTAGAGGAGAGAGACTTACGCCGATGAAGCCGTCATCCATGTAATCTCAGAAGTTGTCATGCCAAGGCCAGCCTGTACAAACGATGAAATGACGATGGTGCATCCTTGCAGGACATTTGGCATGGCCACGCCCATGGTCGCAGTTATGATGAATAGAATTTCCTGTGATGTTGAACCAAAACATTTTGGTCGAGCATTAGGTTTGGCGGCGCGTAATTCCGTTGAGCCTTGCTGGCTTTCACCATCTTCAGTTCCGGGAGATGGGATAGACTTGTCGGTTGTGGCCATGATGAATGTGGGAGAGAAGTTGGAATTCAACTGTCCTCGATGCGAACACTTCTTTCTCTCGATCAGGATGCCCCTGTATTTAAAACAACCAACAATAAGCGTATTTTGTCGGGTCGATTGACTTATATATTTGGAATGGCTGGGGACCTGGATGAACTGCAACGCCTCACTGCGCATATGAACTCATACAATTCAGTACGTTCTACATCCCGCAGACAGTACATATTAATATGTACTTTACAGATTCAGCCACACATTACCTTTACACATTACCTTTGCATCACTTGCGCCAAGTGTTCCCTGAGGCTTGACCATTTGTGCTAGATACGATGAGACTGCTCTTAGACAGCCCGCGCTGAAGATTCGCGGCAACAGAGCACGAGGGGTCTGTCATTTTCGAACTTGACCAAGCTTCGTGATTTTCGTCTCAAATAACTTCACACTTCAGGCCCCGAGGTGTCGGGATTCTGTCCAATGCCTTTGACCAGAAGGCCCAGGGCTGATCATGAGCCTGGACACCAAATAGCCTGAGCAGATTGCAGACGAGCATGCGGGATCAAATTGTTAAAAATAGGTCTTCAAAAGAGAAATGAGAGTCTGGAACCGGGTTTGAATGTCTTGCGGTCTCGATTCTGTAATGGGCAATGCATCGGAGCTCATCGTCATTGAACTCGCTACTGGCTTGTTGAAAATGAAATCGTATTTTGCATTGCATCAAATGTAATGTTTACTTAATTAAACTTTTGATCATACCCATTTTTCTATCGTATAAGCAGATGGTCATTTAATCTGATAAGCCGCCGTTAGGTTGGAATGGCTTTCCATAAGTTTAGAGTTGGCAGCACTAAGCACTCTATTATTTTGTCAGCCGACTTGCCAAAACTTTGAGCACAAGAAGGCAGCCGGACCGATCTTGAGGACACAGGGCACCACAATCAAACATCGTGGCAGACATCGGTTGGGTTAATGTAAAGAGTGCAAGTTCGTGAGTTGCGGGGTCTCTCATTACCCTATAGCAGGTACGTCGACGCATGTTGGTGTTGGTTGATTTGCCGGCTCGCGACGCAGCCAAGAAGAGGGGTTTATGTGTAATAACGTGGCCTGATGAGGCGAGGTCACCTTAAAATAAAAGACCACCCCAAACTCCAACTGCTGTCAGTTCTTTGTTGTGCCCCTTTTCCCCCTCGTAATCCGAGTAAACTGGATCTGAACCTTGATCAGAAGACGATGGACATGCCCGCAGCTTCTCAACGCGACGCGGAGCCGCAGCTTGCGGTCGACGAAAACGTACTAATAACCATTATCATACTCCTACTATCTTTCTAGTGACTATAGTGACTAACCGATAGCATAGCATGATACGGACGATAGGTCTGAAGTCATAAGCGTAAGTCCAAGCCTGATTAATCCACAGACGTCGTTCAGCTTGTTTACACGTTCCATATTCAGAGCATTGCCTCATCGTCCACTAGTTTGAGAAGCTCTCTGAAGGACTACCGTGAAGAGAACGGGCGGACATATCACACTTACAAAGACGGAAGTATGTAAACAAGCTGGAGTTCTGGTGTAAAATGCTGATTATGGCCAGAATATAATCTGCCGAATGACGAGCGAGAGAAGGACAGATTGGGTAAGTTATTTGCCTTGGCCACTCAATAATTATGGAAGAGGCTACCTAACAATATCGTAGACTTTCAGCACCAAATGTGGCTTCTCGCGCTTAAGGATAGACTTGGTGTGGCACCTCCCTGCAAGGAAAACACTAGAGTCGGGAGAGTTCTTGACGTAGGCACTGGCACCGGCATCTGGGCTCTCAACTTTGGCGATGAGCACCCTGAAGCAGAGGTTTGTGGCCCTTTTCCCCATGGAATCGGCCTTTTTCTTCTGGTTCTTTATTAAGCAGAATGGTCATGGAACTGACGGATATCCACTTAGGTTTATGGCGTTGATCTGTCTCCAACTCAGCCAGACCTGTTCGTTCCGTCCTCTAACCCACATTTCTCTTGAATTGCCCTGTGTCTGACAGCATACAGCGTGTCTCCAAACGTCATCTTCGAAATCGACGATGTTGAAGAGACTTGGACGTGGAAGCAACCATTCGATTACATTCATAGCAGGATCATGACATCGAGCATTGGAAATTGGCCCTTGTACCTACGCCAGTGCTACGAGTGAGTTCTCAGGTCTTCTCTTATCCGCCGTCCATTGAACTGCAAGTTGCGGTACAATTTTGCAATCCCCAGTACTTTAAGCGCCTAGCTAACCACCAGAGTCGAAGCAATCTCAAGCCAGGGGGCTACATCGAGTTGCAGGAGATCGACATCGTCCCACGATCTGACGACGGAACAATCACCGCCGATACTCCTCTCATGAAGATGTGCACTCTCCTCGTAGAGGCGTCGGAGAAATTCGGTCGTCCCTTCATGGAGATTCCGACGCTCCAGGGCCTCTTATCAGACGCTGGGTTCGTCGACATCAGCATGATAGTCCATAAGTGGCCCAGTAACACCTGGCCCAAAGATCCTAGATTCAAGCATCTTGGTCTTTGGCAGAACGAAAACATGCAGTCTGGGCTTGAAGCATTCTCCATGGCACCCTTGACGCGTGGCCACGGATGGACTCGTGCAGAGGTTGAGGTGTTCCTCATCCAAGTGCGCAAGGATCTTAACAACAAAGCCATACATGCGTATTGGCCATCGTGAGTCTTCTTGAACCAAGATCAGTGCTTTGATCTGTCGTTATTTTTGTGAGTATTGACATACATGTGCAGGTACTGCATCGTTGGCCGAAAGCCAGAGGATACTTCGTGAGCATATCCCAAGATGGGGGGGCAACGGTTGTTCCACAGTATTCATTAACAATCGTTTCAAAATAAAGCTTGAACTTTGGGCCAACGAAAAACATTGTCCTCAGTTGATGTCAATGGAAGGAATCAACCCATGTTGAAGTCTGACTTCGCCCTTTTGAGCTTGCCCTTCAACCTCGTATTCATGTGTCTTCATTTATATCATTTGGAGTTACAATTGATCAATGGTATCATACGAATTGTATAGAGTAGGTAGTGAAGAATACTTTCCTCTATATTGCGCTCCTTTCTGAGTTCAACAAGTTTACTGACGAGCCGCATCTGAAGAGCCTTCCGTTTTAACCCCTTGCAGTGACAAGTCCTCAATCGCCATTTGTCAAGTAGACTGTATCACAATTCAAGCCATCCACCTTCGTAATGCTCTAGTCTACATCGATCTACTGAGCATCCGGGTAGCGATGTCATGCTCACAGCTAAAAGTCTAGAAAGCTTTTGCCAAAGTTCTTACCATTACGTTCACCCTAATAGTAACATGTGTCACACGATCATAAAGTTCTATGCGATTTCCTGTTCGGCAGGTCGATTGACGTGGCATACCTCAACCTCGGTCATGTGCTATCAAAGTCGGATCGCATCGCCGATTGCCTCGCTTCTTGGATTGCACATCTGGCCAATAAAGGGTCCAATAGCCCAGCTCTATTCAAACATCCCGGTCCCGCCGATCTGGATCTTCACCTCCCCAGAATGCAAACCAAGGTAATATCGGGAGTCTGGTTATCACAAGGCATCAGGCATACAACCGACCCTTCCGACTCGGCCGTATCGAGGTTTGATCATCGTGGCATTTGCCAAATGAATTTCAACATCAACATCATTGACAGAGAGCGAACCAGGTTTCCTCATCGGCAGGGGTCGAGTAGCCGGATTGGTTGGTCGAGAGACATGCCTCGCTTACTCCAACGGTCAGCGTGGCGAAGGTGGCATTGGATCTCAGCCTGCGACGATGAAAGCCATCACGAGATCAAAACAAAAACTGCGCCCGGACGCAGCGTTGTCAACTTGAGGCGTTCCTGAACGATACCTCTACCGTAGAAAAGCAAACTCTTATGTCTCACCTCCCGCCCCGACACTCCGTTCCAGATATTAGCGAACCAAACCGTCTTGCCTCTCGTCAAAATTCCCAATTTGGTTGCGGGTGCTGCCATACAACGCTTCCCCGGACCCCAGATTCTCAACGCGGCACATCGTCACCAGACCAGACCCCTTACAGCGAATCCTCCAGGCTGCCGTCGTCTATGCAAGGACCCAGATAAGCAATAACTTCCTAGTGGTGTGGTCATTTACAACACACTCGGGTCGCAAATTCAAGCGTCTTCTAACGGCAGATGCTCCCATATGATGCAGACACTGTTGGCCCACGTGGGTATACTCCAACGGCCCGGAAATACATTGCTTCATCCCATTTCACTCTTCTGGCGAAATATTGCTGTCTCATGACGGAGCCATCCTTTCCCTGGCAGAGAAACGGAGTTCGACGGTGCTCAGACGGGATGGTGCACACTTTTCCGCCTCCGCAATCCTCTTCTGTTTGCAGATCCAGGAATGAGCGTTGTTTGAAACCCTCACCGCCTCTATACAGAGATCTACGCGGGAGGCTGGTGAAAAGGAGACTTGCAACAGGACCTGCCAGATAGGCAATATCTTCGCATGCTTTGCCGTCAGCGTACAGAAGGACTGACAGGTCCACGTATCAGAGAATGGAATGGCCATTGCAGCATTCCTACACCGTGTGAGAGCTCTCAATGTCCCCTGTTACGCTTTGTTTTCTCGCTCAACGGTGAGGACGGGCGTGATTATCCGTCGCGTTTAGCCTAAACGACGCGAGTTCCCGATTCAGAAGCCACCGGTGAAGACGGGCTGCATGGTTATGTATCATTGTCGACAATACTGTACCGGAGGCACGATGAAATGTCGGTCTTTGATACACGACGCGTCAGTTTGGATTTCCTAGAACCGACTTCCTGGAACGTGATGCATTCGGGTGTTGTCAACGAAGCCTGTGGTACAACGGTACATCGGTCGTTTGATATGTTTCCAGGGGGTCATTACACGTCTGGGACAAGGAAAATAGGAAAACGAATTTTTTCCCAAACAATAAATCGATTCTTGAGAATTAATTATTAATTATTATTATTTTCTTTGCCTTTCGTCCCGTCTTTCATAGAGATCGTTTTGTTGCCACCTACAACCGCCCGCGTGTAACATGTCCGAGAAACCTGGGGTACATGACAACCTACGCGTGTTGCTCCAGTGCCATTCAGCCCTGGGCGAAGCTTAACACATGAGCTGACGGTGGCTTTCTGATGGGATAGCAGGTATTTTTGCCTTGACAGACTTCAACTTCTTTCAAGTCAACGGACGGTTCTACCCTTCCTTCATTGACATTTGACGATCGACAACTTCAACTCTGCCGCCAAGACGGAAAACTGAACGGAAAAGTTCACGGAAATTGGGAGCAGCCCAAAGTGCAAATCTGTGTTTTCGATCACCCGATCGCGATCGCAAGAGGCATCTGGGCCGAAATCCCGGGCCGCAGAATTGCCAAAAGTCACCTGGTACACCGAAGATCAAGACCCCTGACGTTTCGGTCAGCTACGAGCCACACCAGGCCCCAGTTCTCTCACCGGAAAGACTTCCCAACGAAGTCAAATCCCGCTCTTCCCTTCGTGTGCCAGTCCAGAACAGAAGGGCCGGACCGAATGGAAGGATGAGGTTTAGCAGACGCGTGCTTCAAGAAGAAGCTACATGTAGCTGTCGAGGGTAGGTGTGAGAAATGTCCAGTGTAAGCGAAGAGGAGCCCGCAATCTGCTCAGCCATGGTCCAAGCCTTTGATTCATTCCAATTATGACGAAGTTATCTTGCGTATCAAACAGAGTCCGAGACCTTCTCGGTGTATCATGCCTCCATCCATATCTCCGATTCTAAATGGTAGTCATGGAAAAGCCTACTGGCTCGTACACATCACACAACAGCAATAAACAAAACTGCAAGTGACCACCTGAATCCGCCACGGGTATGACAAGCCCCCAGAAATAGGCCAAGATCTGACCCCATGCAGTACCCTCCTCCGCACTTCTTCAAGTTTTCTTCTTCCCTCGTCTCACCACCTTTCCCCACGGGACATGCATCCCGCTCTGAGCCCCCCGCGCCGTGAGAGGGTAGACCGAGCACCGTCATACCATGCCGCACCCTCCCAGACAACAAGAGGGTTCTCCAGCAGTCTGGGGGAGGACATATTACCATACACCGCAACACAACAGGCGCCTGCTGGACGACACTCCCTCCCGCTCCGAGGCTGATTGTCCGTATCACAACGCCCGCCCACATGTTCCCCCACCCGGTTCGGCTTGCGGAATCCGCTGGCTGCGAGATGCGCCGGGCCGCGCGATCGCTTTCCAGCTCGTAACATTGGCCCGCGCCGTTTCACGCGGAGGACCCCGGCCTCGTATAGCCTGCCCATTGAGGTCGCAGGACCTCTGACCTCCTGTGGCTTGCTTCTGCGACCCCTTCCTATTGCCATTGGAATGCGTACTGACAGCACAACTTGCGTCTGTCTTAGATACCGTGTGTCCTTGAGACTCGAACGTGAACCGTGGAGGAAGGAAGACGCGAAGGATCAAAATGGCGTGGGAAAACGTTGTTCTGGAACTCCACGCGAGACATTTGAAATTTGACTTCATTGCACAAACTTTTGCACATGACCCTCAAGTCCTGATTTTGCACTGCGTGAGTTGGCGAATGGCAGACTCCCCTCGCTGCTTTGTGTCGATCCAGGACGTCGCTCCGGCAGAGGGATACGTTAAAGGTGTCCGGCTGTGATACCCAACCCCGGGTTCGTAAGAGTCAGGCTACCATTGTGCCGTCAAATTCTGCAACGTTGCGCATCCTCGAGGCTGAAGTAATCTTGCTTCTGTGCTCGGACTGGCGACACCGCCCCTTGCTGGATCGGAAAGTATACGAATTGTGTGCCTCTTGTCCAAGTCTATGCGTTACAGAGACGACGGGCTCTCCAAAGCCGGTCGGCTACTTGCAGTTGCCGTCCAGGGCTAGTTGCCAATTGAAGCTGTCCTCTGACGCACAAAAATTGGATGTAATTTCGCGAGAAGGCCAATGATATCATATAGAGAATCTATTCCATGGTATTAATCCGATAAACCTGATTCTATTGTAGTATATGGTCCCAGGTACTTCGTAGGCCGCAAGCACATGTAGTTTACCAGCTGACATGCTGGAGTCATACCCACAACGTTTACGCTTCAATGAAACTACAATTCGAGCCTCAGTTTTTCAAACGGATTAGTTTAGAGGGTTTGATGCTTCGTGGTCTGACCTTGAGACGTGAGATGATGTTTCTGACGCTATGACGCCTCGACTTGCCGGCTCACGAGACTGTGTTAATCAGTCGAGGCGTCGTCTCTACAAGAAATAAGAAAAGAAATATCATAACGGCATATTCGTTTTTCGTGTTTTCTGCCGATGTACAAAGCATGTTGCGGTGAGCTGCTTGAGTGAATAAGCATCGTCACCGGACCAAGTGGCGCCAGATCTGCCCCATGTCTTCAGAATGTCCCAAGCAGAGAAGGCCGCTGATGGGGTTTGGAACAGAAAAGAGGTGCTTTATCTTTTGCTGAGGCTCATCAACGCAAGTGAGGTTGGGGGAATCGGAGCCCCCGAATCCTTGAACGCAGGTGCTCCGGTCGGAGACCCCACTTCCGCCGGAGGCCCGGCCGTCACCGCGGACCCAGCCGATCCGAATTGCCGCTCCCACCTCTCTCCTCCGACTAACACCAGTGCCGCAATCTGACCTTGTACTCTCCTCACCGGTATTGAAGATGA